TCAGTAAATTATGAAGCTGTGAAGGATATATAACTTGTGTTATAAGTCAAACAACTAAAAGTGAGAAAAAAATATACCCACTGTGCTACATTTGGGGACAGGTGGTAATGAAATCAAATTATTTAAGTTATCTAAGCATTTAAATTTTTAAAGATTAATAATAAAAATGTCACTTATTTGCATTTCTGTTAATGCATATGGCACATGTATAAAAAATGTAGGTCTTTGTCTATTTAATATAATATAACCAACATGGTAGTTGTAAATAAATGTAACATCAAATCACAAACACAACACTTAAGGTAATATCGAATCAATCTAATATCGCGCTTACCACAGCGCTATAAAAAAATCCTGGGGAGAACACTGAATTGTATTGCTTTCAGAGTTATGTAATACACCTTGACTAAGAAATAGGTCTAGCTAGGTCCTTATAAAAATGAGGCTATAATGATGTAAAATTACCATATTTACATTACAGCTGCATGTTTTGCAATTGATATATATCATATATGTACATGTACATACATGGAGAGAACAACAGATTAAATGCACATGGGTTTAATTACCACCCTAGGCATTACTTTTGATACCGGTAGGTGGCAGCAAATAGGGCAGATGGGCATATATATATGGTGTCCCGACATCTACTCTGTTGTTCCTAAGGTAGCACTCCACAGTTAGAAAATAAAATTAAAAATGAACCACAAAATATTTTATCATCTCCTATTCCTGGATTTCTAATACATTAACCTAACTGTTTGTGTTGTACATGTGCATATGTATGTAATCAGTATCTTCCATATATTTGATTTTCAAAAGTTAAAAGGGTGAAATATAATTCCTTCTATGTGTATCCATGGCAACATTCTGCAATTATTTACCATAAAATATTGCAAAAAGGGGGGTGAAAATGTCACATATCCCCCCAAAATTTGGATCAAACTAGAATTTCAATGCCAATGAGTGATACCTTTTTAGAAACTGTTGACATTAATCTTCCTAATAATCAAATAAAAAATGGGTGTCTTTCGCCTCATTTTTTCGTAAAATTTAATTACAAAGTTCGTGCGACAAAAAGTTGGAAAAAAACATTACAATAATTGCCGGACCAATGTATGGTATGGATATGCAAATACGGACTGTCATACAGAAAACAGCCTATATTACATACATTACATAATCTTGATGTTCATATAAACCCAATAGGAAGGCTATTTTAATCCTCAGCTATCCAAAAATGAATATATTGCACACTAGCTCTCATATTTGAAAAATCCACAGGGGCCAAAATGCGAAACTACACACCTAACTGTGGAGTGCTACCTAAAGTCTCAAAATTCTGCTCGCTCTGGCTAAGTCCTCAACATCTTTCTTTTCTAAGTATAGATCAGCAGCTCCTCTAAGGATTAGTAATGGAGCGCTTTTATATATAGTCCAGTCACTCAGTCCTGTCTTTTTTGTCTCTCTTATTTTTTTATTTATATTATTATTATTATATTTCTTATATTTTCTTGTAATCCACCCAGCCACAGCTCCTCTTTTTCCTATGGTACCTGAAAACAATGAACCAGTTTTGTACATTGTTGAGGTCTGTAAAGTGACTTATAACTGCCAACAGCCACATTATTTGGACTCTGCTGGATAGTTATCAGACTGTTATCTCATTGGCAATCATACCACATCTCCTTATTTTAGTACAGGTTAATTATCTGAAATTAATGACTACCAAACATTAAATCATTTGAAAAAAAAAAATTTTGTAATAATTTATGTTGTCATCTTAAGATTTCTGTTTATGTATATATCGACAATAAAATTAAGTTGTATAAATGGTGTCACTATGTTTTTTATTGTCAAACTATTGTCTAAATCTACAGAAATTGATCATGTTTTAGGTAACAGCAATGACAATGTCACTATTTCCTTGTACAGCAGATCAACTAGTAGTTATCTTCACTTCACACACACATATATATATATATATATATATATATATACAACTCATCTAAACATCAGCCCAACAATGTTAGATCTGTAAATTTGCTTTCGCAAATTTATGGTTATATATATATATCTTGACAAACATAAAAAGCTGTAGACATTGAAAACAATTCATATCTATTCTATTGTCAGTCACCCTACCTACCATGAACTGAAACATCTCCTAAGATTCAGTAGGTAAATTATGTGAGAATCAAGACTTGCATCAAAAGTATACCAATATGAGAGACAATGGCGTCATTTTTCCTTAGAGCTTTCTGCCCTTTGATATGCATGTTTTGCCTTACATCTTTAAAATAAGAATAGATAGATAGAAACTTGAATAGCAAAAATTATCAGCAAGACAAGATCTACAAGTAAGACAACCTGTTGACGAAATTGTCCGACGACTCCTTGTTGGAGTTATTGCCTTTACCATTTTTTTTTTTGCGTTTTGCCTTATATGATCAAAATTATAATAGATAGATAGAAACTTTAAATAACAATAAATTGCTTCGCCGAGCACAGCTGGATACGACCGCAGAGATCCAACTCTGAACAGTTGGGTCAAAAATGGACACAATATTCGCGCTTGATACAGGTCTGAATTTGGATTGTAATTTAATATTTGACACATAATAGGTTTCTGACACAGAATAACTGTAGTCAAAGAACTTAGAATTGGTTATATGATTTGAATTTATATTCAATTTTTTGCTTTTGTGCAATACACTATGCTGTTCTGAATTGACCTCCCCACCCCCTCCCCCCCCCCCCCCCCCCCTCCAAAAAAAAAAAAAATTTACACCCCCCTTCTTTTTCAAAATTTTTTTTTTACCCCCTCCCCCCTTTTTAAAAAAAAAAATATTTGAAGAAACTTTTTGATTTCTGAAATCTTGAGAAAAAATTGTCCCCCACCACCAATTTTTTTACCTCCCTCCCCCCCCCCCCCTCAACTCCCAAATTTTTTTTTAACCTCCCCCCTCCCTTTTTCCAAAAAAAATTTCTTTCCCTCAAGACATTGTCATAATCTCAATTCAAATTTCCAATGGAGTTTGCTTCCATAATAACCCACTTAAATACATCATAAAAGTCTTAAAATAGAAAATGACACACATAATCATAGCTAAAATTAATTTACCTTAATCAGCATTTTCAAAATTATTAAAATAGTAACTTCTAAAAATGAATTGACAGCTAATCACCTCAAGACAATACAACATTTGTTTAAACATAATTTAAAAGCAGTGTAAGGGAGGTAATTCAAAGTTGTGTTTGAATTACCTCCCTTACACTGTAATTTGAACTTAAGTAATTAACCAGGACACCCTTGTTTTTTCTCACTTTTTTGCCCCTAATTCCTAAACGGTTTTAGCCATAACCCCCCAAAGCCAATCCTAACCATCCCTATGTGGTATGAAATCTTGTGGTATAATTTCAGAGAGATCCATACACTGTTCCACAAGTTATTGTCATGAAACTAGAAAAATGCTTATTTGGGCCCCTTTTTGGCTCCTTATTCCTAAACTGTTGGGACCATAACCCTGAAAATCAATCCCAACCTTCCTTTTGTGGTTATAAACCTTATGTTTAAATTTCATAGATTTCTATTCACTAATACTAAAGTTATTGTCCGGAAACCAAATGTCTTCGGACGACGACAGGGACGTGATACCAATATACGACAGCAAAATTTTGCGGTCATATAAAAATGATCAGCAAGGCTAGATCTACAAATATGTCAAATTTTGTCGATGTCATTAGTAGACTGTCACTCTTCATAGAAGTTATTGCCCTTAAATGAGGATTATTTTACCCTCTTTTGTGTTTTGAGCAAAATCTAGAGAAGATAGAGAGAAACTAAACAGACAAAATGATCAACAATACAAGATCATCCAAAAAGAGATTTTTGTCATGAGTTCTATTCTTGTCTACAATGTTGGAGAGTGTCCTTTGTTGAATATGCACGTAGACCTATGTGAGCGACACAGGCTCTTTAGAGCCATTAGGTTTTTTTTCAACAAAAAAAAAAATTATGGGGTTCTTTCATATGCTGAATCTAACAATGTATTTATATTTTGGATTTTGGGCCCTGTTATCAAATTGGTCTACATTTAGGTCCAAAGGGTCCAAAATAATTTTTTTTTGTTTGATTTTATCAAAAATTGCATTATTGGGATTCTTTGATATGCTGACTCTAACTGTGTATTTAGATTTTGGATATAATGGACCATAAAAAGGTAAATGTCCAATTGCAAATTTTCAAGTTCTTAGACCACATTCATTCTGTGTCAGAAATCTATGCTGTGTCAAATATTTAATCACAATCCAAATTCAGAGCTGTATCAAGCTTGAATGTTGTGTCCATAATTGCTTCAACTGTTCAGTGTTTGATCTTTGCGGTCATATCAAGCTGCACCCTGCAGAGCATTTTAGTAGTCCCCTATCGATAAAGTTGAAGGGAACTTTAGGTTTGCACTCCATCTGCTGTCCGTCTGTCTGTCTGTCCGGCATGCTTGAAGATATTGATTTGATATTTGGTATATTGTTTTATCATGACAAGTTACAGATCAAGTTCGAATTTTGTTCCGGTCTGATAATTTTGTGCAGAGTTATGGTCCTTGGACTTAGAAAATTCACTCAAATATTCAGTTTTCCCCATTTTTTTTTCTTCATGCTTGAAGATATTGATTTAATAATTGGTACATTGTTTTATCATGACAAGTTACAGATCAAGTTCGAATTTTGTTCCGGTCTAATGATTTTGTGCAGAGTTATGGTCCTTGGACTTAGAAAATTCACTTAAATAATCAGTTTTTCACACTTTTTGTCATCATGCTTGAAGATATTGACTTGATATTTGTTATATAATTTACACCATGACTAGTTATAGATCAAGTTAGCATATTTTTCCAGTACAATTAATTTTTAACCGGTAGGGGACTATGTATTGCCATGCAATACTCTCAGAATGCTTGTTAATATTAAATATAAAATATCTCATAATGTCTTTTCAGTTGTTCAGAATAGAATTACAGCATACTGGTTTAGGAACAAGGAATTAGCTATGGCCTTTGGAATAACTCTGGCTTTTTCACGTCTTGGAAGTGTATTGAATTTCTTTATGACACAGATATTTGAGGATTCTTATGGACTGACATGGACTTTATGGGCAGGTATATGAATATTCCTGACTGAAAACATTTGTCTAGTACTCAAAAAAATGAATTTGTAAATATAAAAACCTTTAACATTTCCATAATACATGGAGTATTATAGTGACATTCAATGTATTTATTGTTTGAATGTCATTAACCCAAATTTTCACCCTCACCCAAAAATTATGGAAGAATATTCAGTAGCCTCAATGTCCAACTACTAGTCCAATGGTTAAAGGTAAGATTTTATAGGATAACTGTTAGAACATGTAAATCTAGTGAAAATGGAAGTTTTCATATGATGATTTGAATTTCAATTGCACTGTTATTTAAAATGTTTTTTTTATGACTATAAAATACCATAATATTGTAAAAATACCTATCTATCTGACTATTTTTGTTTTATAAACTACTTTGCACTATTTGGGAATATTATTGATTCAACAACAATAACTTCTTTTGTAGGTGCAATCTTATGTGGTTTGGGCTTCATTTCATCCTTTATTGTAAGTTTTATGGATATATATGGAGTAAGGCAACTTGGAGATGAACAAAACCTTCAAACAGAGTCTAAAAAACTAGTAAGTACATATGACATAGCTCATTAAATCATGTAGTATGAATAAAAGGTGATGTAATGTTAATATCAATGAGATAGTAACCCAATAACACAGCTGGCAAGTCAGAAAAGCCATATTTTAGTATATTTAATTAAAACCTTGCATGTAGTTAGATTTAACCTCTTTTATTCTTATAATATTTATATGACTGCAAATTTTTGTGGTCATATTATGTTATGTGTATGTTATACTTTTCATCTGAATGTTTATCTTTGTAGACAAAATGCTTCTTCTTGGTAAATTTAGGTTAAGTTGACTCATACTCTTGAAATTTTGAGACAATGTTTTTTACCAAAAAAGGTAATTTTGAGGGTTGTTGCAGTACACATTTTGAAAAATATTTTCACCACTTTTGCTGTAGAGCATAAATTTTCCATTAAGTTTTGGTGTAGTTCTCTTGTAGATATTTCTTTTTAATAAAAAAAAACTTACTGGTATATGTTATAACCACAGATTAGTTGGCTGAAAGTTTAGTTGTTATTATGTTATTTCTATATAAAGTTTCAATACTGCAGTTAGACATTTTGTAAAACTCTGTTAAAATGTTGGTAAAAGAATATATTTCAGATTGACAATAGGTCAAAGAAAAATCCTATAGTACAAAAGTTGTGCTTTACAATTGACAGTTGAATTAATACATAATGATTTGTTTTTCTACATTATAGAAAGTAACAGATATAAAGTATTTCTCCATGTCTTACTGGTTGTTGGCATTGACTATTATGTTTTTCTATAATGGAGTTTTCCCTTTTGTTGCAGATGCAAGGTAGCGGTATAGTATAATTCTAGATGTTGTAGACAGAATAAATTATTTTAATTGGAAAAAAAACTACAACAAAATATCATCTTTGATATAGTTTTTTGTCGTGCCTGCGTCTTTTGTCGCAGAAAGCTCGACATAGGGATAGTGATCCGTTGGTGACGGCGGCTACGGCGGCTTCGGCGGCGGCCTTAGCTTACTTCTTAAAAGCTGAAGGTGGAAGACCTGGATGCTTCATACTTTGTATATAGATGCCTTATCTTACTAAGTTTCCGTCTGTCACATGTCCATTGTCCATGACCTCATTTTCATGGTTCAGTGACTACTTGAAAAAAAAGTTAAGATTTTTTGTAATGTTAATTTCTCTCTTATAATGAGTAATAGGATAACTATATTTGGTATGTGCGTACCTTGCAAGGTCCTCAAACCCGTCATACAGTTTTCACTTGACCTCGACCTCATTTCATGGACCAGTGAACAAGGTTAAGTGTTGGTGGTCATATCTCAGATACTAGAAGCAATAGGTCTAGCATATTCGGTGTATGGAAGGACTGTAAGGTGTACTTGTCCAACTGGCAGGTGTCATCTGACTTTGACCTCATTTTCATGGTTCAGTGGTTATAGTTAAGTTTTTGTGTTTTGGTCTGTTTTTCTTATACTGTATGCAATAGGTCTACTATATTTAGTGTATGGAATGATTGTAAGGTGTACATGTCTAGCTGGCAGGTGTCATCTGACCTTGACCTCATTTTCGTGGTTCAGTGGTCAAAGTTAAGTTTTTGAGTTTTGGTCTTTTTTTCTTATACTATATGCGATAGGTCAACTATATTTGGTGTATGGAAATATTTTATGATGTACATGTCAGTCTCGCAGGTTTTATTTGACCTTGACCTCAATTTCACGGTTCATTGCTCAGTGTAAAGTTTTTGTGTTTTGGTCTGTTTTTCTTAAACTATAAGCAATAGTCAACTATATTTGTTGTATGGAAGGATTGTAAGCTGTACATGTCTGCCTGGCATGGTTCATCTGACCTTGGCCTCATTTTCATGGTTCATTGGTCAATGTTTAGTTTTCTTGGTTAAGTCTGTTTCTTAGAAACTATAAGCAATAGGTCAACTATATTTAGTGTATTGAATGATTGTAAGCTGTACATGTATTTTTAGTTTGGTTTATATGACCTTGACCTCATTTTCTTGGATCATTTTAAGTTTATGTGATAGTTGTAGTAAAGCTTTATATTTAGGACTATCAACATAATATCAATGGTTAGTAAAGAAGGCGAAACATTTCAGCGTGTGCACTCTTGTTCTAATACTGTATGCAAGAGGTCCACTATATTTGGTTGATGAAAATATTTTACGATGTACATGTCAGTCTGGCAGGTTTTATTTGACCGTGACCTCATTTTTACAGTTCATTGCTCAATGTTAAGTTTTTGTGATTTGGTCTGTTTTTGGGTAAAGATTGCATGAAATGCAATCAAAACCCTATGGTACTGACTAGATATCTAAATCTTCCAAGGTTTATCACTACTTTTGAGATACACAAAATATAGTGCATTGATCATAACATTCTAAACATCTTATCCATGAACATTTCTAGAAATTTATTAATGAAATATATGCTCAGATATTCAAGTTACAAAAGGGTGTTATACTTGTCAAGAAAATTACATTACTTGTGCAAGGTGCAGGAATCTAAAATCTGTTCTAAAAATATCAATGATGTCATTGTTAAAGTTATCTTTAAAACTGAAGTTTTCTTCCTTTGTTCATAATTGTAGTTGAATCAACTACAACCAATGCTTTATGTTCAATGCAATGTTTAATTTTACTTCCCACTGATAAGTTAAAGCAATCTTTACCCTTCAGTGCTTACAAGCACTTTGATACTTAAACTTGAGCAATAGGTCAACTATATTTGGTGTATGGAATAATTGTAAGGTGTATATGTCTGTCTGGCAGTTAACATCTGACCTTGATCTCATTTTCATGGTTCATTGGTCAATGTTAAGTTTTCCTAGTTAAGTTTGTTTCTTAAATACTATATGCAATAGATCAACTTTATTTAAAGCATGTAATGATTGTAAGGTGTACATATCTGTCTGGCATTGTTCATCTGACCTTGACCTCATTTTCATGGTTCATTGATCAGTGTTAAGTTTGTTTCTTAGATATTATGTGCAATAGGTCAACTATATTTAAAGCATAGAATGATTGTAAGGTGTGCATGTCCGTCTGGCAGGGTTCATCTGACCGTGACCTCATTTTCATGGTTCTTTGCTCAATATAAAGTTTTCATGGTTTGGTCTGTTTCTTGTAGACTATAAGCAATAGGTCAACCAACTATATTTGGTGTATGGAATGATTTCAAGGTGTACATGTATTTCTGGCTTGGTTTATCTGACCTTGACCTCATTTTCTTGGATCATGTTAAGTTTATGTGATACTTGTAGTAAAACTTTATAATTAGGACTATCAGCATAAAATCAATGGTCAGTAAAGCAGACGAGACATTTCAGCATATGCACTCTTGTTTTTTATTATTGTTAATTATCTTGAAAACTATAATAGATACATTGAAATTTAAAAAGCAAAAATGATCAGCAAGACGAGATCTACAAATAAGTCCACATGATCGAAATCAATAATCGACTCCTTATAAAATTTATTGCCGTTTGTTGACGATTTTTACTAATTTTTTGTGTTTTTGCCTTATATCTTAATAATTATAATAGATCGATAGAAACTTGAATGAGCAAAAACGATCAGCAAGATAAGATTTACAATTAAAATTACATGAAGGAAATAGTCCAACGACTCCTCCTTGGAGTTATTGCCCTTTATTGACGATTTTTACCAATAATTTTGCGTTTTGTCTTCTATGATAAAAATTATAATAGATAAATAGAAACTTTAATTAACAAAAATTATCAGCAAGGCAAGATCTACAAACAAGTCAAATTTTGCCGATATAGTTAGTAGACTTTTTATAGGAATGATTGCCCTTAAATGAGGATTTTTTTACCCTCTTTTATGTTTTGAGCAAAAACTGAAGTAGATAGAGAGAGAAACATAACAGTTGAAATGATCAGCAAAACAAGATCAACAAAAATGAGATTTTTGTCATGAATTCTATTCTTGTCTACAATATTGGAGAGTGTCCTTTTATTTTTATCTTTGTTGAGTATGCACATTGATCTAGATGAATGACACAGGCTCTTTAGAGCCTCTAGTTTTTGATATGACAATTTATGATTGTAGTGTATGCAAGCTCCATATTTGTTTGGTCCATCATAATAACAGAAGTACAGATACAAAACATTCACAAATACAATGAATACACAAATATTTACAAAGGTCAGTCACTATGAATTATGGAATCACTCGCAGAAAGAAACAAGTCATGAAGGATTACTTTATATTAGGGTTGTCTGTTTTGAATCCAATAATTGTGAATTTGTCATCATCCTTTTAAATACCTGTATTGTAACTAATGAATTTTGATTTTAACGATTTATTTTATCTCGGCTTGGGTCATTTAGATTCGTTTCCTATTTATATCAGGTGAAATATGTTAGCACACTAAAGTTCAGCTTGGACGATCAACAAAGGTGTAAATTACCGGTCACCATAAACATGTCATTTTAACTGTTAAACAAACAAGTATGTTTACACAGCTTTGATTACTTATAAAGTTGATTACCGGCGTAGGTTACATAAGAAAAATATCCAATTTGAATTTTAATCTTTTTCTTTTTTCGAAATTTCGAACTTTCGAACTTTGAGATATAGGGGTCAATTTACATCAGTTTTACAACGCCAGAGCTATAAAATTGATTTGACTTAACCGAGAAATCGATTCAACTGAGTTCGACTTCTCAGAGGTTGAAATGCATTGATCAAACAGGAAGTTTACCTGGACCACAAAATTGCTTCCATTCATCCGAGTTTTCGACACAACAAAGTTCAACTGTAAACTCTGTTTTTTTTTTGTCATGTGAATTTCTCATTTATAATGAGTAAAAGGATAACTATATTTGGTTAATGGGATCCATGCAAGATTTTCATGTCGCCAGATGTCACGGATAGACGAGAGCTGACTTAGGAGTTTGTACTTACAGATAATAAATGACTACTACTTTAAACAAAATAACAATTTAATTAGGTACAAATTAACAAATATAAATAGATGAAATCAAATGAAATAATACTGTCAAATGTTTAATGAACTGTTCCTTCTTCTTTATATTAAACTATGAAATCTGGATAAACGATACTACGGAATTTTACGTATTTGGTTTTCGGTAACTACACAAAACTGACCCAATATAAGCGGTGTACACATTACGGCTGCCCTATTGTCTAGACTCGACTCCAAATATTCTATGTTGCCAAACTATTGATGATAAACACGGAACGCCGCACTGTCAACAGGTTTCACCACCATCTGTACTTTATCTCCATACTTTACTATACAAAACTACATACACCTAGCCCGCAAACTGGGACCTATTGAAATACATACTGTACGTTAAGATACAATACTATACTTAAGAAATATACATATGTTTATGTATTACACATGTCGCATAAATAATGACAAATACTTAGTACGACTACTTATGTTCAATCTATAGAAGATTATAGCATATTGAATAATGCATTACTTATACACAAATAATTACGGCATATCGTATAATGCCTTACTTTACACAATACAAACTACGGCATATCGTACAATGCCTTACTTTACAAGTCACATAATTGACTTTATTGTATACTATCATTATACAATTACTACACACAATATACAGCTTTTAACGCTGAATATACATTTATGCTTATACGTTGCATATTACTTTACATACTTATGGAGATACATACATCATTGCATTATTGTACGCAAACGTTCCTAAAATACCAAACAATTTCGATACTCGAATATTTACTACAGCCGGAAACATATAACCGTGTTAAACTTTCATTATAATGAACATTAATTAACTTATTACATTTATAAAATAGCAATGTCAAAAATTACAATTACAATTGAAATAATTATTCTATATTTGCGTTGTTGCAGAAAACTGAACACTTTAGAACGAATAATGATTAAATAAATAAGAATAAATTGAATCCTACCTCAGAAATCCAGTGTGTGTGTCCACGCCACATTGTAAACTAACTTTATACAAACATTTCTGACCACACCTTGACTCGTTAAGGTGTTACCTGAGAGTGAATAGTCAGCTCATCAAATACAGGTATCACTGTTACTCAACCCGTTCGACAAGTTTACAGGTAAATGCCCAAGTAAATAGTGGACACTACTTAATTAATTAGATGTAAAATGTGGACATGTATTATACACCGAAGTCTGCAGAATATAGCATTTATAAGATACTGACGTTCTGCAAATCGAAATAGAATTAACAACCAAAATAACAACATATATGTGAGTAAACAAAGTCACCCTGTGACAGTTCCTCCCCACAAAAAGAAGTACGAAGTACTGATAATAAAAAATATATATAAACAGAAATAGATTTACATACAAAAACCCATCAATGCAAATAAACTAGTCCAAATCAAAAGACAAACTAATCATACTAACGACACTACCGGACAGTACTCGACTCTTGACCAGGTCCAAATAAAATACCAACCGACCCTTACAACAAATCGACATATACTCACCTAAAAGATGAATAAGGATCATTATCAGGTCTTGTCGCCTCATAACTTAAACCTATTCAAAGTGTTATGTCACGACATATCCTGCCCACAACATCACGGTTTGTCACCATTTCAAATCTAGTCCTGTGATATTTAGACTGTTCAACAAAATAAAACTAACACTATCAAATCTTCACTACTTACTATTCATTATAAAACAAAACACTGTAATATTTACATCCTAAACTCTACTGAGATAATCTGCACCCACATTATCTATACCTTTAACTGCTACAATTCTAAATCTGTAAGGCTGTAGAGCTAATGCCCACCTCATAAGTCTAGCATTCTCTACTTTCTTCTTATCAAGATAAGTAAGTGGCTGGTGGTCAGTCTCAAGTATAAATTCTCTACCGTATAAATACCTCTGAAATTTCTGCACAGCCCAAACGATGGCTAAACACTCTTTTTCAATAGTGGAATAAGCCACTTCACTCTTCTTAAGTTTCCTACTTGCATATGCAATAGGCATCTTGGAGTTCTCTTGATACTGCATCAGTACTGCCCCAATCCCTCTATCTGATGCATCAGTCATCAGAACAAAAATCTGAGTGAAATCTGGTAATTTCAATATAGGAAACCTAACTAAAGCATACCTTAAAGACTGAAATGCGTTCTCCTGTGCATTTTCCCAAACAACAGTTCTAGGCTGTCCTTTCTTCGTCAGATCAGTAAGTGGAAGTGCAATACAGGAGAAGTTTGGAATAAACTTCCTGTAAAACCCAACTAATCCAAGAAAAGACCTTACCTGTTTCTTTGTAACTGGTCGTGGAGCTTCTTCTATCGCTTTAACCTTGTCTGGATGAGGTTTAAGTTTGTCATCACCGACAAAATGACCCAAACACTCTAGACTACCATAACCTATGGAACACTTACTAGGTCTAGCTGTAAGATTTGCCCCTTTAAGTCTGACCAAAAGTTCATACAGTACCTCTAAATGTTGCTCAAATGTCAAGGTGAAGATGATTATATCATCTATGAAATTATCTATATTCTTCATACCTTTTAACAATATTCTCATTAATCTGCAAAAAGAAGCTGGCGCAGTAACCAGTCCAAACGGCATTCTACGAAACTGAAACAAACCTTTAGGTGTTTGAAAAGCGGTTTTCGGTTTGGCATCCTCTGATAACGGTAACTGCCAATATCCTTTTGATAAATCGATTCGTGAAAAGTACTTATGTCCTGCTAACTTAGAAAACATCTCTTCTGCATTCCCCATCGGTTCAGCGTCAAACAAAGTCTGGCTATTTAACGACCTAAAATCAATACAAAATCGGTTTGTATTGTCCTTCTTCTTAACAATGACGATCGGTGACGCATAAGGACTCGTAGATGCTTCCATAACTCCAAGGTCTAACATTTTACTAACCTCAGCATTTACTGTGTCTAACATACTATATGGAATAGGATACGGTTTCATCCTTATAGGCGTTTCACTGGACAATTTAATGTCATGCTCCAGAAGATCGGTACATCCTGGAGAATCAGTAAAGACTTCAGGAAATGAAAACAGCAATTCCTTTACCTGTAATATCTGATTTTCATCCAAGTCTGGATTAACATCAATATGACTAGCATTCTCACCTGAATCAGTAAAAGGTATTTCATGAATCTCATCATAAACATCCACTTGGTCACTATCAGTATCTATCACTGCAGAACTTACCACTGTTAAATCATCATCTACATCACACCTTTCCACATACCTTTTCAATAAGTTTGCATGGAACGTTTTAATCTTCCCATTCATCTGTATTCTGTAGTCTACCTTACCAAATTTCTCAGTAATAGTAAAAGGACCTTTCCACTGCATCAACAGTTTATTCTTATCCGTAGGTAAGAGCACAAGAACCTTTTCACCTACCTTCATATGTCTTTGCTTGGTCGATTTATCATAATATACCTTATTCTTCTTTGATGCAGACGCCAAATTACTTCGAGCAAGCTCACAGGTAGCTTCTAATCTCTCTCTTAAATCTATCACGTACTGATATGTAGACTTTACCTCAGGATCGTCTATCTCTTTAGTCCATAGCTCCTTTAATATTGCCATAGGTCCCCTCACCTGTTTACCATACACGAGCTCAAATGGCGAAAACTTCAGACTCTCCTGTGGAACTTCCCTGTATGCAAACAGTAATGCATTTACATACCTGTCCCAATCTTTAGGTCGTTCATGACACATTCTCTTCAACATCAGTTTTAGACTTCCATTGAACCTCTCTACTAACCCATTACACATAGGATGATAAACAGTTGTAGTTAACTGTCTAAGCGATATGAGTCTACTTACCTCAGCCATAAGCTTAGATGTAAACTGACTTCCCATATCAGTTAACATTTCCTGTGGAACTCCTACTCTAGAAAATATATCTACTAATGCCTCAGCAACACTCTCTGTCTCAATATCCTTCAAAGCTATTGCTTCAGGATAACGTGTAGCATAATCTACCAAAGTCAGTATATATCTACTACCTCTGTATGTTCTAGGAAAAAGAGGTCCAATGAGATCAACTGCTACGCGTTTAAACGGCTCATCTATCAACGGCATAGACTGTAAAGGTACCTTACCTATTTTTCCTTTAGGAACTGTACGCTGGCATATGTCACAAGACTGACAAAATCGCTTAACATCCGCCGAAACACCTGGCCAATAAAAAGCTGATAATACTCTATCAAGTGTACGCTGTGTACCCATGTGACCTGACATAATCGACTCATGTGCTACTCTCGTCACTGTCTCGCGATGAAACTTCGGAACTACTAACTGAGTACAACTTACCCTATCAGGTTTTGACGACGAAAACTGTCTGTATATCATACCTCTTTTTAAAATCCACTTTACTTTTCCATTCTTCCGTGTAACTGTATCACCCGTTAATACATACCTTCTTATTTTATCCAACGTTGTATCTTCTAGTTGAGCTTTCTTGATTACATTTGGATTTACCTCATCTGTGATGATATCTTTTACCTTCAGTTGCACAAACGGCTTACTTTTGTTTCTTACCTGTTCTCTTGTCTCAACAGCTCCCGTTTGTTGCCACAAAGGATCAGGCTTTCCTGGTTCTCTAGCGTCCTCTACATTACCAATTATCAAGTCATACACAGGATTAGCCATACACCATCCTTCAAATTCTCCCTGTAAATATGGTGTATCTATATCAATTCTAGCTATTGGCACTTCAACTCTGGTTCCATCTGCCAAAATACATACCTGTTTTCCACCCGTTAATGACTCATTGCCAACCATATCACGTTTAACCACAATACCACTGCAACCAGTATCTCGTAAAACCGTGACTGGTTTACCATCAACATAACCTGAACTTACAGGCATACTTACATTTGCGGTTGACTGACAAGACAACGGAAGTGTACTTGTACAACCAGTAGGAATAGCATCTACTATAGAATCTGTAGGTATAGTACAGGTATTACATACTTTACCTTTAAAATTCTTTCTATCGTCTGACGATCCACTGTTGGTCTTTTGTAGATTAACTCTACAATCCGTTGCAATATGTCCATTCTTACCACACCTTTCTGTCCCTATTAGGTACAAATGAAGTACGTTCTGTTGGTTTTATACTTCTCTGTTCTTTCTTTGTACTATAATCAACTGGTTTCGAACCACTTTGGTTTCTTACTGAAGATGTGTTTGACTGATTACCTTTATCTATAAGATTGGAAGCACTTGTTTGTCTTTCCTCACGATACTGATCAGCTAAAGCTACCATTTTCTCTAAAGAATCTGGTATTCTCTCTTTTAAAAACAAAGACAAGTCCTTCGAACATATATGTAGAAACTGATCCCGTATAATCAAGTCATACAAACTTATATAAGTAGTATCTGTATGTGCCATATCAATCCAACGCTTAAAATAGCTATCTAACCTAACAGAAAACTGTATAAAAGTCTCACCTGGCTCTGGTCTACAACTTCTAAATCTACGTTTAAATCCTTCTTCAGTCATATCATACCTTTTTAGTAGAGCATCTTTCAAAGCTGGATAATCAAGAGCTTTATCAACCGGCATAAGTGCATATACATCAAGAGCCTTGCCCTTCAATAACGCACTAAGATGAGTGGCCCAAATATCAGGTTTCCACTTTTGAGCAGTAGCATAACGCTCAAATCTCCTAAGATAACTATCTATCTCATCCTTACCTTCTTCAAAAGCTGGAATTTTAGGTCCACGAACTGTATCATGTGACCCCCCTGTACTTACTAATTGTGGTAACTCAGCTTGTTTACTTAACTCTTCCATTTTCTGACTATGCGTCAACTTTTGTAGTTCCAATTCATTCTCAACCTTAGCTTTCTCAATCAAAACTTTTTCTATAGCTGCTTTTCTATCTCGTTCGTCTTTCTGTTCTTGCCTTAAAGCAGCCCTTTCATCTAGGACCCTATCCTGCTGATCTTTAACAAACCTTCTCAACTCATCATCTTCATACCCTAATGAAGTACCCAAATCTCTAATCTGTTGAATCTGTTCCATCTTGAACAGTCAACAAACCAAACACCAATTTCAAAAAACAAAACGCCAGCACTCAATGTACCTACTGCAACCCTCAGTGTACTACAATCAATTACTAAATATATGTAAGTACCGATACTCACAGTTTACAATGTAGAGCAGAAACAACACCAAACCTCCAAGGCACGAACCAACATAGACACAACTGTGAAATCTGGGTCCCAAATATTCAGTTCTCCTCACAAACACCTGAAGCTATACAATTCAAACATATAATAAAACAATACAAATGGAAAAATACATGGTGAAAAAAAAATACAATCAAAAATACATAAGATTGAAAATTTAAATTTAATGAAAACTCTCTAAGCCTTTTAAACAAATCCCACTTCTGACACCAATTGTCACGGATAGACGAGAGCTGACTTAGGAGTTTGTACTTACAGATAATAAATGACTACTACTTTAAACAAAATAACAATTTAATTAGGTACAAATTTACAAATATAAATAGATGAAATCAAATGAAATAATACTGTCAAATGTTTAATGAACTGTTCCTTCTTCTTTATATTAAACTATGAAATCTGGATAAACGATACTACGGAATTTTACGTATTTGGTTTTCGGTAACTACACAAAACTGGCCCAACATAAGCGGTGTACACATTACGGCTGCCCTATTGTCTAGACTCGACTCCAAATATTCTATGTTGCCAAACTATTGATGATAAACACGGAACGCCGCACTGTCAACAGGTTTCACCACCATCTGTACTTTATCTCCATACTTTACTATACAAAACTACATACACCTAGCCCGCAAACTGGGACCTATTGAAATACATACTGTACGTTAAGATACAATACTATACTTAAGAAATATACATATGTTTATGTATTACACATGTCGCTTAAATAATGACAAATACTTAGTACGACTACTTATGTTCAATCTATAGAAGATTATAGCATATTGAATAATGCATTACTTATACACAAATAATTACGGCATATCGTATAATGCCTTACTTTACACAATACAAACTACGGCATATCGTACAATGCCTTACTTTACAAGTCACATAATTGACTTTATTGTATACTATCATTATACAATTACTACACACAATATACAGCTTTTAACGCTGAATATACATTTATGCTTATACGTTGCATATTACTTTACATACTTATGGAGATACATACATCATTGCATTATCGTACGCAAACGTTCCTAAAATACCAAACAATTTCGATACTCGAATATTTACTACAGCCGGAAACATATAACCGTGTTAAACTTTCATTATAATGAACATTAATTAACTTATTACATTTATAAAATAGCAATGTCAAAAATTACAATTACAATTGAAATAATTATTCTATATTTGCGTTGTTGCAGAAAACTGAACACTTTAGAACGAATAATGATTAAATAAATAAGAATAAATTGAATCCTACCTCAGAAATCCAGTGTGTGTGTCCACGCCACATTGTAAACTAACTTTATACAAACATTTCTGACCACACCTTGACTCGTTAAGGTGTTACCTGAGAGTGAATAGTCAGCTCATCAAATACAGGTATCACTGTTACTCAACCCGTTCGACAAGTTTACAGGTAAATGCCCAAGTAAATAGTGGACACTACTTAATTAATTAGATGTAAAATGTGGACATGTATTATACACCGAAGTCTGCAGAATATAGCATTTATAAGATACTGACGTTCTGCAAATCGAAATAGAATTAACAACCAAAATAACAACATATATGTGAGTAAACAAAGTCACCCTGTGACACCAGACAGGGTTCACTTAGCCTTGACCACATTTCATGTATCATTGATCAAGATTAAGTTTTCATGTCAAGTCTGTATCTTCGATACTGAAAGCAATAGTTCAACTATATTTGGTGTATGGATTGATTCAATTTGATTGTCAGGTGAACATGTCTGATGGGTAGGTTTCATCTGACCTTGACTTCATTTTCTAGGTTCATTGGTCAATGTTAAGTTTTAAAGGTTAGCTCCATTTCTCAGATACTATACAATACAATATTTTTATTTCCAAATTAAAGGGCCCATTAAGAGCATAACATTAATAACAACATGACATAAACATTACAGAGTGACTAAAGAAACATAAAATAATAGTTCAAATGCATGAGTAGTTCAATATATAGTTCAATATATAGTTCAAAGTATAGTTGAACAATAGTTCAACTATACTTTGCGTCTGGACTAATTGTAAGGTGTACATGTCTATCTGGCAGGGTTCATCTGACCTTGATTTTTATTATCATGGTTCAATGGTCAATACTAATTTTGCCTTTTATTTGTGTTTCTTAGATACTATAAGCACTAGGGTAACTATTTTTGGTGTTTGGAATGATTGTATGGTGTACATGTCTGTCTGGTTGTATATTGAGTAAATCAGACCTTTCTGATTTTTAAGGAGTAGTTGCTCTCCAATTTTTCGTAGTATTTCCAAATCTGAGAATATCTCCCTTTATCCATTTAAATGGGCCACTTCCTTTTTGAAGCTTTGGCTGCTGTTTCTTGATATAACATTGTGATCTGAAGATGCATAAGGGCATGATACATAATCTAACAAAAGTTAATTTTGGTGAGAGCATGCAGCCAATATTTCCAAATAAAAAAAAGATTTGAAAAACCAAAAAATAATTTCCAAGATACTTTTTGTGAGTCAGCAGAAAAAACTATAGAGTCCACATGACAACATAGTTACACAAATTATTTTTTGTTCAATATATAAAAATAGGAAAATATTAATCTGGAAAAACAGTACTGTAATTCCGAGTTTGAATTTTTAAACAATATTGTGAATCTATTCCTTTACCACATATTCTTTTGCATAAAATGAATTTAAGATTGAATTGAAATTTAACATTTATTCTCCTTTTTCAGTGATTTTATTTTTGAAAAGTATAAAGATAAATATGACTTCAGTAAGAGAACATCCTCCATATTGGCTGGTGCTGTATATGATGTTTCTATGGTGTTATCACCATTTCTTGGTGGTTTAATTGTAAGTACACTATGTTTACATTGTTAATGTCATGTTGTATTTATTTAACTGTAAATTCACATTTACTCAGTTTTCTTTGAATTCACACACATGCAGTGTTTCTGTCAATTTTCATAATAATATATTTCTTTTAAATTGTCTCCACCATGTTGAATTGAGAAAAAATACAGGTCCATTTTTTGTCTCGCCTGAGATGAAATTCGCAGTATGCGAGACATAGGGATTACTATCCGGCGGCGGCAGAGGTGTGAACTATTTGTTTAACGCTTTATATTTCAGAAGGTAGAAGACCTGGTTGCTTCATATCTTGTATGAAGATACCTTATGTTACGAAGTTTCTGTCTGTCATGTCCATTTTCCTTGACCTCATTTTTATGGTTCAGAAACTACTTGAAAAAAATAGTTTTTTTTTGTCATGTGAATTTTTCACTTATTATGAGTAATAGGATACCTATATTTGTTATATGGGTTCCTTGCAAAATTTACATGTTCTTTCCAGACAGGGTTTACCTGACCTCGACCACATTTCATGGATCTGTGATCAAGGTTAAAGTTACATGATTAGGTCCGTTTCTCAGCAGTAGGTCAACTATGTGTGGTGTATGGAATGATTGTAAGGTTTACATGTCAGTCTGGCAGGTTTCATCTGACCTTGACCTCATTTTCATGGTTCATTTGTCAATGTTAAGTGTTTGTGTTTTGGTCTGTTTTTCATGAACTATAAGCAAAAGGTCAACTATTTGCTGTAAGGACAAAAAGAAGACACAAATTTTGATCAGGTAAAAACAAATTTTCAGAATATTACCGAATTTTTCAATTTTTTTAGCAATGGTCGATTCTGTTTAGATTATTGCACATGAAGTTATTTAAATAAAATTTCTCAGTGAAACAGCGTGTTGCACCTAACTTTGTACTTACCTTAGTTTCTGTGAATAATTACAAAGGTCATAAAAAAATTTGGTACAGTGATCTATAATTCTAAATACATGAATGACTGTTTTATGTTTATGTTCAGACTTAACGATGTTCACTACATTTTGTATGCTCCACCTAGGATAGTAGAGGGGCATTATGTTTTTCGGTCCATTAGTCCGTCCATCCATCCGTCTGTCCCGCTTCAGGTACAAGTTTTTGGTCAAGTCAGGTTAAAGTTTTTGGTCAAGTCAGGTTAAAGTTTTTGGTCTCAGGTTACAGTTTTTGGTCAAGGTAGATTTTGCTGAAGTTGAAGTCCAATCAACTTGAAACTTAGTACACATGTTCCCTATGATATGATCTTTCTAATTTTAGTTCCAAATTAGAGTTTTGACCCCAATTTCACGGTACACTGAACATAGAAAATGATAGTGTGAGTGGGGCATCCATGTACTATGGACACATTCTTGTTTTTAGTTTATTTCAAAATTACAAGCTTTTAAAAAGACTGTTATAGATTGATAGTATATAAATAACGCAACTAAATAAGCAGAAAAAGTGAAAGATCCATGTTCTTGTTTTTGACATATAAGCCATTGAAAATTTTAAAGGAAATGATTCTCTCTCTATTTTTCCTACATTTAACTTTAACATATTTTTTTTAAAACACTATGAAAAAATAATAAGGATTTTATAATATTGTCAAAAATGGCTTTTTAAACTATGTGTTTAAAGTATTGAAAAAAAAAGTAGGGGTTAGTGGGAAAATTTGTAATTACAAGAATAAAACCAGAGGATTCTGAATATCTGACAAAAAGTCAAAAACAAGATCAGTGAACATCCTTACCTACAAATCATAGAGGAATGATATTTTGTTAGTGTACTTATTTGGTTCATTGACTTCATATGTTTTGCAAAGTTAACATGTTAGATTATTGACATTTTGATATCAACATTTACACTTTACTATCAAATTTACATACAGGTGAGATATATCTCTGTGTCAACAGTTTATCATTACATTATATTGTAGAATTCATGAAGCTTATTGATTTACCCTGAAAACAGTATCTGAGTTGCTAAACTTTATATATTGTAGGATGTTATTGGAATGAGAGGAGTTCTTGCCTTAACTTGTGCCTTGTTAACTATACCTGTCTTTGGAATACTAGCTTTTACTTATGTATACCCACTAGTGGCAACTTTATGGCTGGGAATTACCTATTCTTTTGCTGCAGTAAGTTATAATTAGGGCCCCGCCGAATGGCGGACGCCCTATAGTGATCAGTCTGTCCGTCCGTCCGTCCGTCCTTAACAAATTGTGTCCGCTCTATATCTAGAGAACCATTAGGATTTCAAAGTTTATACTTGACATGTATATTAACCAACACCAGAGGGTGTGTCATAATGTATATACAACTTCCTAGGTCAAAGGTCAAGGTCAAAAACTGGTTTTAGTTGACAACCCCAAGTCCTATGGTAAATATCGTGTCCGCTCTGTATCTTGAGAACCGTTATGATTTCAAAGTTTATACTTGACATGTATATAAACCAACACCAGAGGGTGTGTCATAATGTATGTACAACTTCCTAGGTCAAAGGTCAAGGTCAAAAACTTTGGTTTTAGTTGACAACCCCATGTTCTATGGTAAAGATCGTGTACGCTCTATATCTTGAGAACCGTTATGATTTCAAAGTTTATACTTGACATGTATATAAACCAACACCAGAGGGTGTGTCATAATTTATGTACAACTTCCTAGGTCAAAGGTCAAGGTCATAAACTTCGGTTTCAGTTGACAACCCCATGTCCAATGATAAAGATACAATTTTTTACCACACATTATTCACAGCGGGGCCCACAGAGATGGCTCCCATCTCAATGATATCTAGTTAGAACAAGGTTTTTCTGGTTTCCGGACAAATACTTAAGTATTAGTCAATGGATCTCTATGAAATTGTACCTCAAGGTTCCATACACAGAAGGTTGGGGTCGATTTTGTGGGTTGTGGCTTTAATTGTTAAGAAACTAGAGGCCAAATAGGGGCCAAAAACAAGACTTTTCTAATATTGGCTAAGCTGGTTCTAACATAAATTATTTCTGATCTATATAAAGAAACAACAAATACTGATATTGCAGGAGATACACACCGAACAGGGTGTTTTAATTATTATATTTAGTTTGTAAACAGATTTACTAAGTATTGCTCAACAGCAAAGTGTTTTAAATAGGTCTACATTGAGGTCCAAAGGGTTCAAAATTAGACTTTGTTTGATTTCATCAAAAACTGAATTCTTGTGGTTCTATGATATGCTGAATCTAACTGTGCATTCAGATTTTCAATTTTGGGCCCTGTTTTCAAATTAGTCCATGTTAAGGTCCAAAGGGTCCAAAATTAAACTTCATGTTTTTTTTTTTATATGCTGAATCTAACCATGGAATTAGATTTTGGATATTGGACCATTAAGTAGATTAAATGTCCTATTTCAAATTTTTAAGTTATCTGACCACATTTATTCTGTGTCAGAAATCTATAATGTGTCAAATATTTAATTACTATCCAAATTCAGAGCTGTATCAAGCTTGAATATTGTGTCCATACTTACCCCAACTGTTCAGAGTTCTACCTCTGCGGTCATATCCAGCTGCGCGCATTTTTATACTTGTAAATATCTTGACACCAATATAAAAATAAGAAGATGTGGTATGATTACCAATGAGACATCTCTCCACCAGACCAAATAATGTAGAAGTAAACAACTATAGGTCACCATACTGCCTTCAACAATGAGCAAAAGCATTTTGAGATGTTAAATGTTGACAAATATAATGCCTACCCATGTCAATATGAGTATAAAGCATGACATGAAAGAATTATTTTGGATTCTAAAAGAAAATTTAGAACTTGTACTTCTAAGCCGACCTATAAGACATGTAGAAAGGCACCCATTTTTGTCTCGCCTTCAAAAGCGAGACATAGGTATGGTGTTTCCGGCATCGGCGTTGGCGGCATCAACAATGTATTAGTTTGTGATTAGGTCTAGTTTATGGTGAACCACTAGTGGTAGGTCAATGATATTTGGTATGCAGTTGTATTAGCATTGGCACATCTCATTTCCATGGAGATTATTTGGCCTTGCCCCTCAGTCATGGTCTATTGACGTTGAAACTTTTGCCTAGTTTACATGTATTAGTTTGTGATTAGGTCAGTTTGTGGGGAACCACTAGTGGTAGGTCAATGATATTTGGTATGCAGTTGTATAAGCATTGGCATATCTCATTTCCATGGAGATTATTTGGCTCCACCCCCTCAGTCATGGTCTATTGACTTTGAAACTTTTGTTTAGTTTCCATGTATTAGTTTGTGATTAGGTCAGTTCAAGGGTAACCATTAGTGGTAGGCCAATGTTAATTGGTATGCAGTTTTATAGGTATTGGCACATCTCATTTCCATGGAGAATATTTGGCACCACCCCCTCAGTCATGGTCTATTGACTTTGAAACTTTTGCTTAGTGTACATGTGCCAGTATTAGTTTGTGATTAGATCAGTTTAAGATGAACCGCTAATGTTAAGTCAATGATATTTGGTATGCAAATTTATTGGCATTTGCAAGTTTTGTTTCCATGGAGATTATATAGCCCCACCCCTTCATGTTGGTTGATTGACTTTGAAACTTTTACATAGTTTACCAGTTAATGTTTGTGTTTAGGTCTATTTAAAAGGAATGACTTATGGTAAGTCAATGGTATTTGGTATGCAGTTGTATTAGCATTGGCACATCTCATTTCCTGGTTATTGCTGAATTTTTAGTTTCTGTTCTCTACTCAAGTTAGCCTCAACCAAATGTTATGAGACTTCCACACAATGCTTATTACCACAAAACTCAGTTTAAGTTCAAATTTGGGTAGCGTCACTTTTACCGTTCTTCAGTTATGTCCCTTTATAACTATATGATATGCAAGCGGGGGCATCATCTGTGTCCACATGTGGACACTATCCACATTTATTTTTTTATACATGTGTGTTTATTTGGTGTCTGTATAGCTGATAAAAATATCAAGTTAAGATGGCTTTTATCCTCATTAGCTGTAAACATAACTTGAAAAAGCTGAACAATGTTTACAATGAAGTAATATACATTCTCAAATAACAAGAATGATGCATGTCAACTTTTGAGATCTCTATACCTAAATGGGGGGGGGGGGGGGGGGGGGGGGGAGTGAAATAGAATGCTACATCAAGGGCATGTCCAGACCTGTAACTACAAGAACATCCAACTATATGATGATTTTAAATGTACTCAGACATATCAAGTATGATGGCAAGACCACTCCATTACTAGTACAAGTTCTTCATGAAAAACTTACTACAAGAAGAAATTTTGTGATTTGTAGGCTAGTATGTGGCCATCAATCCCACTTGTTGTGAGTCAGGCTACGGTTGGAACAGCTATGGGATTAACTACCTCAATACAGATGATTGGTATAGGAATATCAAACTTGGTTGTTGGTCAAATACTGGGCAAAAGTCAAGAGTAAGTTTGTCTATTATAAAAAATTTTAAATAGTTTCGCTGACCCTGTCTGCCTGTGTCTACGAATACCTTTATTCTGGAAAATTTGGAAATCGAAAAATTTAACCTTTGATCCCTTGCAAGAATGAAAATTGTTATGCCTTGCCTATGATGGTTGGGGCATTGCCGGTATACAGGTAAAAACAATTATTAACATATTTTTTTAACCCATAACATTAAATCAAACAGACCTGGAAAAATCCAATTGCACGAGTTCGCAATCTATTTATATCTATGTTTATGTTTATATCTGGTTATATGACCCTCAGCAGTCTTCGGAGGTCACATTGATGGTTAATTAGATGGCGTCTAGACTAAAATACACATGAAATGCTGATACATACTATCGAGTCTATGCATAGTAAACTGTTTATTTTTGACTTTTTATAATTTGGATATGCGTTTGAGTATGTTATAAGGTGAATATAAGAATTTGAGTCAAATCGGTGAACATGAATTTGACATCTAATGCCCCTTTAAGGTATGATTGCCAATGAGACAATTTTCCAACAGAATCCAAATGATGTGGATATAAGCAAATATATAAAAACTATAAAAAAATATTCTGAAGGTTTACAAAAAAGATTCAAGAGTTTTTAATTGTTATATAATTTTACAACTTGAATGCAGAAATAGCAATGAACAAAAATGGCTTTATAAATATACCTTAGAATAGAAAAAAGTTGATGTGACCAATAACAAATTAAGGGGTTATGCTTATACCTGTAAAATTCAGAAATGGTTGCTAATTACAAGAAACAACCTTTTGTGTTTGGTATTAAAAGTGAATAGTACCGTAATACAGGTTCCTATAAATGGATGAATATATGGCAATTTTAGGATACATATTGTATTTTTATTGAAAAAATATATGTTATTATTAACAGACAATTGAGATCATTACCTAACAAATAATCCAGAATAATATTTATATTTTCTAACCAGTAATCCATAATAATATTTATATTTTCTAACCAGTAATCCAGAATAATATTGTTTATGTTCTCCTTCGCTTTGATCATCCAAACATAAAACTTTTCTGATTACATAAAAAAAAAAAACTGAAGACTAGTATGAATTGAGAGACGCACCAAAGCAGTTTTAATAAATAAATATTGGTTAGCATGTAATGTATTACAACATAACGTTAATAACGAATTATTTATAAGTCCAAAACATCAGCACAATCCTGGAGTCACAATCTACAAATACAAATAGTATGAATTAGAACAAGAACAACTTATATACAATGGCATTATAATAAGTAATATCAGAATATAACTGTAGAACTCGCTTTGGTGTTTTCTCGATAATTAGAAAAAGGCGCCAAAAGAATTATATAAAGGTCTTGAACCGAATTACTTCTGATTACACAAAGAAAAGTAAATATAAATATTTTGATAAAATAAGAAATATTACTACTTTCAGTTTGTCAAGAGAAGATACATTATTGAGATGGAAATATGTTATGATATATCTGTTGGCCAATTCTTTGGCCTGTGTTGCTACCACTACAATTCTTAATCTAAATGATAAAAGGAGGGTATGTATTCAGCTACTTTATTCATGACTAGTTTATATTGGACGTTAACAGGTATAAGTTGTAATGTGAAGTGTACTGAAGTGTAGTATATACCAAACTGTGCTTTATTAACAACATGATTTATGAACTCACCATTTAGAAAATACCATGTATAAAATTTGTATCCAATACAAAAAAGATGTACTTGGGAATATCACTAATTTCAAAGATGTGTAATACACAGATAATATTTTAAATGACATTGATAGGTCAAATTTGCAAAGCCAAATATATTTAAAATTAGCTATTGTTTTATTTTATATTAAATACTTGTCTTTTGTTGTTTAGAGAGATGACTTATTGTGTAGAAGGGTTTTGGCAGAGCTTCCAAAAATGACTTAAGGGCATACGATACAGTCACAGGAGAGATAATGATGTTGCTAACATAAAATCTTATTTTACGCGACGTCAATCTGTGAAAAATCGGGAAAAGATGCATTTTTCAACTGATTTTAATCATTAGCTGGAAAATGAATAAATCAACGCCTCTTTTGAAAAATGACATTTGATTATGTATGAAGATTAGTTGTACCAATTTTTATGAAAAATTCACTGATGAATTTTTTTTTTAAATTAGATAAATATACAGCAAAAAATGCTGGTTTTTTCTTAAATCATAAACATTTAATAAAAATGAATTATTTCAAAAGAATTGATACATAAAACTAGAGCATACTTATGTGAAGAAGATATTCCAATTTTTTTTTACAAAAATCCGCTTGTGCTTATCTTTTGAAACAAAAAAAGTTATGTATGTCTAAGATAAGATAAGATAAAGACGTTGATTGCAATAAGCACAATTATGCTATAGCATATTTAAATTACAACATAATCATGTGTAAGCAACATGAAATTTATAATAAAATATAGTTATATAAAACAGCAAAGAACACAATAAACATTATGAACACTTTGTTTATGAAAAAAGACAATATATTTAACTATGTCTGTCCAAAGGATAGATTTGTCCAAGAAACTCAAAAATTTCGATCCCATTTATTTTTAAAAGTAGCACATGAAGGTATATTTTTATTACATATATTTGAAATGACTAGGTTCAAATACCTTGTATGCAAATTTTCGTCAAGAATTCACAGTGGGATCGAAACTGTATGGTGTGCCCTTAATCCCTGTTTTGATTCTCTTTTTGTCCCTAGTGCAGTGCACTACCAGGGACATAGATATATAGGGTTTATGTCAGTCTTTCAGTCCAGTCCAGTCTTGTTCTCACTCTCCCATGTGCAGTTCTTCCATGATTTTTATGAAATTTATATCAACAATGTCTTGTTCCAGTTAGAAAACCAGTGCGGATCAATTATATCTAGATGAGTTTTGTCCCTTGGATATGAAAATTATATGGAAAATTGCACTGTAAGCACTCTCAAGCCTTCATTTCTTGAAGGATTTTTATGAAATTTATATCAAAGGTTTATATCATCAATATCTCAGGTGAATATGAAAATCAGTGTCGATCAGATATTTTTAAAGTAGTTATGTCCCTTGGAAATGTAAACTGTATGGAAAATTGCATTGTGAGTGCTTTTTAGCTTACATTTCTTGTCAGATTTTTATTAAATTGGAATATAAGGTTTATATCTTTCTTGGATGAATTCAAAAATAAGTGACCATCAATTATTTTTACAGAAATTTTGCTTCTTGCATGTCTTGCAAAATAGAAAATATTTGGAAATTTATCTAAAAATGTCTTGTAATGATTTAAATTAAAAGTTTACAATAGAAATAAAGACTAAAATAAATATATAAATTATTAGATTTTTGTGACCTTTTTAGGGTGGTATATTAAATCTTAGCAGAAAACAGAAGATGGCAATAGCAGAACAAGTAGCAAAAGAAATAGAAGAAGAAGATGAGAGGCGACCTCTATTAAGAGATGGTAGTAAACCCAGTATAAATTAGACATGGAGTTAACTAAATCAATAATGACATATTTAGATTGTGTTAATACTCAATGTTTGTACATAGTAGAATAATGCATTCAACTTGTACAACGGTCCAAATTTAACTTTCCTGGTGGCATCAAGTACTATTTATCTGTAGATTTATGAAAAGTATAATCTAACAAGTACATAAAGGCATGTAAAAATTACAAGCACTCGATGTGGAAATTTCATTTGGTTTTTCAGTCAGAACAACCTCTGCTTGTTATTTAGTAATAATTATGTGTTGTGCTCCAGTATGTATTACTTTGCATTGATTGTATTATATTTATTATGTCATTATACCCCTGGTTTATAAAGCACAGGTATGTAATAATAAGGGAGTCTGTCCGTTCATTCTTTCGTTCCACTTTTGATATCCACAACTTCTCCTGAACTGCTTAACAGAATTTTAACAAATTGTCATAAAATCTTACTGACATGATGTGCTTTTGCATCTCCTGTTTCATTTCTTCCTCCCAATGTTTTTTGGGGTTTGCTTTTGGGTTTGCTTTGGCATGACATGGACTTTGTAATGTCAACATACTCAAGTACTCAATTTTATACACTTTTCCTCCTAAATGCCAAATCAGGTTTGAATAAAACTTTTTTTTAGAATCTTCACCATATAATACCATTGTGCAACTATTATTTTGTTTTTGGATCCAAATTATTTTTGGTGTTTCCTTAAAGTAGTAAATCATTGAATTTGCCATTGCTCTATCTTATTTGTATCTACAACTCCTCAGAAACACTTTATTAGAATTTATTGAAAATTTCTCTAAATTTTAACCATATATGTGCACTTCATATTCTGTTTTGGGATCCAAAATATTTTTTTTTGTTTCCTTAAACGAATTGCTAGTTGCAAGGGTATCATTGTATTAGCTTTGTTTAGCAGTACTTCTAGTTTTATTCGATATTAATTTCAATTACTTAGTAACTTACATTGTAAAAATTAATGCATTACTTTCTTTAGATAAGAAGTGCAGCTATTTGTTGATTATGCCAGTTGAGATTTTGTTGTATTATATTTGTATTTTTATTTAATAGATAAATTGATACAAAGATTATGAAAACACAATTATTCATTAGGGCTCTAAAAAGAGCACTTTTCCTGGTTTTGCCATAATATTTATATTTATCTTACCTCCTATACACTTCTAGGAATATCATTGGTTAAAAGTGAACATGTGAAGACCCTGTATATTTGATATGGGGTTAGTGGGCGTGTTTCATTTTAATATACGGTTAGTAGTGGTGTTACATTCCTTTATAAAAACAACACGGCATTGAGCAAAAATCTGAAATGTTTCGCCCGGACAACAGATGAAGAAATTGATGATGAACGATTGAAAATAAATGCAGAATACACATTAAAAGCTAACAAGTTGTTATTGTTGGCATTTGTTATTGTATAGACCAATGAAAGTAGGTTCTTAATTTTGAAGACTTAATCACTTTGCCACATGTTAAGATAGTAAGATAAATTTGTTACACAGTGTGCTAGTGACCTAATACCATATATATGGGGTCAGTAAATTCCTTATGGGGTTCGTCGCTCTCACCCCATATGGAATTTACTGACCCCATATATATCGTATTCGGTCACTAGCACACTATGTAACATTTTGAGACATATTACAAAATTCATTACTTATCAATTGTTAATGCTCAAATTATTTACTATAATTCAAATTATATATCTATATTTGTATATTGAGAATGGTTATGTTATAAAATATTTATCAAACTTCCTCGTTATTTATTATCTCCCTTTTATACTGAAGAAATGTTTGCATTGTGTGAGATTGACAATTAATGGAGAAAAGAAGTTTTAAGGATCTTCACACATCTTCACTACATTTTCTTATTTGTAGCTCACCGTTCCGAAGGAACAGTGAGCTTTTGCCATCACTTGGCGTCCATCGTCGTCATCCGTCCGGTGTAAACTATTTCAAACATCTTCTCCTCTGAAACTATTGAACCAATTCCAACCAAACTTAAGCTGAATGATCCTTAGGGTATCTAGAATAAACTTTTTGTTTTATTTTCTGTTTCATCAAAAAAACATGGCCGCCATGGCTAAAAATAGAACATAGGGGTAAAATGCAGTTTTTGGTTTATATCTCAAAAACCAAACCATTTAGAGCAAATCTGATGAGAAGTTAAAGTATTCATTAGGTCAAGGTCTACCTGCCCTGAAATTATCAGCCAAATCGGGTATATGATTTTTAGGTTATTGCCCCTGAATTGATGATTTTAAGGAAATTTTGCAGTTTTCGGTTATTATCTTGAATATTATTATAGATAAAGATAAACTGTAAACAGCAAAAATGTTCAGCAAAGTAAGATCTACAAATCTGACCAAAATTGTCAATTGACCCCTTAAGGAGTTATTGTCCTTTAAAGACAATTTTTCACAATTTTTTCATCTAATCTAGTTTGCTTACTTTAAAAAATCTTCTCCTTTGAAACTGCTGAATCAATTTCAGCCAAAATTGGGCTGAATGAGTTTCAGAGTATCTAGTATAAATTTTGTATTTTATTTCCTTGTACGTCAAGAAACATAGCCACTATGGCTAAAATGGAACATAGGGGTAAAATGCATTTTTTTGCTTTTGAAGAAAATATGACAGATACAAAGAACATTTAAATGGCATTTTTAAGCCACTCATTAATATATATTGAAAAGCAAAAATAATCATTGATGAAATATTTAAGATAAAAATTACAGGTGAGCGATTCAGGCTCTTGAGAGCCTCTTGTTATATTAAGGAACCTATACAATTAACAACTGTTATTTTGGTATGTGATGTTGGTAGATAAAAGTGCTGTATCACAGCCTGTAATAAAGACACTTGTATGTAATCATATCAGCACTAGCACATATCATATCTATGAAGATTATTTGGTCCCACCCCCTTGTATGGTAAGTCAATGACATTGAGATGTGCCAATGCTTATACAACTGCATACCAAATATCATTGACCAACCACTAGTGGTTCCCCTTAAGCTGACATAATCACACACTTTAATATGTAAACTAGGCAAAATTTAAGTCAATAGACAAATGACTGGGGGATAGAGGCCAAATAATCTACATAGAGATGAAATGTGCCAATACTCATACAACTGCATATACCACTTATCATTGACTCACACTAGTGGTTCCCATTAAACTGACCTAATCACAAACTAATGCATTGTTGACACCGCTGCCTGAAATAGCATGCATAAGTCTGGCCTTATCAACTTCATTGAACCAAGACAAAAATGATGTCAGGTTCAGATAATTCCTGTACAATGGACAGGAATCTGTTACACCACTGTCCAAGGTTACGGGGAGGGTTTGCGCCTTCAAACATGTTTAACCCCGCCACATTCTTTATGTGCATGTTCCAATTCAGCAGCCTGTTGTTCAGTGGTTGTAGTTGGTTCATGTCTGTCATAATTGTTTTTCTTAAATTGTTTTGTTATAAATTAGGCTATTAGTTTTCTCAATTGAATTGTTTCATATTTTTCATGTCCGGGCCTTTATAGCCGACTATATGGTATTGGTTTTTCTCATTAATAAAGGCTGTATGGTTGCCTATAATTGCTTACATCCATTTATATACATGTAGGCACATCTTACAACGATTCCATACACCAAATATATTTTTTTTATAATTATTTTTTGCTATTTAAAGTTTTTCTCTATCTATGATAGAAGTCTTGGTGGCCGAGTGGTCTAAGTAGTCCAAGTACTATATCACTTAGCCTGTCAACACTGAAGTTGTTACTATAAATCAGGTGACAGGTGTGCTCGACTCCAATCTTAATTGACTATAATTGTGAGTTTCCTACCGAAGGTCAGTGGTTCTCTCTTGGCAGTCCTGCTACCTCCACCTAAAAAGACTGACTGCCACGAAATAGAACAATAGTGCTGAAAGTGGCGTTAAATACCAATCAATCAATCAATCAATCTATCAATTATAGTCCAAGATAACAGGAATAAAAAAACAACTGGTAAAAAATGTCATCTATAAGGAGTTGTCTGACAATTTTTTGTACCAATAGACCGAATGTTGATCTTGACCTTGTGAACATTTATTCCCCTTCCACATTTTCTGTATATATACCAGTTTACAAGATAATAGAAAAAAACATGTGTTTAACCCCTATGTACTATTTTTAGCCTTGGTGGCCATGTTGGTTGGCAGGTGGGATCATCAGATACAATTTTTAAACCAGATACCAATATAAAATTGATACAAAATTTGGTTCCAATTAGCCCAGAAGTTTCAGAGAAGATTTTTGTAAAAGTAATGGACTACGATTTCAACATACAGATGATGACTACAGACAATGGACGCAAATTGATGGGTAAAACTCCCACTGGCCATTGAGGTCAGGTGAGCTAGAAATAGGTCAAGGTAAGATAAACCCTGTCAAATTGACATGTTCACCTTGGATACAAACCAAATATAATAGCTTAGCTATTATAGTATAAATTAAGAATCTGATCATATCCTAAAAAAACCATGAAAATGAACCCTATCGGACTGCCATGAACACCTTACAAATATATACATGTATACACCGATCTTTTACTTGATGTGAGAAACTAACCTTACTCGATGTTGATTTATGAACTATAAAATGAGGTCAAGATAAGGTGAACCATGCCTGATGGACATATCTCTGTATATTCTTTATACCAGGTATGTTACTCATACTAATTTAAAATATCATTAATTGATTGATTGTTTTTTAATGCCACTTTCAAGGCTCTTGGCTATATCATCATGGCCAGTTTTTATAAGTGGAAGAAACCAGAGTATATGTAAAGAACCACAAACTTTCGATAGGAAAAGTGATAATCCTTGTCAATAAAGTTTTGAGTTGAAAGCACCTGCCACAAAGGTGGTTGGTAATCAAAACCTCTTGTGTTTACAGGCTAGTGATCACTGTAGATAACTTCTTAACTTCTTGCAGTCATCCGACCATGAAAATAAGGTCAAGGACAACAGACATATGTCAGATTGAAAATTCAGAGTATGTGCATTTGTATATAAGATATTGATTATTAGGTCTTCTTCTGAAATATAAAGCTTGATACAAATAGTTTACGACCCAAACCTCTCCTCTGCTGAGTTAGCATCCCTCAGGTGAGCCAAAAAAAAACCTTAATAGATTTTTATGCAAGACATTGAACCATGAAAATAAAGTTAAGGACAATAGACCAATGCCAGCTAAAAACTTCTGACTAAAAGGCATCTGTATACAAGAGATGTATCTTCCAGCTCTGCTACTGCCTGAAACATTAACCCATAAAAACTTATGCTGTCTGCAACTGTGGAATTGGCATCTATTCTTGCAATCTGTGACATTTATTGCGGATGAGGCAAAACTGTTGGCCAGCATTTCACTTTTTTGGGCACTTTATTCAAAATTTCAATCATGATTTGAAGTGATATAATAATAATGTATTGCATTGGTTGCACAAAAATACTGTGATTTCCAATAAAAATAAAAACCACAGGGGAAATAATCCTGTAATTTCATTCTTCTGATGTCCTACAACAGAAGGTGTTGTTGATATGTTGTCAGTGACATTACATCGTAACAAAGTGAGAACAAATATGTACTTATTTGATTTTTATATACTACATTAATTTCACCTCTGAAAATTGAATTTTTTCAATATTTGATTTCTTCGATAAGTTGTTCTTTTTATTACATTGACCTGAATGTTAATAAAGTATAAAATACAAGGACCTACAACCGACCATGCAAGGGCTGTATAGTTATAACCAAATAAGATATATGACTTGAACATTTAGTTTGTCAAACCCTGAGTTCTATGCTTCCTAGGCCTGAAATTAAAGGAAATCTAGGAGATTTTGTGTCCAGCTTAACAATAATTCCTTTTTTTTTCACCTATAAGGGGCTGTAGCTTCTACAAAAATAGTTCCTTTCACTCCCTCTTATGTTTATTTATCAACTTAAAACATTTTTCATTTTGAAATAATGGAATTGATACGAAGGGCCAAATAATCCCTTTACTGCACTACCCCTTTGCACAAAACAGCATTGTAACATCTTTATTATGACTTTTTATTTTAATCTCTTCTCACCCTACAACATATCTCAAAGTCATCCAAATGAAAATATATTGTGTACCCTCTGAATACCAACACAATTACTGACAATCACATGTATCTATTATTATTACAGTGTATTATTAATTTTTTAAAGGGAGATAAATCAATTTATATTCATAATAGATTACCTCCCTTTGGCTACTTACTTAGCCCATATGGCCCGAGAACACAGTTATTTCGTAGTGCATTTCTTTTAGACAATAAAGTCAAATTAAAAAAATCGCACCTGCTCTATCTCAAAAAGAATTTTACAGTGTAGTGTACTACTATTGGGACAAATAATATCAAAATTATAGAAAAGTCTACCAGCTCTAACTCAAAATATTGACAATTCTATGTTAAGGGGGTCTAAAATTCAGTTTGACAGCTTCAGACATACTAGTTTTTGACCTTTTTTAACTGGACCAAATCACTACTTAACATAAAGATTCAGCACCCAAATTTTTTTAACATGTAATTTCATCCCCTTACTTAATATTTCATGCATAAAATATAAAGAAATAAATTTGGAAAGTGTATGAAAAAAATTTGCAAGTTATACACTGTCCACACTAGGGACTATATTTGTAGACAACGACAATCGAAGGATGATAACTGTGTCCTCGGACCTAATAGTATAGAAAGACTTGACCAATTCTAATTAAACTTTGCATGACCTAAGCTTAGGTAATTATAAGATAGTTGGCCAAGTTTCATGGCCATAGGAGATATATTATAGAAACTATGGCAATTTTAATATTGAAATTTAAATGTTTAATTTTGACGTTTAAATCAAATAATTTCAGCTATCAAGATTTGGGCTTAAAAAACTTAAATATTGAAAAAAATTGCTTTTGAAATGCTCTTAAATATAATATATTAAGTATTAAAAGCAACTGAACACTCATTTGATTTATCAGATTTATTACAATTATATAAAAGTCAAATTTATATGAGCCTGTGCCTGAAAATAGAGATTTTCGAATTAAGGGGAGCCTTACATAAACATGCATTTTTTTCAACCAATTTGAAGTTTTTGAAGTTTTTTACCATAAATTATTCTTTCATATATATTAAATGTACTTTAAATGGAAAGAAAAGTTACAAAAAGCATACCAAATGAGTATAAAATGGTCTTAGGCTATGTAAGACTGAACATTATTTAGTGTCAATTTAGGCCGTAGCACATATTTACATATAAAAATGCATACAGAAGCTATAAGAAATGGAAATTTGTTACTTTTTGCTCATTTCTATACTAAGATGTCATGATACAAGAAGTCTAATTGCAAAAGAACTCTTGCATTCAACTTTTTTTGAAGACAGTATGGTCTGATGCACAGTTTTTTCACTTTTCAATGGAAAACTTGCATGTAGTTTTAGTCTCAACTGGCATATATTTGAACCACACACTATCCTACAGAAGAAAATAAAGGTAGTATATGAAATGGATAAGGTGCACAGATCATTGTCAAGTGCCTTTTTTACAGATTTAGTGAAATTTTTATGATGGACTACACATTCTATGTACAAAGCTCTTCACATTTCACATACATTAAACAGGCCGTTCGACCAGGGCCTAAATACAACACATTTTGCACATTTTTTCTGTGATAATCTACTTTTCTCTATATTCAGAGTTCATAAATGGTTAATAGAATTTGAATTAATCATAGAAACACAAATATCAAAGCATAAAAAGCTGTCAGATAGAAAGTCAGCATGCCTCTTAGGATTAAAAATGGAAACTGCTTTAATATGCTTATTTTAGGCGTATGATGTCAAAATGGGACATTATAACAGAATTTCTTTCAAATAAAGATGTAAATCCTTTACTTTTATTGAGTTTGACAAATTGAAACCAGCAAACCATTCAGGGACGTTGCCAAAGTACAGAATCTACATTTCCTGAATTCATCTCTTAGGCCCGAGAACACAGTTATTTCGTAGTGCATTTCTTTTAGACAATAAAGTCAAATTAAAAAAATCGCACCTGCTCTATCTCAAAAAGATTTTTACAGTGTAGTGTACTACTATTGGGACAAATAATATCAAAATTATAGAAAAGTCTACCAACTCTAACTCAAAATATTGACAATTCTATGTTAAGGGGGTCTAAAATTCAGTTTGACAGCTTCAGACATACTAGTTTTTGACCTTTTTTAACTGGACCAAATCACTACTTAACATAAAGATTCAGCACCCAAATTTTTTTAACATGTAATTTCATCCCCTTACTTAATATTTCATGCATAAAATATAAAGAAATAAATTTGGAAAGTGTATGAAAAAAATTTGCAAGTTATACACTGTCCACACTAGGGACTATATTTGTAGACAACGGAAATCGAAGGACGATAACTGTGTCCTCGGACCATATGTTAGAAAACTAACTAACTGTCTCATCATGGAATGTCTGTGGTCTTGGGGATAAATACACTGATGATTTATTTATTGATAATATCAAATCTGATATAAATGTTATACTAGAAACATGGAAAGGAGAGAATGCTGAAACTCGAAAGTGTAGAAAAAAACAAAAAAAATCTAAAAGACACAGCGGCATTATGATGTACATTAAAAAAGAAATTTTCAAGGGAATAACCAATTTATCTAAAGAATCTACATCTCCAAATAGAATATGGCTTAAACTAGATAAGTCCTTTTTCGGATTTGAAAAAGATTTATTTGTCTGCGCTGTTAATATACCCCCTTACAATTCTACTCATTTAGATGATAAAAATATGGTTCTTGGGTCATCGTCATAAAAAGACGCAAAATTCAATATTTAATTACAAACACATTGTTCTAGAATCAGTAAATGAATATAAGTCCTTAGGAAACTTGCTCTCACAAAATGGAAACTTATTATCATCTGCTGAAGCACTTTCGAAAAAAGCTCTTAAAGTTATGTACTCTATCAAAAGCTATACAAGAGGTCTGAACCAATTTCCAGCAAATTTATCTGTTCATTTATTTGATTCTTTAGTTCGTCCTATTCTTACATATAATCGTGAAATTTGGTATATGGATGTGTACAGATCATACTATAATGCAATTGCTAGAGCCAGAAAAAATAATTCTCCTTTGGATAAACTCAATATTATAGATAAGAGTCCCCCTGAAAAAATCACAGTAAGTTTTGTAAATTTACACTTGGAATAAAGAAATGTGCCAGTATCATTGCCTCTAGATCTGAATTAGGAAGATTCCCCCTTTATTGTTTCATTGCCACACAGTCACTTTTGTATGAAGACCAACTTTTGAGTGAAAACTCATCTGATTTACTTAAAGAGTGTTATTCTCTTTCAAAGTCACTTCATGAACAAGGTATATACTCATGGTACTCATATGTAAATCATATTAGGTCCGATAATAATATTAGCAAACCAAAAGATGAGTCTAAAAACAAATACAGAGCCTGTAAGAAACAAGAAAATAAACAGCTGCGCCATGAGCGCATGATACGCCCGTCGTCTTGTGTGTGAATTTTTATGCAATAAGCATAAATAGTTTCTGACATACGGCGTGACATGCGAAAACCCCCTTTTTTTTTTTACAAAAAACTCAATATCTCTAAAATAAAATTTGGAATCAAAACCAAAAAGTATACAGATCTTTAGATTAATATAACTAAGAAGTGTGTAAAATTTTAAGCAATCATCATAAATCGTTTTTGAGATACGGCGCGACATGTGAAAACCCCCCCTTTTAAATAAAAAAAAAAATCAATATCTCAAAAATAAAATTTGAATCAAAACCAAAAAGTATACAGATCTTTAGATTAATATAACTAAGAAGTGTGTAAAATTTTAAGCAATAATCATAAATCGTTTTTGAGATACTGCGCGACATGTGAAAAACCCCTCCCCCTTTTTTTACAAAATACTCAATAACTCAAAAATAAAATTTTGAATCATCACCAAAAAGTATACAGATCTTAAGGTTAAAATAACTAAGAAGTGTGTAAAGTTTTAATCAATAATCATATACTGTTTTTGAGATACGGCGCGACATGTGAAAAACCCCTCCCCCTTTTTTAACAAAATACTCAATATCTCTAAAATAAAATTTTGAATCATCACCAAAAAGTATACAGATCTTAAGATTAATATAACTAAGAAGTGTGTAAAGTTTTAAGCAATAATCATAAATTGTTTTTGAGATAAGGCGCGACATGTGAAAAAAAACACACACCTGTTTTAGTTACTAAGTTCCGTAACTCAAAAAGTTTTAATCTTATTTTCACCAAAAAGTATACAGATCGTTTGACCATCATAAGAAACAACTATATTAAGTTTCATGAAATTTGGATAAGTCATTCTCAAGTTACGGTGCGACATGTTTACGCTGGACAGACAGATGGACAGACAGACAGACGGACAGACAGACGGACGGACAGACAGAAGGACGGACGCCGAACATTTTTATACCATAATACGTCCTGTCAAAAATCTGACGGGCGTATAAAAATACTATAAAAATGAACTACAGCAAAGATATAAAGAAATATATGACAATAAGATATCATCTCTTGATATCTTATTGTCATATAGTAAACGTTTTTTGTTAAAGTATGTAAAAACTGAATATAAACAAAAAATTAATTTGACAAACCCTAATCTTGATACAAGAAAACTTATATGCAAATTCAGAATTAGTGATCATTCCCTCGCTATTGTAACTGGAAATTATAAAAATATTCCACACCCTCAAAGACTGTAATAGGTGCAAAGTTCTGGATGATGAATCCCATTTCTTTTTACTATGTAAAATAAATAATGTTTTAAGACATGTCTTTTTTAAAGATTTATAAACCCAATACAAAGATTTTTCTGATAATGAAATGAAATATATTCTAAATCAACTACATTTTTATACGCCCGTCAAATTTTTGACGGGACGTATTATGGTATACAAATGTCCGGCGTCCGTCCGTCTGTCTGTCTGTCCGTCCGTCCGTCTGTCTGTCTGTCCATCTGTCTGTCTGTCCGTCTGTCTGTCCGGCGTAAACATGTCGCACCGTAACATGAGAATGACTTATCCAAATTTCATGAAACTTAAGATAGTTGTTTCTTATGATGGTCAAACGATCTGTATACTTTTTGGTGAAAATAAGATTAAAACTTTTTGAGTTACGGGACTTAGTAACTGAAACAGGCGTGTGTTTTTTTCACATGTCGCGCCGTATCTCAAAAACAATTTATGGTTATTGCTTAAAACTTTACACACTTCTTAGTTATATTAATCTTAAGATTTGTATACTTTTTGGTGATGATTCAAAATTTCATTTTAGAGATATTGAGTATTTTGTTAAAAAAGGGGGAGGGGTTTTTTACATGTCGCGCTGTATCTCAAAAACAGTTTATGATTATTGCTAAAAACTTTACACACTTCTTAGTTATATTAACCTTAAGATCTGTATACTTTTTGGTGATGATTCAAAATTTTATTTTTGAGTTATTGAGTATTTTGTAAAAAAAGGGGGAGGGGTTTTTCACATGTCGCGCCGTATCTCAAAAACAATTTATGATTATTGCTTAAAATTTTACACACTTCTTAGTTATATTAATCTAAAGATCTGTATACTTTTTGGTTTTGATTCAAAATTTTATTTTAGATATATTGAGTTTTTTGTAAAAAAAAAGGGGGTTTTCGCATGTCACGCCGTATGTCAGAAACTATTTATGCTTATTGCATAAAAATTCACACACAAGACGACGGGCGTATCATGCGCTCATGGCGCAGCTGTTTATTGTACTAGTCAGCAAGTGAAATCTTTAGGCTCCTTTATTAAACAGTCTTTGGAACTGAGGACAGGGGGCACTTGAGGTCATTTGTTGCGTTGTGAGTTTAATAATTTGTTTTATTTTTATGTAAATGTCATCATTATATTGTTGTTTATACATGTAATTGTCATTATGCCTTTGACCCTCTGATGGGTGTAATTTGTGTTTAATAAAGTTATAATTTGAAAGTCCAGATTCCTCTCAATAATGAAAAACAAAAACAAATTATATGATTCTATTTATTACATAAAATACCACAATAAATATTACAAGTATAAGCATTAAGTGTAAATAAAATCTAGCAAATATCAGCAGTTCAGTAACAGAAATGCTTTTAAGTAAATCATCTTGTATAAAAATACCTTCATTTAATACTGTTTTATGGAATGAGTATATCATCTTGTAAACTTGTGATTCCAATGCTGATCAATTTATACCTAAAATATCCATCTTATTGTTGTTACTAAATGTACATCAAGCTGTAAACAGTGCACACAAACACATTTAAATAGTTTAAACCTATTGAAATTTGGATTAGTTATATGTTAATAACTGAAAATTTCTATTTTCTGAAAAATTTTGTACACTAGACAATTGTACCACAGCAAACATGATTTTTTAAAATATAACTATGAGATAAATATTACAAACAGCATCAGTTTACTACTCTGATTTGGTGCAAATCTACAGTATGATAAAATCTAATATATAAGTAAAACAATGTCATTTGGGATGTCATATCAATGCTGAATATAAAATCTAAAATTACCATATTTTACAACAGCTTTATCCAAAAAGTTATTTTACTCACATCAACATCTTCATATAAGATATCTCATATCTAAGTAAGATATATTTTTTGGATTGACTGATGATCATATCTAAATGATAATGACAATATCTCAAAATGAGGCTATTTTGTCAGTTTTTGAAGTTTGCAACAACCTTTTTTTCAATTGATTTAAAATTCTTTTTGATTTTCAAATTAAAGGGTAGAAAAAGAAGTCTTCTATCACAATTTCTTCTTTTAAAATTATGAATCAATTATTACTGTTCAGATCAGAAATGTTTTCAAGGGGAATTGAAGTTTCCAAATACACATTTTGCACTTTAAAAAATCTATTAATATATGTGGGTTATTTCATCATTTTAAGTACAAATGTCATGTCAGCACAATCCATCTTTCAACATATATAGCAAAGTACTCAATGAGACATGTACCTGCTTATATGCCTTTCGAAGATTTCATTAATATACTCAGTAAAAAAATGTGAGACAAGAGGATAAAATAAATACATATACAATACATATAATATATGTTGATAGTAAAGACAGTTGATTTCTATATATAGCAAATTAAAACATTAATACCAATACAAGTATCATTTAAATACAACTGTAGCCGCAATCTATAATTAAAACAATATTACGATATTATGACACATTTCTGAAAAAGGCAAGATTAAACATCAACTTCATATAGCATACAGACAACATATTTTTCATTGATATTGGATTCATATCCAAATAATTTGATACAAATGTTGATCATAATTTCTGTCCATCTTGATTTGAGCATTTGAATATGTAGTTGAATTCATTGCCTATATCTGTTTTGCAAGGTGTACAGCTCTTATCCTCTTTTGGAAGATTGTGCAATCTACTGGTTTCAATTGCAATTCTTATATTATATGTTCTAAATTTTGTTATCCAGATTCAGTTTGCTTCTGGAAGTCTAAGCAAATTGATTTCAAAAGCAAATTGTGTTTTAAATAATACTTAAAACTCTCTCTCTCTCAAAAAAATACTGCTACACTGTACACCTACAATTCTTTGGCAAGTTGGTATACTCAAATTTCTTATTTAACTATTGAAAGCAAAAAGGTTCTTTAGCACCTGTTAAACATTTTGTTATATTTTTGACAACATATGTCTGAACATGTCCAAACATATTTTCTAGGAAAGAAACAATTCTAGATAGATTGACTACAATATATGATAGTCAACAATTCTAGATAGATTGACTACAATATATATGATAGTCAACAATTCTAGTTAGATTGATTATAATATATGATAGTCAACAATTCTAGTTAGATTGACTACAATATATGATAGTCAACAATTCTAGTTAGATTGATTATAATATATGATAGTCAACAATTCTAGTTAGATTGATTACAATATATGATAGTCAACAATTCTAGATAAATTGATTACAATATATGATAGTCAACAATTCTAGTTAGATTGATTACAATATATGATAGTCAACAATTCTAGTTAAATTGATTACAATATATGATAGTCTACAATTCTAGTTAGATTAATTACAATATATGATAGTCAATAATTCTAGATAAACTGATTACAATATATGATAGTCAACAATTCTAGTTAGATTGATTACAATATATGATAGTCAACAATTCTAGTTAGATTGACTATAATATATGATAGTCAACAATTCTAGTTAGATTGACTATAATATATGATAGTCAACAATTCTAGTTAGATTGATTACAATATATGATAGTCAAATGAAACAAAATATTGCAGAATTCATTTTTTAACATTCATAAAATCAATTTTTTTTTTTTAGTTTAGTTTATTTCAAACGAGGAGCAATACAGCTTATAGGTATATCAGAAATATGTATATGTAAATTATAACAAAAAATTTTAATTACAATGGGAGGTAAGACTACAATGTATAAAAAATTCAAAGGATTGTCAAGAAAATGTTATGTCAGGGGCATATTTCAAATACTTTCCTAAATTAGACAATTCCTGTACATTCTTTGTTGACAATTACTGAACCAATTAAAAACAAATGGATTTGTATAACAATACCTTTTTATGTGCAATTTTATTATGCTATCATATTTTGGACATTTTAAAATAAAATAAAATGCATCCTCAATATCACCATGGTTACATAAAATACTTTAATTTAAATTTTAACATTATGTCTTTGATCATGATTACTGTGACTTGATTATAAGTGTTTCTCTCAACATTTTGCTTTTCATCTTTTCATTCAAAATTCTGACCCATTTACAATATGTTTTATCATACCAAACTGTTCAGTGGTCAGAAATTTTAACAAACTGCAATAAGATAACCACAGTCAAGTCATCAAAGTGCAAAGGGATAAAATAAAGCATGCTTAAAATCCTCTACGAGACTTCAATTCCACTCCATGACTGCTATCAAATTTGGCTGTTGTTTAAAATTTCTTATGTCTCCCCCGCCCCCTTTTTTTGGCTTGCAAAAATATTAGTGAAAATAAAAATGATAGAGGACACTGACTAATTCCATCACTATCAGACTAAAGAAAAGATTTAAACATTTTTTTTTGGCTTTATCAATTTAAGAAGCCCCCCTCCCTCGCCACACTTATAAGTCCACTAATATGCCACAGATTTTTTATACTGGTTAAATATATAATACTGAAAGTTAACAAATTTGTCTTGATTTCAATAACATTTCTGTCTAGGAAACAAAGACATACTTAATATTTATGTCAGATATGTAGTTTGATATAACAAACATAATGTCAAAAGATCTTTTTTTTATGTATGAGCTGTATGTTTCCAGTCCTAAAAGCCAATGGAAATTGATCTGTTTTTGTTGAACTTTGAGGAAAGCAAAAGTTGTGCTATTTGTGACTTCATTAAAAGAACACTGATTCATGAATTTTCAACTAAGAGACCTGTTTCGTATCTCGTCATTATTTCAGCTATGATTAATAAATCCTTAAATGAAATAAAGTTAGAAATAGGGGGTCATATTTGGGCCCTGTGAACCTTCTCCTTTAATATTTCATACCAACATAAAAAGGGTCAATAAAAACAGATATTGACTGATATGAAAAGGCAACAATTATTTCATTATAATATCATATTATTTAAACACTGTGATTTACCTGTCAATATTGATCACTCAATATATACTTTATTTTAGTCCATTTTTGCTCTCTTTTGCTATTATGCTATTACGTTGAATATGGGCTATGTCCCAAATGAATTGACGAATCACAGCATTTGAATAATACAATATTATAAATAATAGACAATATTTATTAACAATAAATAGTCGAGGCAATACAATTATAACATTATAATATTACAATATTCAAAATGAAAGAACTACTAGTATTATAGTATTATGATAATACAAGAGTGCACATGCTGAAATGTCTCGCCTGCTTTACTGACCATTGATTTTATGTTGAAAGTCTTGAAGATAAAGGTTTTACTAAAAGCATTACAGAAACTTAACATTTTAAAAAATTTATGACAATGAGGTCAAGGTCAGATAAATTGTGTCAGACAGACATATACACCTTACAAATATAGTTGACCTATTGTGTATGCTAATCGAAAAACAGACCAAAACACAAAATCTTAACATTGACAAATGAACAATGAAAATGAGGTCACGGCCAGATTATACCTGCCAGACAGACATGTGCACCTTACAATTATTCCATACACCAAATATAGCTCACCTATTGCTATTTGTATTTCAAAAACAGACCAAAACACAAAAACTTAACACTGACCAATGAACCATGAAAATGAGGTCAAGGTCAGATAATACCTGTCAGACAGAATTGTACACCTTACAATCATTCCATACACCAAATATAGTTGACCTATTGCTTATAGTACTTGAAAAAAAGACCAAAATACAAAAACGTAACGTTGACCAATGAACAATGAACAATGAAAATGAGGTCAAGGTCGGATGAAACTTGCCAGACTGACATGTACCCATTACAATCATTCCATACACCAAATATAGTTGACCTACTGCTTATAGTATTTGACAAATGGACCTAATCATGTAACTTTAACCTTGATCACTGATCCATGAAATGAGGTCTAGGTCAGGTCAACTCTGTCTGGGAGGGGGAGGGTTGAGATCTCAAAAAACATGTTTAACCCCGCCGCATTTTTGCGCCTGTCCAAGTCAGGAGCCTCTGGCCTTTATTAGTCTTGTATCATTTTTAATTTTAGTTTCTTGTGTATAATTTGGAATTTAGTATGACGTCCATTATCACTGAACTAGAATACATATTTGTTTAGGGGCCAGCTGAAGGACGCCTCTGGGTGCGGGAGTTTCTCGCTGCATTGAAGACCCATTGGTGGCCTTCGGCTGTTGTCTGCTCTATGGTCGGGTTGTTGTCTCTTTGACACATTCCCATTCTCAATTTTATGTAGATGCTGCAAGGAACACCTATACCAAATATAGTTATCCTATTACTCATAATAAGTGAGAAATTCACATGACAAGAAAACTCAAATTTTTTTTCAAGCAGTCGCTGAATCATGAAGATGAGGTCAAAGACAATGGACATATAATTGACGGAAACTTTGTAACATAAGGTATCTGCATACAGGATTTGAAGCATCCAGGTCTTGTACCTTCTGAAATATAAAACTTTATACAAATAGTTTATACCGCCGCCGGATAGTAATACTATGTCTTGCATACTGCAACAAAAGTTGCAGGCGAGACAATAAAACAGGTTATCACATTACAAAATATACAATATCAAACATAAAATAATTAAACTGGCAAACAAGCCCCCAAAAAACTAGTTTCCCTTAAGTGGTACCAATATGCCAAATGTGTAATTTCAATCTGATTAATTTTTTATCATGGAAAGGGACATAAGGTAAAGGTAAAAGTTAAATTTTGTTTAGGAATGATATCAAATATTTACAAGTGTGGTTAAAAAGATGAAAACAAAAAAATATAAGCTAAAAATATGATTTATAAAGCTGTTAAAATATACTTTTAAATTGATATCTTTCCAAGGTACACGTAGATTTGTGTACATGTCCCAATCGCAATTGCTTGAAAATATTAAGAAAACTGAGGATTGACATAAAAATCAATTGACCACTATTTGGTCCTCAAATGCTCTGCAACTCCCCAAAAAATCACCAATAATAGTTGATCTTAGTTCTTTTTCCTAATGATTCGTCACTTATATTGGGGTTATATATGTTGTTTTGGTGATAAAAAAAAAAGGTTCTGTAGTTATAGATGATTATTCAAATGTTTAATTATCTTATCCTATAATATGCTATATAAAAATAAGAAGATGTGGTATGATTGCCAATGAGACAACTACCCACCAAAGTAAAAATGAAGTGGATGTAAGCAAATATAGGCAACCGTACGGCCTTCAACAATGAGAAAAACATACCATATAGTTGGCTATAAAAGGCCCAGACATGAAAAATATGAAACAATTCAATTGAGAAAACTAACGGCCTAATTTAAACAAAACAATTTACGAAAAACAAATATGCTATCAGATCGATACAAAGAAAAACATCAAACAAAAACACATCATCCCTAACAACAAAAAAGACACTAAGTATAGATCTGAGAGTACTCACAGTTACTCACAGCTAGTTCAAAGCCAATAACAATTAATAAAAAAAATATGTAAACCATGTTTTAGTGGTTGGCATTATAATTGGGTCACCAGATATCAATTTGGAACCATTTTAAAGAATATTCTTGTCAAAACTGATGTTTAAAATGGTCAAAGTTAAACAATTTTAAACTTATATTTAAGGAATGACTGTAATATTTTTTCTGTCTATGAAGAAATAACATAAAAAATGTGGTGCAAACTGAATAACCTGCGTAGCGGGTTATTTTAAAGTGTGCACCACATTTTTTATGTTATTTCGAATAGACAGAAAAAATATTACAGTCATTTCTTATAATTTAATTCTAAATTCCATTTTAAACCGGAGTAAACCATGAAAAAACTTTGATGACGTCACGGTCACATGACAAAATTATGTCTATGAGCTGATAAACAAAATAACGTTAGCCAATCAGAAGACGCGTTACATCCAAAATTAAATTATTTCTTGTTATTAAGCACTGACATTGATGTTAGTTATCACATTAGATGTAATTTTAAAACTTACAACTTCCCAAGGAAGATTGAGGCTTAGTATGGTTCAAAGAAGCCAAGATATACTTTACCTTCATGGTTTCAGTATTTGTATCTGGTGTTATTTTTGATTTATTGCTCTTCATTGTTTATACTTTTCCTTGGATTTCCATAATTTGGGTTAGAACACCACTTACATGAAATACATTTTGAAATGACAATAATTATGGTAAATCTAATTAAATTTGGTAATTGCAGTTTTGTATTTTATTAGGTCCTATGTAAAACTTTTTAAAAGAACTATATTACTACGTCCCAATCTTGTTGAAAATTGACAAAGTGATTGGCATACAGTGAGCAGGTGACTTTTAAATTTTTTTAAATACAATACTTTTGCACAGCTTCCAAACACAAGACAATAAATAGTATATCATGAGTCAATCATACATGAGTTTTTAAGCTGTGTTTATCATATTTCATTATATAATAAAACGTTGGTAGATTTTCACTTTATCATGTAAAATAAAAAATAAAAGTTGACACAGAGATTTGTCTCGCGTTTATGTAATTTTGATAGTATAATGAAATTGATGAAATTAACATGGCAATATTTGGACATGTAAACTATGCCAAACATATATAATCATATAATCTCTATGGAAATGAGACATGCAAATGATAATACAATTGAAGACCAAATACCATTGACATCTTAAACTAACCTTATCAAATTTTAACAAGTAAACTATGCAAAACTTTTAAAGTCAATAGACCATTACTGAGGGGCTGGCCAAATAATCTCCATGGAAATAAAGATGTGCCAATGCTAATATAACTGCATACCAAATATCATTGACCTGTTACTTGTGATTCCCCTTTAAATGACCTTATAACAAATTTTAACACGTAAACTCATTTAAAGTTTCAAAGTCAATAGACTGTGACTGAGGGGGCAGGGCCAAATAATCTCCATGGAATTTATATGTGCTTATACAACTGCATACCAAATATCATTGACCTACCAATAGAGGTTTCCCTTAAACTAACCAAATCACAAATTAATACATTGTTAAGGCTAAGCCATCGATTCCGTTGGAAACAGAATTTCAAGTTTCAATTTTTCCACTTTATCGAGGCAAGATAAAAAGCATAAGTTCAACTTGTGAAAAAAATCTTCTTTCAACATAATGTAATTTAAAGTTTGAGTTAGAATCTAAATGTGATATCCTGTGTTGATATGTTTTATAATAAAAGGATTAGTAAAGAGGTTAAACTTGTACACATGCATATTGTGTAGTAAATAAAATCAGATGTTTGAATAAAGACATTTTTTTTTTAATACGATTTAATTTAAAGTTTTAATTTTCAAAACTAAATTATTGATATCCCTTGCTGATATATTTTATGATTAATGATTAAGGGATTAATCATGATATGTAAATGGGTCAGACTTGAACATATGCATATTGTGTAGTAAATAAAAGCACATGTTTGAATGGTGAAAAATCATTTTTCAATGCAATTTAATTCAAAATCTAAATTGTTGATACTATTTGATGATATGTTTTATAATTAAGGGATTAATCATGTACTTGTAAAAGAGTCAAACTTGAACACATGCATATTGTGTAGTAAATAAAAACACAAGTTTGAACAGTGAAAAACTTTTTTTTCAACACAATTCAATTTAAAGTTCTATTTTTTTCATATCTGAGTTGTTGATATCCTTTGCAGATATGTTTTAATAATTAAGGAATTAATCATGTACATTTAAAGGGGTCAAACTTGATCACATGCATATTGTGTAGTAAATAAAAGCACATTTTTAAATAGTAAAACTTCTTTTTTTCAAAACACAATTTAATTTAAGGTTTTAATATTTGCTGACAAGTTATCAAATAAAGATGTAAATCGTCTAAACTTGATCAATAGTATCATGTCAGTTGTGATTAGCAATAATTAGCTTTATATGACCCGGGGCATAAAAACTGTAATTTGGAGGTGGCATATGACATTTGTGACGATTTTATAAATTTTTAATCTTTCATTTGCGCCGATTCAATAATTTCAAGTTCCATTTGTTCCTTTTTGCATTTTAGTGCTGTGCTTTTTTCATGGCATAAAGAGGTTTTATTGTCCTTTGATATTTTAAAGGCTGTAAATAGATTTTTATATCATTTGATATTTTATTGCTATACTCAGTTATTTAAGTGGATGTAAACAGAGTGCTTTTAACCTCAAAATTGACTTGTGTTGCTTGAAATCCTACTTCCACCTCCCCATTGTGGGCATGGGGCAACAGTTATATGCATGTTTTAATTGATAATTAATAACATATGTATAACTGGCTAACGTAAGAGGTTTATAATGATAAATAAATATAGTTTTCACCTGTAAAACAATCGGCGCAAATGAAAAAAATAATCGGCGCAAGTGAAAGAAAAAATCGGTGCAAATGCAAAACGCCGTTGGAGGGCCCTAAGAAAATATAATATATAACCAAGTATCAGTTTTCTTACCAGGAAAGCTTGGCAATCAGAATGCAGTAAACCAAAATATAGAAATATATAAGACCAAAACTGTCAATTTCTGCAAAAAGGGTTTTGAAAATGTCTGATCTTGAAATAAATTCAATTCTAATCTGACTGAATTTTGGTATTCATTTCAGTCATTTCTTTTCAAAGTCAGACCTGACTGGTATATATGACATTTTGCAGATACTTAGTTTCAATGTTATTATTTTCAAAATTCTAAAATCTACCAAGGTAATTGTTATTTTTGGCTGTGTGTGATGAGATTTGTAAATACATGGTAATTCTAAAATAACAAAATAACTATATCCCTAACAAGACTATTCATTATGCTCTAACTTTCTTGTTTATCTTATCGTACACCTCAGGAAAAGCTTGTTTACAGAAAGGTAGATCATCCCTCATCTTGTTGTATAACGTATGATCAAACATGTCGTAAAACTCCTCTCTTGTCATGTAGGTATCAGCATATAACATCTGAAATCTATATCAAAAATCATACTATAAATCCACAAGCAATAATTTTGAAATGATTATATTATACGAATAAAAAGAGATGTGTTGTATATGTCAATGAGACAGAAACCTAACATCACAATCAACCAAAAGACATCTAGAGGTCAACACAGTCTTCAACAATAGACAGGGTGTTATACAATATGTCAAGCTCTAGAGTGTAAAAAGAAACTATTGAAAATCTATCAATTCAAATTTCCCAAATAACAAAAAGCATTAAGATATAGCATAAGAACATTTGTGTTTCTCCCCTCCCAAATTGGCATTTGCAAATTTCACTGCCATTATAGAAGATCAGAATACTCCCATAAATTTTCAGATATATTAACATTTACCTCATACTCCATTTTAATACAACTGTAAATTCATGAAAAAATGCATAATTTGAATAACCAAGTCATACATCATACTCACCCATTAACCTTGCTAACATAAGCCTCTAACTTTCTTGTTGTTCTTTTGGCTTCATACTGTTTTGTCTTCGGGGCTCCATATGCTCCTATATCAACATACATCTCATCAGAAGCCCCTTGTGGGTGAATCATTCCTGGTAAGTTGTAAAGCTTAAAGGGACACAGCCAAAGGGGGTACATCTGTAAAATTAATTAAAAAAAAACAAAATGAAATGTCTGAAAACTTGGATGCCCATCAAATAATGTGAAAAAGCTAAATACTGGACTTTATAATAAAGAACTCAAGATGAGCCATCAAAACATAAAATGTATGTCATCATTTTTAAATGTGAAAAAAGAAGCAGTAAAATGCCCCTTAAACATGACCAAAGTCCTGTGGTTTAGTTTTCTACCATATGGAACAATTTAAATTATAAAACGACTTTGAGATACAAACTGTCAACAATCGACTAAAGTAGATCTTTGTTTTTTCTGCCCTTCACACCTGTTGGCATCCAGCACAGAAGGTAAGTAAATAAGTCTGAGATACAGACCAAGATGTAAAATTGTACCAGAAGTCAACCAAGCAGAAATATAGGCTATGGTGATCCAAATGACATTCAACCATGTTGTATCATCTAAGAAAATTATAATTTTGAAATATTGATATATTTATTAGAGATGTTAAATCAAAAATTTAAACCTAACCAGTTACTTGGATAAACTTTCCATTGATTAAGAGGTTAACAGGTATTAAAGTTGATGTTAAAAGACATTATCTGCAGTATATTACCAATGCATGGCTACATATGTGATACAATGCACTGAAGTTTATCATGATGTCTTTTCCTAGATCATTCTGTATTGTCAATATCTGCATGTTACTGGTAAGACCATAAACATTCAATTTGCATTTCACAATTCTTTAATCAGCATTTCGTTTGAAAATATGACCAAGCCTTGAATGTGGTCATTATGTGGATGACATTTTTACATTTATATTTTAAAGTTAAAGTGAAATCATGAACTAAATTGTAAACTTTGATCATTAACAATTGTCTGAATGTATATTTATAATACACACCTATAATACCATGTTAATTATGACTTTACAGTTTGGACCAAGTTGAAGGTGAGTACATTGTATGTGCTAATTAATTGTGTAGAATTGGAATGTTTCAGTGTTAATCAAGTAATCGATTTACTCAACAATTCATTTAATTTAGGATCATTTTAAAATTTAACATCGTTATTTAGTGATTTCATTACACATTTATCATAATTGAAAAAAATCTCGGATTACCTGTTAAATGTTTTGGTATTCAATATTTGGTCTTTTCGATGGTTAATTGGTTAACAATACTAATACTTATACATATAACCAAGAGCACAGTTTTCAGATATAAACCTCACTGCACAACTTGATGTAGAAATGATTTTGATTTTTTTATAAAAGAAAAATGTAAGTTGCTTGCAAACTGTTGGTTTTCCATTTTTAATAATTTGCAAACAGTTGGGATTTTATAATTTGCAAAACAGTTTGTTGTCAGTGTTTTACTGTTTGTCAGCATTTTTTGTGGGGTTTTATAATTTGTAAGCAATAGTTTGTTTGTTTTTTACCATTTGAAAACTGTTTGAAGTTTGGTTTTTTACAATTTTTAAACTGTTGGTAGTTTTTTTTTCTTAGTTGTTTGTTTTTTAAAACAAACAACTGCATGATTGGTGATTTATTCCTAAGCAGTTTCCTTGAAATCCAATAATTATATCAAATATCTTTGCTGTTCTCTGTGGTTTTGCTATTTTAATTGCACAGAAAAGGTGACCATATCTAATGATGTCACACAGATAAAATATGATTATTCACTAGAAAAATAATGCCTGTCAAGCCTCAGGCTTTCAAAATTTGAAAATTTACCTTAAATACAGAAAATTTGTTTCTCACTGGATGCATTGAAGAATCTATTTTCATACACTTTTTCAGCAAAATATTATAGTATTCTTGTGTTCATAAAAATCTCTGATTTAAAATTGTTTCGGTATACGGTACTTAACACATGACTTTTTCACTTACTTCAATTTCATTATGGAAGACTTTTAAAGCATCACCAAGATCATTCATAGGAACAAGCATGTCTTGTATAATCTGATATTTCTCGTAAAGCTGTTTTGTTGCCTCCCCTTGTGTCAATTTCAATAAAGATATCTTAGGAGGAACAGTCCATCCAAATAGATAACGGAAAACTGGATGGTTTCCAAAAGGAATGATATCCTAAAAATACATGAAAACAGCAATAAGATCCACATTACAAAATTAATTTCCCACTAATTTCAGAGCATACATGTGTATAACTTAACTATTATCCGATTGAAAAAATACTGATTCATTCTTAAATCTTATCATATTAAAGTACAAAAGTCATTTTCATATGGAATGATCATAGAATTTTTAAATTTGAAGAGGGAATGGTTCATTTAAAGAAAGCTTTAGATCAATCCGTCTGTCTAACCATTTATCGCTTGATATCAACTTGAGTTACTTAATTTCAATATCATAATAAAGAATCCTTTGGCTAGTTCATTATTATTTTTGAAATTCAATAACAAGAGTTTATATCAAGCAATACCCAATTCTCATAAGTTGTTAAACCTATTTCTCTTATGGTTAAATAGAAAATTCAGCAACACTTTTTGTCTTTGACACCTAAACAGTTTGACTGCATAGTTCTGCTTCAGGCATCCGATGTTTCAAGATTATGAAAGCTTCAGAATGGAATTAAATAATATAGTCAATATAAAGGTAACAACTTCATATTACATTGCAGGATAGGTCAAACAAATTATGACATTAATCATATCACTTATTCACATCATGAACTGTTCAGTGTAATACAAGAAATATCTCTTCATTTTGGAAATAGATAACAGGAACAAACTCTTTACATACATGTATATAAATGTAAAAATAAAAATATATGACAAAATATTCAACAAATAATTCTTCTAAAATAATGAAAATTGACATCAGTGAATAATTTAATTATAATAGTTCATTTAATGTGTGGTCTTATCAATTGAAAGCAACATTTCATAAGGCAAAGTAAGTTATAGTGTCAGATTTTTTGGTGGAATTATGTTTTAGATCTCTATTACATCAACATTTTCTTTATCTGGTAATAATTCTCATCCCATTTACCCATATTGGTTGATAAAAATATTTCACAGTTTTGCAAGTATTTAAAAGAAGTTTCAAACTTTCCAGTAACCCAATTTACCTCATAATGTCTGAATAAAACTTGGGTACTGAATCCATTATATCAAGACAGCTCTATCTAGAAGATTTTGAATTAAAGCACCTTTATGTCATAATTGCTTACAAAATCCTATTTGATTACTACCTGAATTTCCCAGAAAATACTACGACTGTGCCTGTGGTAGTAATGTCTCAGTGGAATGTACTCTACAGCAGAACCAGATTCCAGAAAATCTTCAACATGCTTAAAGAACCAAGGTTTCCAGAAATATCCAATAGGGTTTATCTGAAAATAAAGTTTCATTGATTAAATTTATAAATATAACTGATAAACAGAAGAGTTCTTTACTGAAAGCAAACTACATTTTAAATTAGAAAACAATTAGTATTTGGTTGTCATGCTGAGCATTCCCCCACTCATAATTCAAATATGGGATAACAGGAAGAAGGTGCCTGACAGACCTATAAAAGAGCCCACAGATTACAAGTGATCACTATCAAGCTGCTGACCAGCTATGAAATCATTCTGTTCAGTAGTACCTGACAAAATTTTGAGCGTACAAACGAACTCATAGACAAGTAAAGTGATTGCAATATAGCCTCCCTCATTCCCGCTCCTAGAGTGGGGTATAATTAAGCTGTGTGCTCACTCAGTATTCTAGAACTTTCAATTCTCTAACACCCGAGGGACCCCTTAAAATCTATTTTTGTTCAATGAGGAGTTTACAGAAAAGAATTTACACTAAAATTTCTGTTCTAAAATCCATGGAATTCTAATTGTGGTGTTTTACTACTTGTAGAATTCAAAATTCTATTGCATGTTATGAATAAACTTTGCTTCAGATATTTTAGAATTCATACCCCTATGGAAATCTTTTGACAGTAGGATCTCAAGAGGGAATATCCTGAATAATTACACCTTATACCGTATAGCGGGTTATTTTCGCGGGTGTTACATTTCGCGATTTTATTGATTAAGGTATACCAAATAATTTGGCAGTTACTATTTTTGACGGATTCAAAACTTTTATCAATATCATTGCATGTGCACTTTCAAATTGGCAGAATTTATTTTGGCGATTTTGTTCTATCCGCAAAAATAAGCGAAAATAACCCGCTATACGGTATAAGTATCCTGAGTTTTGAGTGGTTGACAGGTAGTGAATTTCTATATACTGTAAACAGAAATTTTTGTGACAGTTTTATTTTTCTCTATTTTCAAGGTAAGAATTGAAATGCGAAAATAAAACGACTGCGAAAATTTCAAGGAAACTCTATTCATAAGATGAAGACCATACATGTACGTATATGAATAGGATATGTAGAGGACCACTGTATAACACCGATTTTACAGACGACAAGTTTATCTTATTAACATGGAAAACATCTCAAGCAAGCGGACAATAGGGTTATTGTTATATAAACAACACTTGTTACAGATATGTAAATAACACCTGTCAATCAGTTTTAAAACTTATTACATCATTGTATCTGCTACACAGATTAATCAGATCAAAAGATCGATAAATTAGCATTAATCCTGCCAGCATTTAATTCACTCTTAGGTCTTCTTTTCTACTTTTTACTGTGTATGTGTTTTTACAAGCAAACATAGCATAACTTTCAATATACTTTAACATAAGTGAACCGACAAAAAAGATTTAGGATTAATTTTATCACTTGATTTAAAACATATGTAAAGCTGCTCTATTTCTAAACCATTTATAAAAATATTTTATAGGCCGCCGGAAAATCGCGAATTCCAAATGGTGAATAGAGATTGTGTAAATAAATCTCCAAATAAAAGACAGCGCGAAAAATTTCCCAGTTTACAGTATTTCCTTTTCACCACTGCTGGGATGCATGCACAAAAATGTCTGTTTTAAACATCTCTCCCGTGGTATTTGCCCAAACGAATATGCCTTTTCACCCATCAAGGAGATCCTTATTCATGTGTGCTCTTTATTAACTTGGTAATTTAAGCTAGCTTCTGATTGATTACTGGTACATCCCATTTACTTTGCTTATCCAAAAGACTTTCGAGCTAAAACACTTTTTGAAGTTTTAGTTTGCACTATAACAAAAATATTCTAACAGTTGAATTCTAATGAATGAATTTCTGTTTCTGTTAATAGTTTGGAAAGAAAGAATTTATAGGAATAAATAGTATTCAACCAAAGACATATGTCTGTACTATATGTAAAGGATTAAATCGGCATAAATTCAGGACATAAATTCAACAGACTATTAAAGGTCCACTCTAAAACACCTAATTCTATACAGGAAAAACATATCAGTAATGTTTTGTCACTTTTTATGAGGGAGGAAGTACATTTTATCAGGAAGTCAGGCTTGATCTGTTTAATACACTGGAATTCAGGATTAGCCAGTTTAATCATCAGGAAATTGGGATTTAATTATATTGTGATGTGGGAGCTGACACATTATTTTCACTGAAATTCAGGATTTTGTATTTATTTTCTCCGGAACTCAGGATGAGACTCTCTCCTACCCCTCCTTTTATTTACAAAAGGTTTTTTTCATACCTTGTCTGGTTCAGCAGTATCAGTCATGTTTCCCAACATAATTACTGCTGAGTTTTCAGAATACACCAATCCTTCCACAAACATGTTTTCTTTTCCTTTGTTTGTTTCATTGGCAAACACTTCAACAATATCTTTCTTGGAATGAACAGGAATGTACTCCATCTTCAGATACCTCTTAGCTGGAATAATCTGGATCGTAGCTGAGACAAGAAATCCAAGTGTTCCATAGGACCAAGGAACTGCATAAAACAGATCTGAATTTTCTTCCTGAAATAAGTATTTGTAGTTATCAGTTTTACCTTATTTTGAGTTATCATTCAGTGTAGGTATTGTAGTGCTTCATAATTCTACTTTCCAATTTTAAATGAAAAGATGAATTTTTCTAAGGCAACAACTTAATTTACATATCCAAAAATTAAGTACATTTCAAAATATTTTTCAAATTCTTCAAATGTTTATAAGGATTAGGTGTGCGAAGAGAAGAATGTGAATCCAAAGTATAGGTATCTCTCTTTCGGATATGCTAAATAAGGTGTGAAAGTCTCAGCATATCTGTGAAATAAGGAATATTAATTCCATATTATAAATATTACAATATTAATATTCTAATAATATATTTTATGATTAGGACCCTATATTTTACAACTCCAAACATCAAAAGACAAGTTCATCTGAAAGATATTCTTAAATCCTATACTTTGTTACACTAAGGTAAATGAAATACCTTTGAACATGTGACCACGCTGCCATCTGCTAGAACAATCTCATATGCCACACAACAATGTTGAAATAGACCAAAGTTATGAGATGATGTCTCTATGCCAACTCCCATAATCAACCCACCTAAAGTTATAAAACATAATGATACAAATAAAATTCTAAAAATATAGAGGGCTGGGGAATCTATGATAAAAATAAGTTTCTAATAGACAGTTACAATGTTTTAGTCATGTGGTTTCTCATTTAGGCCACAGAAAATTTATAACTAAGACATCATACAAAATTGAGCATGGAAATGGGGAATGTGTCAAAGAGACAACAACCCGACCAAACAGCAGAAAACAGCCAATGGCCACCAATGGGTCTCCAACACAACGAGAAAATCCCGCACCCGGGATATCCATTCCAGACAGGTAAAAAAGTTGCTGTAATGTTTATTCCATCTTAATTTGAACACAGATAATGCAATGCAATTTTACAGAAAATTGACGAAAATAAGAAATTATTTTTATTTGATTTTCTGCAGATATGAATAAATGGAGAAGTCAAGAAGACAGCAACCTAATTTATATGCTTTAAGAACTAGAGGCTCTCAAGAGCCTGTGTCGCTCACCTGTATTTACTGATGCTTTGGAAATCATGTAAAATAAGGTTAAAATCATAATTAATAGTATTAGATATTAGATATTATAATGATATCTAAGATAATAACAAAAAACTGCAAAATTTCTGTAAAATTACTAACTCAGGGGCAGCAACCCAACAACGGGTTGTCAGATTCGTCTGAAAATTTCAGGGCAGATAAATCTAAATCTGATGAACATTTTTGCCACCTGTCAGATTTGCTCTAAATGCTTTAGTTTCAGAGATATAAACCAAAAACTGCATTTTACCCTTATGTTCTATTTTTAGCCATGGTGGCCATGATGGTTGGAAGGCGGGGTCATCGGACAAACTTTTTAAACTAGATACCCTAATAATGATTAAGGCCAAGTATGGTTAAATTTGTCTCAGTAGTTTCAGAGAAGAAGATTTTTGTAAAAGATAACAAAAGTTTACGAAAAATTGTTAAAAATTGACTTTAAAGGGCAATAACTCCTAAAAGGGTCGACTGACAATTTTGGTCATGACGACTTATTTGTAGATCTTACTTTGCTGAACATTACTGCTGTTTACAGTTTATCCCTATCTATAAAAATATTCAAGATAATAACCAAAAACTGCAAAATTTCCTTAAAATTACCAATTCAGGGGCAGCAACCCAACAACAGGTTGTCAGAATTGTCTGAAATTTTCAGGGCAGATAGATCTTGACCTGATAATCAGTTTTACCCTATGTCAGATTTACTCTAAATGCTTTGGTTTCAGAGATATAAGCCAAAATCTACATTTTACCCCTATGTTCTATTTTTAGCCATGGCGGCCATCTTGGTTGGTTGGCGTGGTCATCGGACATATTTTTTAAACTAGATACCCTAATGATGATTGTGGCTAAGTTTGGTTAAATTTGGCCCAGTGGTTTCAGAGGAGAAGATTTTTGTAAAAGCTAATGACGACGGATGACAACGACGACGGACGCCAAGTGATGAGAAAAGCTCACTTGGCCTTTTGGACCAGGTGAGCTAAAAAGGGACTGAAATTCTACTTTGTATTAACTTTTGGCACAATATAGAATATTTCCAATATCCTTTTGGAAAAATTTTATGGCAAAAATAACAGTTACCATAGATATTCACATATTAAAGTATATTCCAGTTAATCTATGGCATATCTTGATTACTGTACATGCATTAAAATAACCTGTCGACACAGAGATATGTCTTGCCTGTGGTTGACAAACTGAGATGAACTGATAGTTATGCAAATCTATAGAAAATATCATTGATCTATCACAAGCAGTTCCAATCAAACTGGCTTAAGCAGAAAACTTAATATTGAAAACTGCTGATTAGTTCAAAGTCACTGGACCATGACCTAGGGGCCAGGGCCTCAAATTAGCCATCAAACTGATATGTACTGGTAGTAATGCAACTTCATATAAAATATCAATGATCTATCACAAGTAGTTCCTAACTGAAGCAGAAAACTGCTGCCATTGTCGCCGTAAAGGAACACCTATGTCTTGCCCTCCGCGACAAGAATGTCGCAGGAAAGACAAAAAACCCAGATAAGCTTTATTTGTTAGAAAGCTAGGAAAAATTTATCGTTAAATCTATATTACCAGTTATAGGACAAACCCCAAACTACATCCTAAAATTTAGGAGATATCAAATTGCAAAAAATAATTAATCCATTTGATCATGGAAGTATTATATTGACTTTTACTTCCATGATTGGACATATTACAACCTCTTATCAGACTCCCTGCTGGTAGAGATTAGAAAGTCAGATGAATGGGTATGAAACTTTTAACTTTGACCATGGGAATCAGACCACTGACCATTAATAAAAATTATAATAGATTAAATTAGAAACAATTATTCTTGTATAATTCAGAACTTGTAGAAGAACACTATTTTATAGCACCTTATAGAGTGAAATCTGTTCCAGGAATACAGACATATGTGTTTATAATATACATATACAGTAAATCAACTAATTTTTCTTGTGTGATTTATTTACAAGATTTTCGCAAAATGAAAAATTAAGAATATAAATTGTTGAAAATATGTCAAACTTGGGATATTTTCTTTTATAAATCAGCTTTAAGTCAGCTACAATGGGCTGAACACAAAAATAAATTGGTTTACAGTTAGTCATTAAAACTGCTATTGAAGTGAAATTTAAAATAAATTGAAAAGAAATACAACATGAAATTTAAACTATACTGAATATATTTAAAGGTAAATAAATTAACCAATTACAAACAAATGCACCCAGTTAGCTATTTTTATGAAAACAGGTCAAAAAGTATCACAAAGAACTAACCTAAGATGTAAAGGCAGATAGTGTTATTTGAGAATATTTAGATAATAGTTCTAAAGTTAAGAAATCAGATTATAAAGTTGCCATTGTATTCATACAAACCAACAGTTAGGTCATCCAGCTCAGGTAACACAGGAAGAGTCCATCCAAGGGGATTTAGGAAGGCTGTGATTTGTCCCATTGTAGCTAATGGTTCAACTCTTATTGTCTGCTTGGCTTCATTAATGTCCAAAATGTCAATTAAATTCACTTCTATGTTTTGCATCTGTTTTTTGTATAGCGCTTGTCTAAAGCTGACTGTAGCCCATGGTGGGCGTGCTGTACACATTTTTGTTTTACAACCATTTTGCTTCCACTCCTTAACCTTTTAAGGACAAACAAGTCCACATTAACAAGCACATTCATATAAATATTAAGCAATCACTTGAAAAATGAATGAATGATATCAAAAACTGTCACATACTGTAAATATCATTCCAGTGAGAATAGACCCAGCCAATTTAAGAGGATGGACAGATGGAAATCAGTTTACAAAGGATAGTGAAAAAACCTGAATTCTGTGATAAATAAAAAGTATGTTTAATTCTATGCATGATGTATAATGACTATGTCCACTGACACATACGGTGACCAAAATAAATCCAAACCTTTTGGACTCTGGTGAATAGTTGTCTTAATGGCAATCATACCACAAGGCTCAATATTTATAATAACATTAATAAACATGACTGTAAAAGTTCGCTATGAAATACTCAATGAATATAATTTTCACCCTATCCATATAAAAGAAGCAGCTAAATTAAGCAAATACAAGCAAATAATCTTGGTTGGTTTTGTTGCATAACATGCATAATAAGATTTCATATGCACTTAGAAAGTATTGTTGAATGGTTAGTATTTGTGAGATGTGGACGAGGAAATTTGATCTTGCACTGCATGCTGTAGGGAAATCAAACATCTTTATTCGCCCATTATATGCTCACTTGCCAAAATTTCAATATATATGATCATATCTTGACCACTATGATACCTTTGTATATGCAAAATCAAATGAAATCCTAAACACTCAAATCAAAATGTACAGACCTTATAACACTGTGATAATAAATTGCTTCGCCGAGCGCAGCTGGATACGACCGCAGAGGTCCAACCCTGAACAGTTGGGGCAAAAATGGACACAATATTCACGCTTGATACAGGTCTGAATTTGGATTGTTATTCAATATTTGACATAATAGGCTTCTGACACAGAATAACTGTAGTCAAAGAACTTAGAATTGGTTATATGATTTGAATTTATATTCAATTGTTTGCTTTTGTGCAATACACTATGCTGTTGCGAATTGACCCCCCCCCCCCTTTTAAAAAAAAAAAAAAAAAATTGAAGGATTATCTTTTTGATTTCTGAAATCTTGAGGAGAAAAAATTGTCCCCCCCACTCCCATTTTTTACCCCCCCCCCCCCCCCACCTTTTTCCAAAAAAAAAATTCTTTCCCTCAGTCATGGTCATAATTTCAATTCAAATTTCCAATGGAGTTTGCAACCATAATAACCCATTTAAATACATCATAAAAGTCTTAAAATAGAAAATGACATACATAATCATAGCTAAAATTAATTTACCTTAATCAGCATTTTTAAAATTATTAAAATAGCAACTTCTAAAAATAAATTGACAGCTAATCACTTCAAGACAATACACCATTTCTTTATACATAATTTAAAAGCAGTGGAAGGGAGGTAATTCAAAGTTGTGTTTGAATTACCTCCCTTACACTGTAATTTGTACTTAAGTAATGGTCCATTAACCAGGACACCCTTGTTTTTTCTCACTTTTTTGCCCCTAATTCCTAAACGGTTTGAGCCATAACCCCACAAAGTCAATCCTAACCATCCCTTCGTGGTATGGAAACTTGTGGTATAATTTCAGAGAGATCCATACACTGTTCCACAAGTTATTGTCATGAAACTAGAAAAATGCTTATTTGGGCCCCTTTTTGGCCCCTAATTCCTAAACTGTTGGGACCATAACCCCCAAAATCAATCCCAACCTTCCTTTTGTGGTTATAAACTTTATGTTTAAATTTCATAGATTTCTATTTACTAATACTAAAGTTATAGTCCGGAAACCAAATGTCTTCGAACGACGACGACGTGATACCAGTATACAACCGCAAAATTTTTTGCTGTCATATAAAAAGTAAGAAATCAAATCTAAACAAAAAGGAAACTATGACAGGCAATATCATGCATGGCCATTGGCAAACATTTACCCAAATTGCAAAAATAGTTATATGATTTTTTTTTGATCAAATTTGATTACCACTTTAAAGAATCCTTTATTCTACTGAGATATAACATGCCCATTCCTTTGACTGACTGAATTTCTAAATTCCATAATAAGCCATTGGTTCTATGTCACTAAGCCAAGGCGAACCAAAGAAGTTTGAAAACCTGTGGGCAGTAGGGAAACAAGAAGATTCGGCAATGGAACAAGTTCGGCCTTGGTTGTTTCGACCATATATACCAATTAAGCACTATATTAAAAGTATCTTTGGTCATAGCTTTATTTTTATTAAAGTTGAAAGAGATCTGGTACGCCCATTTGTTTAAATTCTCATTTTTTCCAAATATTCATTTTATTGCAGTGTCATAAGAATGTTCAGACTCAAAAAGTAACAGTTTTATCGTCCATTGTCCTTGTTATGATTATTAAGAGGAAAATGAATTAGGAATCAGGTGCAAATAAAACTTACATAGATTTTCTGATTGTTGTGATAATAAGTACAAATTTTAAAAGTGTATTAGAGGGTGTCAGAACAAATCAAGCAGGTAGGAGCATCAGTAACATGAGGTTATCCATAATTTATCAAATTTTACAATACATAATGTTTTATATTTTTCAATCATATTAACTTTAATTTCTCCAAATGCTAACAAATGTTTATTAATTTTGAAAGGGGAAATTTGTTTGTCTCTGAGACAAACTAAGTAAGCAACAAAGTGACATTCATTGATCAAAACATACAAATTGATTTACAAGTTGATATTTTAAATATTCATCACGGAAACAGAAGTCTCATTCAATCACTTATTATAAACTCAAATCTTACTAGATATCAAATCCAGTTATTTAATTAATGAATTTGGTTGGCACAGGAGGTTTAAAAGAAAAGTAAGAAGATCCAATATGCATTTTTCAAATAATTGTTCTCGCTTCTGCTCAGAAGCCAAGCCTATTGAGATAGATGACCCATCGTCAAATTAGCAAGCAGTGGTTGATCAGATATCAACAGCAGAAATACAAGCAAATGCAGGGTAAATAGGTGGATTTTTGGGACAGACCACATAACAACTAAATTGAGACCCCATCAACATAAGAAGACAAATCAAGTGTCATCATTGTCAGAGTCATCAGACCTTCCTGAGTCTGACTACTCTGGCTCTGTATCAGAGTCTCAGTAAATGTTGATCGTGTTTCACTGGACAGTCACAACAGTTGTTTTTATTTATGTTCTGATATTGTTATGGATTGTATTTTTGATGATGTGCTATGTATGTCAAGCAATTAAGGATATAAAATACTTCAATTTTCTTTTTTAAAAGATTAACCTAAAATAGGGGCATCATGGCTGAGGTATATTTCAATGAGATTGTAACCCAACAAAGCAAAAAAGACATTAAGTCAAATAGGTCAGCAAAGGACTTGATAGATCGAAAATGATAGACAGGCGTCTAAACTTTATATCAATATGTTCCATTATCAACACCAAATTCCCAAAATTTCAGACAGAAAACAGATTTTCTCAAATATGGCAACACACAATCTTAATTTTTCCTTGAACAGCTTTAATAATTTTTCAAAAAGAGTTCATTCTCAAAAAACACTTAGGAATAACATTTAGGAGTGACACAAAGCGGAATAACATATAGTAAATATAATAAATAGTGTTAAACTATATCCTATTGTACTGAGAAAACTTAAATATCTTAGTTTTGAACATGCAAGTGAAATGTGAGAAAGTTGTGGAAAAAGTTTTTTTTTAAATAAATCAGAAAAGTTACAACTTGTTGCTGCAAGAATGCTAACATGACTAAGGCGCTTAACTATTTTTACACATTTTGAAAACTATCTTTTAACCTGCTGTGACATTTTGTAAATACTGTGCATCACATTCATTTTCATTCCAAACATCTTACTTATATGTAGTCATCTTCAATTTCTTTATCCATAAACATCGATACAAAAGGGAATTAATATTATATGATGTTGGACCAAAACTACCCAGGCAGAACATGTATATGTATATACTACCTAGGCAGAACAGGTATACGTATATGGCAGAAACAACATATGGCCAAAGTGTTAAATGACTGAATCTTCTCAAAAGTGGCAGTAGAATAAATGATTTGGAAAATTGTTATCAAATTTCATCTAATATAATAATGAGTCATTTATTTTCCATTTATTTAAACTAAAGTTTAAGAACCATGTTATTTTATTCATTTTGTATAGAATCCAAAAAGTGAAGAACTTGCAGCAACCAGCAGCACTTCTTCGGTTTGCCTGAATAGCCAGAAATTAAGTTCAGCAACCTCTAAAATATTTAGGAATAATACTGACCTGTCATATTTGACAAACACACTGACAGTTGCCAGCTTAATGAATCTGAAAAGTTTTTTTTTATGTTTTAAACATGTACCACATATTTTAAAAAACATTAAGATAAATATAATCAAGATTACGGTATGTATGGCTTAGAAAATCAACCTAACACTATTTGAGTAGATCTGATTCTTTGCTTTCTCCAGAACCGAGGCTGGAACCTATAATGGAATTATGTCCTCTCACTTCTGTGTCAGGACCTCCTTATCCCTCCTCAAACTTCAGCTGATATACGCTTTGTGGAACATGTAGCCTTTCGATCAATATAACAGTTTTGTTAACCTTTATATACCGATGGTTTAATTTTAGATGATTTCTGTATAGAAAGAACGCTCCATGAGCCTGATTTTCTTACCTGGCAAATGTACCCCTAAATTGCTCAAGAGAAGATAATTTCTGACAAGTTTAGACTTGATAACCCTTGATAATTGTTTTCAAATATCCCCTAAAGTTTCAAAATTTTGCTGTGCAGTTTCAAGAGAAGTTCTATGAAAATTTACCAATCAGAATGAAATTTTTTTATTCATAGAAACCAAATGATGATCCTTTTTTTGCAGATCTTCCATTCATTATTCCTACAAAGTTTGGTTAAAATTAAATGTGTGGATTCATCAAAGAAGAGGATGGCATGAAGTTATTGTTAAATTTCCAATAATGTTTATTTCAGGCTTCTTCAGTGATTCCGAATAAAAAAAATACTACTTAAATCTAAATATTTACCCCTGTGTTGATGCATGTTTGGGTTCTTACATTTCTCAGCCTTGCAAGATTGGTGATTAAAGAATTATTACAAATTGCACTCAATTTATATATATATATATTCATGAACAAATACACATAAAAAACATAACAGTTCATATTCTTGACCAAATAACATCAATTTAAAAAATCAAAGAAAAAATTATCATGATTATCCAGTAGGAATGCACCAGAAATCTGTGCAAAACGACTCAGAATGTGAAGGGGAATCGATGGGAAAAAATACTAGTCCAAATAATTATGACGTCTTGAAAGGCTATTTTATTTTTTTTCTGTGACACCTTCCTACGACTACGGACTAGCATGACTTTTATTAGGAAAATACATGATTACAATGCAATTATATCAAATAACATACCTGATTCTGTACATGTTTTACTTTACTGTCATGCTTCCTTGGTGCAGAATTCAGTTTGAATATGATCCAGTTCCTGACATACATAACAAGATCATACAAAACTGACATTGGCAACAGGAATAGACAGACAAACACCCATCTGTAATGTTTGATAATGTATTCAAATCCCCTGTATTTGGCCCATGTACATAGTGAGACTATTGCTGAAACTGCAGCAAGCAGAATATACTTTGGTTCGATACCTTCAATCATATTATCTTTATAAATAAATTAAATGTCAGGTTGTTGGCCGACAAAGCCGTCAAAGGTCAAAGTGAAAGTAGAGAGTGGTATTCCGAATGAAAAGCCTCGGTTTAGAATACACCGGGATATTTTCCCGCCACCGTTTGTTGTTTTGTACTGGGGCATTTTGCAGAAAATATTTTTGTTTGTCAATAATGTGGATCCAAGTTCGAAGTTTTGATGGGAAGACGAGTCTTCAAGTTGATGATTTGTCTAAATTGACAAAGATCGAAGATCTAAGGTTGCGTCTGGTGGAAAAGTTTGAAGCTCCGCCAGAAAGGCAAAGGCTTTTCTACAGGGGAAAACAGGTTACACCCTCCAACTGTTGTGCCCTTGTAAAAGACAAACAAAAAAAATCCATAATAGTATACTTAGATGAACGGCTAAAATCGATAAATAAATTTTCAAATGCATTTCAAAAATACATTTGATATTTACCCTTTCAAATTAGGCACACAAATTACAGTGGTTGAAAGTTTTCTCAAAAGAAATGTTAAAATTGACAAAAGCGCAAAGGGAAGGAAAATTAAGGTATCAAAACTGTTATGATGATGGAAGTGTTTAATGACCTTGACTGGCTATACAGCCCTCGCACGGTCAGTGAGACTGTTACAATGTACCTTCAGGGTTAAATATAGCATTATCTGGTCATTATTGATGGTGAAAAATTATTCCTGATTAGGCAGTTACTGAAAAAAGATGCATGTATACAGATAAAGACAAAGGCACTGGCTATGATTATTGAAATGTAACAATATTGAAAAACTTATTTTACATTAGAAACTAATTGCCGGAATGCTAGGTTGGGTTAGGAACCGATTAATCAAAATGTAACAATAACATTTGTGTCTACAGTTATGGTGTGTTATTGTTAGGTTAGATTTAGATTTATTAAATTTTTAACCATCTATAGTTTTGTTGCTTAATTTTGATTTACTTGATAATAATAATAATTATTATTCAACAAAAAAATGTTTAAATAGTTTTTAAGTATTAACTGTTTTACTGTTCTTCAAGATAATACTGGGGCCTCGGTGGCCGAGTGGTCTAAGTAGTTACTACTGTAATCACTAGCCAGTCAACACTGAGGTTGTGAGTTCGAAACCCGCTTGTGCGGGTGCACTCGACTCCAATCTTAATTGACTAGGATTGTCAGTTTTCCTATCGAAGGTCGGTGGTTTTCTCCAGGCACTCCGGCTTCCTCCACCAATAAAAACTGGCTGCCACGAAATAGCCAAAAAACGGTGCTTTAAAGTGGCGTTAAAACACCAAAAATCAAAAAATCAAATCAAGATAATACTACAGTTTAGTAGTGCCAAAGACAAAACATAGTGTTCAATGGTTCGATGTTTAGAAGAAAAGTGTTCATTTCTATGTATTTAAGAATCATTTAACTGCAAACCTACCCTTATTACTGTCATTATACTTTGAACAATGGATGAAGTGATTCCTATTACCAAATTTGTTTTAGGTGAAAAAAACTTGAGATGCATTTGAATCAAAACTAAAACAAAATATCAAGATTAGAATCAAATTTTATTAAAACGCAGTTTGTGAAAAATTGATACATCAAAAGCAAAGTTTGACAGCAATGAACTAAAATACTGCAAACTTCTGTATGTAACATCAGTAATGGGCGGAATTGAAATGATATTAAAAGACAACATAAAACAACCTCACATGTTGCCAACAAAATTTTTGGACGAAAATATGAACATTTCAAGAATAAAAAATATTTTTCACCTGAAGCTTGGCAGACATTGAAAGTTGTTTCAACTTAAAAAAAGGGATATTGCACAGTGGAACTGTTTAGTCTACAAAACAATGTGCACATTGCTGCATCACTTGTTTGTGATGGCTGCCTAGCTAGAGTGGTTTCACCAAAAATGCGTCGAACTAAAACATGCTCCTAATAGCACATACTGGATGTGTAGAAGCTGCCATCAGTTGAAATAAAATTTAAAAAAATTGTATGCAATATTGTAGCATTGCAGTGTATACGAATAAAAGTTTTCAAGTTATATTTTAATACTTATTTTCAAGTCCCAGGATATATTGAAGTGCATCAACGTAACAATAACGCAACGTAACAGTAGACATAAATATTATTGTTACGTTCGTAATTAATCGGATCCTAACCCAACTTTGCATCCCGGCAATTAGTCCAATGTAACAATCACTTTCTTATTATTGTTACATTTCAATGTAATCGTAGCCAATGCCTAGGACAAATCCCTTCCTGGGATAGGAAAAATGTTTTCAGAAAATAGTTTTGGAAGGAAAATACAGATGCAAATGTTCAGTCCTTGTAGATATTGATGTTTCCATCATGGATTTTTTTATACTAAGTGTTTGATAGAACTATAATTGCTATATAAAATTACTTCATGTCTTTATCATGTTGTGCTCTGTTAAGTGTAATATTTCTTTTTTTCAGCTTGAAGATGGGCACACACTATTTGACTACAGTGTAGGTCTGAATGACCTGGTACAATTGATGGTAAGGTCAGCAGATGTCAAACCAGTCGCAGAGGAAGAGAAGAAGGTTAATGGCTATGCTAGCAGTGATGATGAAAGTTCAAAATCAGATAAAGAAAATCAGAGAGTATGCTTTTTTTTAATTTTTATTGATTTTTTAATTTTCTTTCTGCATTTATGTATCTCTGGATATGCATTTATTTTTGGAAAAAGGCACTCTTGCCGAGATTTGGAATTTTATAAAAAACATAACATATGTATACTAAGACATCCCACAGGTCTTTGGACAATGTACAAGTACTATTTATAGTAGAATTGTGAAGCCTTGAAAGGGGAGTTGCAAGGTATCCATTATTAGTAATATATAAGGGTAGTAATGGTAGTGGGGTTAGAAACAACTTTTCACACATTAAGATGATTAATGCTTTAAATTTCTAATTAAAAAAAGTTTTTTTTGGGGGGGGTCTTATAATTTTATAATTCTCAACCTCGTTTAAATTTTTGAATAGCCCTATGCTTAAGAATAAACCTTGTTCATAGACCTGATGACAATTGTGTCTTGACTCACTAAAGACATGATTTTTTTTTTGGTTTTAGATCTTATTAAAGACACCAGAATAGTTGTCTGATCTGCATTTTTATCTATTGTGTCCTATTCCCTTTTTGTAATATTTTTGTCCTGAGTGTGGATTTTTCATGAATGACTGGAGAGATTTACCATGTCAAGGTACCTGATCTTGTTCCTTTTAGAGTCCATGTGATTCTCGCAAATATTTCTCATGGTTGGAATACAATGGAATTACAAGGTTAGAACATTGGTAAACTACTGTCATCAAATTTCTTTTCTTTACTTTTAAAAACTGCTTATTTTAGATAGAAAAAAAGCTTGTACATTGTTCTTTTTCAGCCAGAGCCTGTTGATAAAATAACAGAAAATGCTAGTGATAATACAGATGCAAGCACATACAAGGTATAGTTTAGATATTTAGCTTCATATTTTTTATCAGCTTTGGAAATTGGTTTTGATTGCAAAATTCCTTGAGTCTGGTTTAAAAAAATGAAAATTCAGTAAATTGTTACTTCTGCTTTAATTTAAGCCCAGATCAAAAATAAGAGCCTTTGATAGTAAAGTATGTACAGAAATTTCTTTACATAATTTCCTTTGATGTTAATAGGTAGGAGATGTAATTGATGCAAGAGATTTCTCAGTGGGTGCTTGGTTTGAGGCAAAACTTGTCAAAGTAGTTAAAGAAGACAGTTCAAAGGTCAAGGATGAAAATTGCAATGACAGTTGTGTGGATTCTATGGAGACAGATAGCCAAGATAAAACAAAAGAAATCAAAGAACGTCATAATATAGACAATACTCCATCTGATGGATTTGTGTATCATGTAGTATTTGAAGGGTAAGACATTAAAGAAAAGATAGGGGTTCAAAACACGTGTAATTCCCAGGTCTTGGATGTTTGTATGATTTCACTTTGAAATTCTTGTGGACTTTTCTGAAGTCAACATGGTTAAATGATTCTAGATTAACATATATACTTCATGTTTTTAGCGTTAAGAAGTCTTTTTTGTTTTTGTTAATATAGACCCTGAAGAATTAAAAATAGAGCCAGAAAGTAATTAAATAAATATGATGGTGTTCAATTTTGAGTATTGTTGTCAAGTCTTTTGTCAGTAAGTCCCAACATCATGTATTCCAGCAAAGTAGATCCAACATTAGCAGATATGTTTATAAATATATTGTTTCTTTCGCCCGTTTTTGATATGTAAATTATTAAACATCATAGTTAACAGAATTCAGTAGCCTTGGTCGATGCAAATAGTATAGAGTACATGTTTACATTATATAGAGAGAGAAAATGGACACTGGACAAGTAAGCTTTCTTTTGACATGGTTGTCTCCTGTAACACTATTCAGGACTTAATCAAATTAAATAGAAATGATATAAAGCGTAATATGAGTAAACAAAAGCTAACAGCAAAGATTGATTGGTGTGTAACGCCACTTTCAACCCTATTGTGCTATTTCGTGGCGGTCAGTTTTTATTGGTGGATGAAGCCAGAGTGCCCTGAGAGAACCACCTACCTTCAGTAGGAAAACGGACAATCCTAGTCAATTTAGATTGGAGTGGAGTGCACCTGCCCCGTGCGGGATTCGAGCTCTCATCCTCAGTGTTGACTGGCTAGTGATACAGTAGTTCAACTACTTAGACCACTCTTTCAACGAGGCCCCCCCCCCCCTAAACAGTAAGAAAATGAAAGTTAAAGTGATTGTTCACCTCGTGATTAGCCTGAAAAAGCCATTTGGACAAGACTGCATTGTATCCCCAAATGCTGTTCCAATATTGATTGTGATGGGAGGGATAGGAGACACTTAAATTAAACATATGTGGGCAGTTGCATTTTCCTCCGAAATTTTGTAAGAATTACAAGTAAAATAAAAATTTTATATTATGGGTGGTTTGGGTAAAAAAATGTGCCTCCCATGTCCATCATGTGTTTAATTTTGGAACAGCTATTATATACTATTGCAGAATTTTCATTAGACAAATTGCAGTTGTTCCTCTTTATTCCAATTGAAAAAAAAAACATTGAAATATCTTTTAAAAAATTTAAATGGCTAGTAAGGTAATTTGTAATTGTGGGGATTTTAAAAAGCCTTACTTGTCAAAACCACAGGAAAAATGAAGGGTCAAGTGTGGGAAACAGATTTGATAGGATGGCCTTGTGTGTTAAACCGGTATGATTTCAAGTATTTCTCTCTTAGGTCGTTCAACATCTTCCTGTCAGATTAGAAAAGAAAAGTTACTTCTCCCTATGATGCAGAATAGTGTGACCCAAGGTAGAGAAATAAAATTTGGTTTACATTGCAGGTATGATGACAATGACCCTGAAAAGCTTATGTGTAAAGACCTCAGACCAAGAGCACGAACAAATGTTCCCTTTAAAGAAATAAATGAGGGACAAAAGGTCATGGCTAATTACAATGTTGATGATCCTGAACAACGAGGATTTTGGTATGACTGCATCATAACAAAGAAACAAGATACAAGGACAATCAAGGATCTATTTGCCACTGTATTTATAGGGTATGTTATAACTAACTAACTGTCGTTTTTTTGCTGGGTTTTGATACTGATGTTTGACTTGATCAATTTTTAATTAGTTTAGAAGAATGTCAACAGCAAAATTCAAAATTGGTACTTATTTGAGCTGTTCTACAATCTAATATGTACTGATTTTGAACTTGACCAGAGACTCTAATAATCCAATTGCTTGAAGATATATTATTCATCAGAGCACAGTTTTACACCTTTGATAGCAATACCAGCTATCAGAATTCACAAGTGTCTGGTTACCCATAAATTACAACTTCAGCTCAGGTTTGTAACTTATAGTACAACCGTACAGCTTTAGAAACAAACTTTATTAAACGTGTCTGGTCTTTGCGGAGAGTCAGCACAGATGATACACAATAGCTCTGCGGATGTTGACTTTGAGCCAGACATTGGGGCTACCCTTAGAATGCAGCTTAAATGTGCATGGATCACTGGGTGCAACACAGTATGCATATGGACTCTTGGAAAGCGGAGAAAAGTTTGCTCCAGTGACGAATCCTGATTTATGCTTTATTTCAAAGTCACTACTCTTGTGCATGCAGACTATGACATGATCTTGCCTTTTACTATGTTGAGAAGTTCAGTAGAGCCAATGTTATGGTGTGGGGAGGCATATACAACAACTAAAGTACATAATTGGTTAAAATCCCTGACAACTTAACTTGTTTGCGGTAATCAGATGACAACACAATACAGTCGACTCCACTTAATTGCATACCGCTTAATAGCATAATTCGGTTAATTGCATAGTTTTCTCCTGCACAAAACCATTTCCCATACATCTAATGTTAAATTGTCCGGTTATATGCATAGCTCTACAAGTGGCCTTTCGGTTTATTGCATAGAAAATTATCGCCATCTAGATATGCTTGGTTAAATCTGTCGAAATTTTTGACCGGAAACGGCAAGTTGGTGAGTATATTTTTCTTGAATGCATCTTTATTTTCATTATTATTTCATATTTACTTTTGTGTTATTCAAATAAAGTTTTAAAACAGTTTCTTTCGTGTTTGATTGAATTTGATTTGAAAATAAACCTCGATATCTACACAGGTAAAGTTTCCCATGTTCTATTTTAAGCCTCGAGGTCATAAAAATGTCAAACAGGTAATTGTTGTAAAAACACTGACCATTCTATCTAAAAAGGTGTAAATAATTGATTGGATTTCAAACATTGTCCATAGATTACATTTGGTGTGAAATTCAAAAACAATAACGCCTGCTAATTATCGATCATTATCCAATGTGAACTCTGTTATTGGGCTTGGGGTGATCTGCATTTATGTTAAATATTACAGGGCATTTATATATGGTTAAAGAATTTTATACATCAATCATTTAATTTTAATATATTTTGAAAAGAGCATTTACTTCTAATTATTATTTTTCTCAGTTTCAATACTCGGTGTCCAGCAAATAACCCGTACAGGGCCCCATTACTGCTTTGCATATACGAAACTAACGAAGTTAAATAAACAGGCAAGCTGTAAATATTGTATATCAAAGGCAGTTTAGTACACATCTATTGTCAAAATGATTATAAACTGTAATTTTGTTAAACAATTTATTTTAATCAAAGCGTAACAATGTACATTGTACATACGGGTCATAGAAACAAATCTATTTTTAGAACGAAATTTTTTTTCGTATCCCAGGTAAACTGGTAAAGAAAAACGTCGGTACACAAATAACCTAAAACAAAATGTGTTTTTAATCTTTATTGAAATAATACAAAATAAAATAACATGTACTGACACTAGACATATAACTTTTATTAGAATAAATCAACATTCAATATGTTGTAATTGGATTATAGACGTTCAACTTTTTCTTCAGGGATTTCCTTCAGGGATTTCCTTTACTGATCTATTCTATCGATGTTATTTGACTCCATTATTTGGCATTTCGGATATAAGCATACTCCGCTTTATTGCATAATTTTGTCTTGACAAATAGGCTATGAAAATAACCGGAATGTACTGTACTACATGCCACATGTACTACTGTTGAATTTCTTGCAAATCCAATTATCACTATTTTTCCATGGCCATCTAGATTGCCGGATTTACAACCAATATAATTTTTTATGGAATTAGTTGGATCTGCCAACATCAACCAGCCTTGGATCCTCTTCAACTACAACAGACATTCCACCAGGAGCACCAAAGGATGCCGTAGGCAAATCCAGCATTTTTTTCAATTAATGCTGAGAAGATGCAAATATTTCGAATTCTCGTTAAAACATTTGTCAAGATACTTGTATACATGTTGATGAAAAGAGACATAATAATAAGCACCATTCCAATTTAAGCCTCCTGTTTAAAGTGTTATATGCATAAATTTGTTGTTGTTTTTTTTTTTGAAAGTTTATACACTAATAATAAAGTTTATTGATAGAAAATTTCTTCTCTAAATTATTTTAAACATAATGCAAGATAATATTTTAAACATAATGCAAGATAAAACAACTATCTCAAAAGATACAGATTTTTACTCTTTTATATGTTGAAATTCGTGTATTTGGTCAAAAGCAAATTAGAATAAAATTAAATAGATGATAAATAATGTTTACCTACCTTTTTCAGTCCTGACTTGATGCCATTAGATGACTGCAAGTTGTTATTTGTCAATGAAGTATTTGATGTTGAAATGCCTGGTACCCAGTTGAATGAATATGATACACCAGTTGAGCAGTCAGCATCTCCAGTAAAACGTAAGTAAAAATAAGATTTGCAAGTCATTGAGACATACTCTATGGAATACTGTCATATTTCTACAATAGTTTCATTTTTGGTTTTATTCTATTAAGCAATATGACATACTTTCTTCTAACTCTTTTGTGGTTTCTGAAAATTGTAGCAATACATGAAGGCCAATAGAAAAAGGGATGTTCATTGTTTCATTTGAAGCAGAACAGTGGAGAAGTTCATCCAAGTTATAATCAACATCCAATGTACAAACTTCTTACCATTTATTTTCCAATCTTTAATTAAAAAAGATATTTATTTTTATGCCCCACCTACGATAGTAGAGGGGCATTATGTTTTCTGGTCTGTGCGTCCGTTCGTTCGTTTGTCCGTCTGTTCCGCTTCAAGTTAAAGTTTTTGGTCAAGGTAGTTTTTGATGAAGTTGAAGTCCAATCAATTTGAAACTTAGTACACATGTTCCCTATGATATGATCTTTCTAATTTTAATGCCAAATTAGAGTTTTGACCCCAATTTCACGGTCTACTGAACATAGAAAATGATAGTGTGAGTGGGGCATCCGTGTACTATGGACACATTCTTGTTAGTTTATCTGTTCAACCTTCGTTATCAGAATTGATAAATTCAGTTGCAGATTTTAATCATGCATTTTATTTGACAGTTTGATATGCTAATTGTTGTTTTTTCACATGCAGGAAGAATTAAGATGTAAAGATTTGCAGTAAAACATTCTTATTCTCTAGGTCATCTGTATGTTCAAAACACAAAGTCAATTAACATGAACTAAAAAAAAAATATATTTAGGAAATTCATTTATATACATAGATTGCCTCGCTGGGCCTGTTGCCCAATCCAATTCAATTTATTTGAAAAAAATACTGTTTAAACTATAAGCATGTGCACTCTTGTAACAAAGAAGTCGGAGATTTGACCTATTGTCCCCATCAACTTTTAGCTAAAAATATGATACAAATACAGTAGTTAAAAACCAAGCAAAGCTTATGTACAAATTACTTATATTTCATCAGGAAAAAACAAACCAGACTGTGACCATTGTTTAGACAATCCCCGTAAGAAATGTAAACATTGTGCTTGCTGTGAATGTGGAGGTAAACAAGATCCAGATAAACAGATATTATGTGATGAGTGTGATCAGGCCTATCATCTTGCATGTTTAAAGCCACCTCTGACAAGTATACCAGAAGATGATGAATGGTAATGTTATGCAAAGTATAATTGCCTTTTACTGTAATGATTTGGAGTTCAGCTGATCAGTACAAAAATATTTAGGACTATTTGAATTTTTTTTGACAAGTTCAAACCAGTCAGAATACAGTAACCTAAATAACAATAAACTTGTATATTTTGTCTAATGTATATCTTACATTGCATGACTGATAGGTCATTTAAAAAATTCTAAAATCTCAAAATGGTCTGGCATGGTATATGAAAATTAAGTGTTTGCATTTACATATTTTCAACAAAATAGGACTGAACATAAAAAATTTGCTCAATAATGGTTTAGGGAAATATATTGAAATACAAATTTGGTTGTTGGCTCATACTGAAACTTCATATAGTGAGATTTCAAAATTGCCTTGTGTAAAAATGTGCTAAAAAACGTTGGGATTTGATGAAATATTGGTTAAGTTGTAGGGTTTTAAGATACCTGAAAAATTTTGATAATTAGGTAAGGAAAAAATCCACTGATTACATCACAATGGAAACATATCTGAAGATAGATTTAAGTGAAATGTATAGATTATTCCAATAGATATATTATATGATTGGGACCTGTCTGATTTAAATACGAACCATGTGTCCATGCTATGCTTATAAAGAATCTGCTCCTCTTTATCTTACTTTCTGATCTGAAGATCTTATTGGATTCTTAGGATTTGCCATAATTTCACACTTTCAAAAATTTTGTGGCATAAATTTTATTGGTTAACAATGATTACCCAAACAGAAAGTAGACCAGATCTTTGTAAGTGAACAGTGGATACAGGATCTGTACTTCAATAAGGTTTATATTGCTATTTACAGTACATGGACTATCTCATACATTGTATTTGTCAGTTACTTGCAAAACTAATAGATAGATTCAAATATACTATCATGTACTATTGTAAAAAGATGCTGGGTAAATTCTTATCAGACACATTTAATCAACTTTATATTCATTAAGATAATTTTACTTTTACAGTGTTGTAGTCAATTTCTAAAGTTCACCAAGACTCATTTTATATTTCATGTTCTGTGCATTTAATTGAAAATTATCTTGATATTTATTGAAGGTATTGTCCAGATTGCAAAACAGATACCAATGCTATTGTAAAAGCTGGAGAAAAGTTGAAAGAAAGTAAAAAGAAATCAAAGATGGCTTCACAACAGAACAAAAATAGTACAAGGGATTGGGGCAAAGTAAGACTAGCAACAAAAATATTGCAAGGGACTGGGGCAAAGTAAGACTATCAACAAAAATAGTACACAGGATTGGGGCAAAATACAACGATCAGCAAAATTAGGACCAGGGAGTAGGGTAAAGTAAGACAACAAAAATAGTACAAGGGATGGGGGTAAAGTAGGATGATCAAGGAAATAAGAACTGGGGAATTGGGCAAAATAAGACGATCAACAAATATAGAACAAGGGATTGGGGTGAAGTAAGACTATCAACAACATTATTACAATGGATTTCAGCAGAGTAAGTATCAACAAAAATATTACAAAGGATTTGGACCAACTGAGATTAGAATCAGGAAGTGGGGCGTAGTAATATTTCAAAGGATTCGGGTATAGTAAGATGTTTAACAAAATAGGGAGTGGGGTAAAGTTAGACTTTCAGCAACATTATTACAAGGAATTCAGGCAAAGTAAAATGATCCATAACAATATCACATCTGTGACACACAGGATTTTGGCAAAGTGCAATTATCAACAAAAATATTACAACTTTAACCCAATATGTTTGGGCAAAAAGAGACGGGGAGAGGCTCAAGAGGCTGAGTGATCTAAGTAGTTTATCTGCTGTATCACTGTCCTGTCAACACTTGAGCCCAGCATGTGGCAGGTGTGTTTGACTCCAATCTTAATTGACTAGGATTGCCAGATGTCCTGCTGAAGGTCGGTGGCTTTCTGGGCACCCTGGCTTCCACTTCCAATAGTAGCTGGCCACCACGATATAGCCAACAGTGCTGAAATTGTTGTTAAACACCAACAATCAAAAAGAGATGATCAACAAATATAGTGCAAGGGACTGGGTCAAGTTAAGATAATGAACAAAAATAGTACAAAGGATTTCGGCAAAGAAAGGAAATTAAAAAAAAAGAACAAGGGATTGGGGCGAAAGATTGCTTACAACAATAGTACAAGGGATTAAGGCAAAGTGAGATGAGTTTCAAAAATGGTACAGAACTTGTGCAAAGGAGTAGGCCCGGTAAGACCCCTTTTTGGCCCCAAAGTATAGCATTTTTACCAATATGTTAAAATGTTAACTTTTAGCTATTTATTGGAAAGTAGAATACTTCTTTTCCATGAATATGGGCTGTTTTTGACAATATAATGCACATGCAGCAGGTAATAGCATCATATATTCGTGCAATATTACTGAAATCTTCACAATTTTAGCATTTGTGCTAATTTTAAGTTGGTTTTTGTCTAAGATGGAAGTGGCCGCATTTGTGTTGTCTTAATATTTAAATATATGTTGTATTTGATGATAATACATAACATAAATAAAGGTTGAGACTGAACACGAATGTGGCCACTTCCATTTTACACAAAAACCACCTGAAAAATTACGTTTTATGGCATATTTGATAGATTTTGCATATTTAAGTGTGAATTTGAGCTTCTCTAATGACCAAATCAGTTCAAATATTTTACATAAACTAATTGAATCAATTGAAGCAGACACTTAAGTGTTGAAAAAATGTCAAACAGCTTTCATTAGATGTACTTCGAATATTAGGCCAAAACAAGCCCTTACCGGACCTTCTCCTTTAGAAATGTAAACAAAAATTGTGTAAGTGAACAGGGAAATTAAACAATATTTTTTATTTGAATCATTAGGCAACATGTAAACTTGATTTATTCAAGGTTTTTAAACAATAAAACAATAAAAGTAGAAGATATCTAATTTATTTAGTGTGTATATAAAGTTGAAATGAAAATAATATTGACTTTAAATTGCTTGCTAATGAATACATGAGAATCTCTAACACACTGATTTTTTTTTAGGGTATGGCATGTGTAGGAAGACAGAAAGTATGTTCTGTTGTACCACCAAATCATTTTGGGCCTATTCCTGGTATTGAAGTGGGTACATTATGGAAATTCAGAGTCCAGGTATTTTATCTATTTTAGATTCTTGTTCAAATATTTTTATACAACCGCAAAAGATTTGCGTTCATAGAATGCTATCATGTTGTCGTCGTCCGAAGAGGCATTTGGTTTCCGGACAATAACTTTAGTTTAAGTGAATGGATCTCTATGAAATTTTACCAGAAGATTCAATACCACAAAAGGAAGGCTGGGATGATTTTGGGGGTTATTTTTGTAGTTTCCGGACAATAACTTGTAAGTGTATGGATCTCTCTGAAATTGTACATTTTTCCTGAATAGAAAATAATCTTCAAAATTTCAAAAAAAATTGAGGGGGTTTCAATAAGTTTCGGGGGGGGGGGGGGGGATTTTTTTTTTGAGGTCCATATTTTTTTCAAGATTTTCAAATTTTCAAATTTTTTCAAAAAAAATTTTTTGGGGGGGGGGACAAATTTTTTTGGGGGGATTTTCCCCTGATTATCTCACTATGAGTAATAGAAAAACTTAATTTTGTATATCAAGAAACATTGTAAGGTCTACATTATCATCTTGCAGAGTTCTTTCTCATTTTCTTAGTTCATTGGTCAGCATTAAGTTTCTCTTAATAGATATTTGTGTCTAGCCTGCGACGAAGTTGCGGAAAGCAAGACATAGGGATTGCTCTTCTGGCGACGGCGTCAACAATTGTTAAGTGTTCTGCTTAAGTTAATTTGATAGGAACTTCTTGCGATAGATCATTGATATTTAATAGAAAGTTGCATTACTATCATTACATAGATATAAGAAGATGTGGTATGAGTGCCAATGAGACAAGTCTCCATCCAAGTCGAAATTTATAAAAGTAAACCATTATACCATAGAAAGGCTTGTATAGTTCGCACTGGTACATAGTCCGCACCCCTTCTCCCCACGAAATTTTAGGTAAAAAAACTTTGTAACTGTTAGAAAAGGTCTAATGAATCTCCGGTAATTTCAAATCCTGTGCAGTCGTTTGCGGTATTTTCTTGGAAAAACCTGTTTTCCATCATCAAACAGAAGCTGAAACTGCTTGTAAATGATTCTAGAACGCTTCATGATTGTTAAAATAAGTTTAATTCACTTAAAAAACAATTTAGAAACTTGTGTATGTTTAAACAGGAAGTTTAAAAAGCACGTGTAAAAGAAGAAATTAACCGGTGAGAGTCGAAATCCGTACATAACAGATATCACTATAATACGACTTTGAAAGTAAAACAGTTCCATCCTTTTGTAAAACAGTCTTTAATATATCTATCACATTAATGTTTGAAGGGTCTTAAGTTAATACAAACCATATAAGTCAGTATGAAACACCTAAACGGAACGAACAATAACCGATTACGTTTTGTAGTTTACAAATTCTAAGCTGGTTTACGGTTGTCTTTTTCACTATGTTTGTATCGTTTCAATCAAGCAGATACCAGTTTATTTCAACCAATGCATTGAAAAGAAACGAGAAATTTGTAATGAAAGGTTTAGTTTTTGTCGAGCCTGCGACTTTTGTCGCAGAAAGCTCGACATAGGGATAGTGATCCGGCGGCGGCGGCGTTAGCTAACTTCTTAAAAGCTTTATATTTTAGAAGGTGGAAGGTCTGGATGCTTCATACTTTGTATATGGATGCCTCATGTTACGAAGTTTCCGTCAGTCACATGTCCAATGTCCTTGACCTCATTTTCATGGTTCAGTGACTACTTGAATAAAAAGTTAAGATTTTTTGTAATGTTAGATTCTCTCTTATTATAAGTAATAGGATAACTATATTTGGTATGTGCGTACCTTGCAAGGTCCTCATGCCCGTCAGACAGTTTTCACTTGACCTCGACCTCATTTCATGGATCAGTGAACAAGGTTAAGTTTTGGTGGTCAAGTCCATATCTCAGATACTATAAGCAATAGGTCTAGCATATTCGGTGTATGGAAGGACTGTAAGGTGTACATGTCCATCTGGCAGGTGTCATCTGACCTTGACCTCATTTTCATGGTTCAGTGGTTATAGTTAAGTTTTTGTGTCTTGGTCTGTTTTTCTTATACTCTATGCCATAGGTCTACTATATTTGGTGTATGGAATGATTGTAAGGTGTACATGTCTAGCGGGCAGGTGTCATCTGACCTTGACCTCAGTTTCAAGGTTCAGTGGTCAAAGTTAAGTTTTTGAGTTTTGGTCTTTTTTTCTAATACTTTATGCAATAGTTCAACTATATTTGGTATGTGCGTACCTTGCAAGGTCCACATGCCCGTCAGACAGTTTTCACTTGACCTTGACCTCATTTCATGGATCAGTGAACAAGGTTAAGTTTTGGTGGTCAAGTCCATATCTCAGATACTATAAGCAATAGGTCTAGTATATTCGGTGTATGGAAGGACTGTAAGGTGTACATGTCCAACTGGCAGGTGTCATCTGACCTTGACCTCATTTTCATGGTTCAGTGGTTATAGTTAAGTTTTTGTGTTTTGGTCTGTTTTTCTTATACTCTATGCCATAGGTCTACTATATTTGGTGTATGGAATGATTGTAAGGTGTACATGTCTAGCGGGCAGGTGTCATCTGACCTTGACCTCAGTTTCAAGGTTCAGTGGTCAAAGTTAAGTTTTTGAGTTTTGGTCTTTTTTCTAATACTATATGCAATAGTTCAACTATATTTAGTATGTGCCTACCTTGCAAGGTCCTCATGCCCGTCAGACAGTTTTCACTTGACCTTGACCTCATTTCATGGATCAGTGAACAAGGTTAAGTTTTGGTGGTCAAGTCCATATCTCAGATACTATAAGCAATAGGTCTCATATATTCGGTGTATGGAAGGACTGTAAGGTGTACATGTCCAACTGGCAGGTGTCATCTGACCTTGACCTCATTTTCATGGTTCAGTGGTTATAGTTAAGTTTTTGTGTTTTGGTCTGTTTTTCTTATACTCTATGCCATAGGTCTACTATATTTGGTGTATGGAATGATTGTAAGGTGTACATGTCTAGCGGGCAGGTGTCATCTGACCTTGACCTCATTTTCATGGTTCAGTGGTCAAAGTTAAGTTTTTTGAGTTTTGGTCTTTTTTTCTAATACTATATGCAATAGTTCAACTATATTTGGTGTATGGAAATATTTTATGATCTATTTGGCAGTCACTCAGGTTTTATTTGACCTTGACCTCATTTTCAAGGTTCATTGCTCAGTGTTAAGTTTTTGTGTTTTGGTCTGTTTTTCTTAAAACTATAAGCAATAGGTCAACTATATTTGTTGTATGGAAGAATTGTTAGCTGTACATGCCTGCCTAGCATGGTTCATCTGACCTTGACCTCATTTTCATGGTTCATTGGTCAATGTTAAGGTTACTTGGTTAATGTTAAGTTTATGTGACAGTTGTAATAAAGCTTTATATTTAGGACTATCAACATAATATCAATGATTAGTAAAGAAGGCGAGACATTTCAGCGTGTGCACTCTTGTTATATTTATCAGTATTAATTTGATATTGAATAGAAATAACTTATTAATATGGATGAGTTAAAATTATTAGTTTGAAAAATGATAAGAGCGCCCTCTTCAATATAAATAACAAAGATGGCGGAACGTAAACAAACCACCTCACCCGCGAAATTGAAATTTTTCTCTTATTTCTTGCTTATTGTACTCTATAGTCCGCACCCCGTCTGGAAGGTCCAATTTTGGAGAATAAAACCGCGGACTATACAAGCCTTTCTACGGTAGGTCAAAGTACGGTCTTCAACACAGTGCCTTGGCTCACACCGAACAGCAAGCTATAAAGGGCCCCAAAAATTACTAGTTTAAAACAATTCAAATGGGAAAACCAACGGTCTAATCTATATAAAAAACGAGAAACACTTATGAATCACATCAACAAACGACAACTACTGAACATCAGATTCCTGACTTAGGACAGGTGCAAACAATTGCAGCGGGTTTAAAGGTTTTAATGGTACCAAACCTTCACCCTTATCTGAAACAATAGTGTTAACATCACAACATAGAAAGACACACTATAAAATATCAATTGAAATGCCTTAACTCAATCAAAAGACATATTAACACCAGTGAACATACACTGAACAAATAAATTTGATCTATGATACAATGTAAATACAAAATAAATAAAACTACCAGTATGATGACTATTTCAAGGCCCTACCCCCTAGGTCATGGTCCAGCCAATTTCAGTTAATTAGCAATTTTCAATTTGAAGTTTTCTGCTTAAGTCAGTTTGATAAGAACGACTTGTTATAGATCAGTGATATTTTGTTTAAAGTTACGTTACTATCAGTATATATCAGTTTGACAACTATTTTGAGGCCCTGCACTTGGACATGGTCCAGTGAGTTTGAATTTATTAGCAATTTTCAGTGATCAGTTTTCTGCTTAAGTTAGATTAATAGGAACTACTTACAATAGAGAACGAAATTTTCTATAAAGTGACATTATTGTCTTTACATCTCAGTTTGTCAACCAATTTCAGGCCCTGTCCACTAGATCATGGTCCAGCAACTGAATTTAATAAGCAATATTGCTGTCCATAAGATAGTCTATTTCTTAGTTTTATGCCGACAGGCGAGACATATCTCTGTGTCAACAGTTTATTTTCAGATACGACTCTGGATTCATTATTATTTGTGGGATTCCAATTTTCAAGGATTTCGTGGGTATACCTAAACCACAAATTTAAATGTTCAACGAAGTAGACATTTTCTTGAGGCTTGTGCAGCCTTTTGCAAAAACACAAAATTAAATATCCACGAAAATACCATTTTCCCTCAATCAACCAAAATTGGAACCAACGAATTAAGGGTTCCACATTTTAAGCAATAGGTCAGTCATTTTTAGTGTAAGGAATGATTGTAAACATTACAAATATTTTGAAAATAAAGAGATGTGGTTTTACTGGCCATGAGACAACTATTTACCAAAGATCTAAGACCAAAGGACATGGATGTAAGCAACTTTATGCTACTATAAGGCCTTCAACAATGAGTGAAACCCATACTGTGTAGTAAGATATAAAAGGACCAGGTATGACAAAATGTGAAACTATTCAAAACTAGAAAACTAAGGGACTGATTTATGCTAACAATAAATTAAAAACAAAAATGACGGACAACAACTAGGGATAACCATATAAATACAGGCTCATAAAGAAAGAGGTATAACATGTTACCTTGACCCCATTTTCATGGATCATTGATAGTGTTAAATTTCAATGATTCCTGTAGCAAAACCTTATCTTAGGCCACAATTAAAAATATTTCAGTTTGCCCAAACCCGACCCATGATGACTGGGTGTGGGTAGGTAGGTAGGCAAATTCTTTTTTTTTTTATCAGAATTTGCATGAAAATATTAAACAGTATATCTTTTTTTTCCGTCAAACCTTTGTAGAGACAATCAAAAGCCATGAAAAACTGTCTGCCATTTTCACATGTTTTACTTCTTTACAGGGATGTCACTAGGTTTTGAAGTAGCAGGATTAATAATTAAAGTAGCAGGCAAGGATTGCGGACGTCATAGACGTCCGGTGCGACAAGGTTTTTTTTTTTTCTAAAATGGTGCAAAAATCCTGCATTCTGGGGCTCCTGAACTCTAATTTAGTCCTAATCAAACACCATTTTTTTTAATGATGATAAGGTAAATGAGCAGCAAGATGGTCACATATTTTCTAAAAAGTTGATCACATAAATATTATTATCACTATAACAAGACTTTCAGCTAATAAGTAGTTGAAGTTGTTTGAGGAAAATGATGAAGGATGACTCTGTAAGACATGGTGATCATTCAGGAAAAGATTCAAATTTGATCTTATTAGTTGAAAATATTTTTAGTTTAACTGTAGACATGCAATTATTCAAATAATTCGAACCCATAGACATTTTTTTTTATTTCTCAGTATTAATAATTTCACATACTTATTACAATAAATCAAATGATGAATTGGACTGTTGCAGGCAAAAAGGTGAACTCTTTAAGGATGTACTTTGGTGAAATTTTAAAATTGATACTTTAAGTCAGAAGACTTCAAGAGCATTTAAGTTAAGAAGCAAACTAATGGAAAGAGAAGAAATCTACAATCTGCTTAAATTTTGGTATATGACCTTTTATGAGTTATTAATTGAAGTATTATATATGGAAAAAAAATGGGGGTCATGGGGCAAAATATTTTACCCTGTATCGTAAGAAAAAACCAAGAGTCCAAACATCTGACAGAAATTCCAAAACCTGACCTAAGTACATCCTTAAATGCATAATCATGCAGGGCTCACACTACTTCAGAATCATAGGGAGAAGTGACTTCTCTTTTTGAAACTGATAGGGAGAAGTGCTCCTTTGCACACTGTGCTACAATGTTTGGTTTTTACTACCTATAGTACAAAGGGTCATATGTAAATAATGTTCTTTTTATATTGTTCAATTCATATCTGAGTATACAATTAAAGTAAAAGTTCAAATTCAAAGTTGTTTCAGTTTAGGTTCTTGTGAGAAACTACCAACTAAATATCTAGCACTAAAAAGATATTTTTTTATGACAAAAAGATAAAGAAATTATAATATATAAATCACAATTCAATTAAAAAACTATCTTGTTTATCATGTTTATGAAATTCAGTGTTTCTCATCAAAAGATATACAAAGTTAAGCTGGGCCATATATATTGATATTAGCAGAGACATATATACATGTGTATATATGTCTTCCCTATATGTTTAATGTTAATTGTATCGTGTAATCGAATATCGGATATAAGAATATATCGGCAAATCGGATAAGAATATTCAGGTCATTTTGTTCAAAACCATGCACAATCGGATATTTTCAATGTTTTTCTGACAGGAAATGGACCCGGAAGTTACGAATTTACAATCTTGCAGACAAGAAGATTTTGTTTTTACTAAATACAAGGAACTATTTCTTAATAAATTGTTGTCTTTAATCATTATCTTCCTTTGTCATGTGAATTAGATGTCCTTTTACTTCAAATGGTTTGAATTTATTTATAAAATATGCAAGACTCAGTTGACAAGTTGACGTTGCTGTTTGGAGAATTTTGATTAAACTCTAAATGTTCACAGAATCAGAAATATAATCTAAACTGAATGTACCTGCTTCAGAATAATTTATTGCAATATAAATATAAATCCCTTTTGACAAGAGAAATCTGACTTTTGTCAGATATATTTTTTTCACATGTGCAAAAGTAACCACATGTCATGGACGCCATTTTGGATGTTTACAAATTTGTGAGGAAGCCTCTAGAACTATGACCTAAATATAAATAGTCTTCAGGAAACGTAAACTTTATGCAATAATATTTTATCAATCATGATTATTTTCATAAATTTAAATTTGATTATTTAAAGAAATAAAATTATATCAAATACGATTTTAGTTTGGAGATTCTACACAGACATGCTTAGATCTATTTATAGCCAAATTAGTTTACCTGTGTGATAATGTAAATAATGGATATTAATTTGCTTACAAAACAAATAAAGACAAACTATGGATGGTAGATAATAATTCACATAAATATTTCAGGACATTTGATTTATTTTAATAAATAAAGGATTTAAAAACTGCAAACAAATTTAATCATTACATAATCAGCTGATAATTTTTTACACAAACATCGTGGAGATGTAACTGATAAAAATCACTCCATCAATCATCCAGCCCTTAAACATATTTAGCAATTGTCAGGGTTAGTAACATCTCAGGATTATATCTACTCATTATTGCAGAATATTCAATGAATATACATTCATCGTCTAATTGAATATATCGGGTAATCGGATATTTTTAGCTGACATTTTGGGTATCCGATTTGCCGGAGTCTACTGTATTTTGAAACAATCCATATATATATGGAATTATATACATTAATCAAGTAAATCTAACAAATAGTCTGTTAATGCGTGTGGAATGCGCAATTTTTCCATTTGGGACCAATTTCCTTGTCAGCTGTTCCATTCATGCGTCCGTAGTTATTATTGTAAAAATACGGATTTCGGTCATAGCTGGTCCGTTTCAGAACCGTAGTTAGAAAACAGTTAATGGCGGACGAAGAAAAATTTACAAAAATAAACGATGTTTGACAAGCTATTTGGAAAGGAATATAACGTTTTTAATGCAATAAATGGATTAAACATTTACTGGAGGCAATTTTTATCCTGTTCAAATGAAGTAACAAACTTATTTTGTCGCCGAAAGTTAGATTGATGTACGATCTCGTGTAACAAGTACCGGAAGTGAATGAAGTGATAAAAAGTTGTCTTTTTATTAAATAATCTGCTTCACACTGTAAAGTCAATGCTTAAATCTCTGTTCTTCAGAAAATGAATCGTTAATGTCTGAATTTCTTTAATTATCAATGTTTCATCGACTTGGTAAAAAATGAAAACTTTGTGAAAATATTATTTTTGACAATTTTGAAGTAGCCGGCGCCAAAGCAGAAGTAACCGTTCGTTGAATCAGAAGATAAAAACCGAGAGCATCGAATATCGATTAACTGCTCTTACACGCTTTCTTTTAATCTTATTCACAGTTACTTTCAAACGCAAAGACGACGAACATTAAGTTTTATACGAAGACGGAGCGGACACGAAAAAGATCCGAAAAAAGAAAAATCTTCAAAAAAACGGCAAAAAAAGAATTTGAGTCGGCAGGTTTTTTTTGGGTCGGTCGCGTTTGGGCAAACATACAATATTTTTATTTTGGCCTTAAAGATTATCAACATATGTTGAATCAAGATAACAAACAGGCGAGACATTTCAGTGTGTGCACTGTTGTTTTACTTATGTTGACAAGGTATCTGGTCCTTTTGCCCAGATTACTTGTGCCCTGATTTTAAAAAATTTAATATAGTTGTATTATGGTTTAATAAGCATATTCAGATATTTATATGATCAATAGAAATTATATTCTCGAAATTCATGAAAAAACATGGAAATATTTAAAAATTTATGGCTTGTTTTGGAGCATTAATGGGATCATTCTTTCGTTTGCTTTATTTAGAATTGATTTGAATGACTGTTGATTGTAATTTAGAATGCTGATTAGGTATAATTATGATGTCTTTGAGCTCACTTATTTTTGTAGTGCTTATCTTCAATGTATTAATAATGAAAATAACGTTGTTTTTTTTCAAATAAACTAGTCAGCTTGGAAAGAGTAAAAACATCGATGTACCAATTGTAAGACATAAAAGGGATTTTTTTTTTTCGCACACAGCTTGGCTTTTTTTACCTCGAGTTTGTTTTGACATATTTCCTATGTATGTGCTCTTTAAAATAATAGTGTAAAACATTAAGGACATAACTGGTGTGTGATGAGAAATTCTAATTGGATCTTGTTATAACTGTTAATTATTGTTTTGAAATTGTTAAAATTTATCAATAAAGATAAATACATTCAGATAACATGGTCTTCAGTTGTTTTATATTAAATACCTTGTATTCCTGGTACTCTACAGTGCAGATCAAAGGAAAATAATTATTTGGTAGCAGCATTACAAGATAAATATTCGGCAAAATTTTCAACAAACTTTAACATAATCTTTTCAAATAATAAGCATTATACAACAAGACAATAAAATAAAATTAAAATCAGAGCGAACGGTCCCAGGGCGAACAGGTACTAGGGCGAACCGACCCAGATTCATGTTGCCAATAAGTATCTAATTTATTTGAACAAATTTATAACAAATCCATATCCTTCAATAGCCACTTATCCTCTCTAGAAATGTCAAAAAATATTGTTATTAAAGAATGTGCCATTTCTAGGTGAGTGAAGCTGGAGTTCACAGACCACATGTTGCTGGTATACATGGAAGAGAAGATGAAGGATCATACTCTATTGTATTGTCAGGTGGTTATGAAGATGACAAGGTATATAAAGATAACGTACAAGGTGGGATAAGAACATTATCTAGACTTATTTTTCACTAGAATTTAAAACTTAATAAACCATTAAGGCATTTATGTCTTTTTTTAAAGTTTAAGTAATATTAACATTCCAATAAATGTATTTTTCTTGGCAACATGAAAATACCCCTTCTGTGCGTTTTTGGGGACGATACATACATGATGGTCAACTTTCATATTGTTTTTAGACCCCTAAATATAAAGCACCTGCAAGTATCGACTAGATAACTTGCCACGATTTTTTGTCAACATGAACAACGTGTTTCTTATAAATATAATTGTGGTATTTGTACTTGCTCAATCAGTGATATTGTTTGCCTTAAATTAGTGGAGAATAAAGGCTTTTTCCCCTGGAGAAGAATCCCAATTTGAAAAAATAATGGCTTAAAATTATTCCCAAAAAGACAACTTTTTTCCCAAACAGTGCTGTCTCAGTAGAAATGAATGAAGTGCATGAATACAAACTGAAAAACACTCATTTAAACATTTTTCATGCCTAAAATGACTATACTTGCAGATTTGAGGGTCTATTTATGTATCATCACTGACAAAATGAGGTCTTATTTTAAAGCAGGGTTTGACATTGAAGTTTCAGTCAAATTCATGGTTAATTTAAATTTCCCAATTTGATGAAAATGACACATATTTTCCCAATAAAAAAGGGTAGAGGTAGTTTAGAAAAAAGCCAACAATATCACTGTCAATATTTCCCACTTGCAAATATGTGTGAAAATATGCAACTTTTGCCTGTTTTTTTTTTGTAAATTGAAATAATACTAGCTCTTAAATGTAAAAGTCTGCTCATATTCATAATATTAAAATGTTAAAAGTATTTTCTTTAAAATACATGTATTAAAACAGGAGTGTTCTTTTTTTTTATAGGATGATGGTGATGAATTCACATATACAGGAAGTGGAGGCAGAGATTTGTCTGGTAATAAAAGAACAGCAGAACAGTCATGTGATCAACAGTTAACTAGAATGAACAAGTATGAAAATATTTTGTATCTTGAGCATAACTTAAAAAATGCTCTAAACACTTTTGTCCCCTGCCCAATGCGTTGCTGGGGACTTAGAAATACCGGGTGTCCATCCAGTCTTGTTAGCGCTCTCGTGTACAATTCTTGCCAGATTTTTATAAAACTTATATCATAGGTTTATATCAACAATGTCTCGGACGAGGTTGAAAATCAGTGCTGATCAATAATTTCTGCCCTTAGAAATATTAATTATATGGAAAATTGCAATGTTAGTGCTTTGGTGTGCAATTCATGCCAGATATTTGTCTCGCCTTGAGTCAAAAAGCAAGACGGGTATACTGTTTCCGTCAGCGGCAGCGTCAACAATGTATTAGTTTGTGATTAGATTAGTTTATGGTGAACCACAAGTGGAAGGTCAATGATATTTGGTATGCAGTTGCATTAGCATTGGCACATTTCATTACCATGGAGATTATTTGACCCCACACCATCAGTCATGGTCTATTGACTTTGAAACTTTTGCTTAGTTTACATGTATTAGTTTGTGATTAGGTCAGTTTAAGGGGAACCATTAGTGGTAGGTCAATGATAATTGGTATGCAGTTGTATAAGCATTAGCACATCTCATTACCATGGAGAATATTTGGTCCTTACACCTCAGTCATGGTCTATTGTCTTTGAAACTTTTGCTTAGTTTATATATATTAGTTTGTGATTAGGTCATTTTAAGATGAACCGCTAATGTTAAGTCAATGATATTTGGTATGCAAATGTAGTGGCATTTGCAAGTTTCATTTCCATGAAGATTATATAACCCCACCCCCTCATTATGGTTCATAAACTTTGAAACTTTTACATAGTTTGCAAGTTAATGTTAATGTTTGTGTTTAGGTTTGTTTAAAGGGAACGACTTATGAAAAGAAGATGGTATTTGGTATGCAGTTGTACTAGCATTGGCACATCTCATTTCCATTCAGATTGTTAAGCCCAGTACCTTCAGTCATGGTTCATTGACTTTGAATATTTGCATAACTTACATGTTAAAGTATTACTATTTTAATTTCAACATTTGCATTATCAAAATAACAAATAGGCGAGACATATCTCTGTGTTAACAGTTTATTATGAAACTTGTATCATAGGTTTATATCAGCAATGTCTTGGACAAGTTTCAGTGCCGATCAATTATTTTTTAAGAGTTGTGCCCCTTTAGAAATATTAATTATATGGAAATTTGCATTGTAAGGGCTCTCACAGGTACATTTTTTGTCAGATTTTTATCAAATTCATATCAAAGGTTAATATAGCAATGTCACGGACAATTTCTAAAATAATTGCGGATAAAATATTTTTAATGAGTTTTGCCCCTTGGAAATATTTAATATATCAGAAATTGCTCTCAATTTTTCAACTCTGAAAGATAATTTAAAAAAATATAAAACAAATTTTTTTTTTTAGTTATTGACCTTGGACAGATAAAACATGTGCAACGCGGGGGACATTGGAACTCTTGTTCTTTTATTATCTCCAGGAGTAGTCCTGATTGCTATTTTTAATTTCAAAATTTTGTTTATAGTAGATGAATGCTGGTAAAAAAGCATCACTATTGTTGAAAATTTAAAGGGGACTTTCAAAACAGCAATAAAAACACTGTTCTTTTGCTTTCTGATTCCCAATGCGTATCTGTATAGGGTCTTGCATCTGTAATAACATGAAAAACTTGATTATTGTCTCGCCTTGACAGAGTAAATAAATGTGACGTCAATAATTTGTTGTGGTTGAGGATTATGTCATGGTTAATTGTCTTTGAATATTTTGCATATTTTTCATATGAAAAGAAGTATTATTTTTATTTCAAAATTTGCATTTTACAATCAAAATTACATATCGACAAAACATATCTCTGTGTCAACAGTTTACTGTATTTTATTTTATCATCCATCCTCATGACTAAGCTTTCTAATACCTGTTCATAAGATTAAGTGCATGCCAATTTTAGGGCTCTCGCTAAGAATGTGAATGCACCTATTGATGCTAAGAATGGATCATGTGCAGAGAATTGGAAGGGAGGTAAATCTGTTAGAGTTGTTAGAAACTGTAAAGGCAGGAAACATTCTAAGTATGCTCCAGAGGAAGGAAACAGATATGACGGTATTTATAAGGTAAACCATTAGCTTTTCTTAGTGTTTCTTCGAGCCGTGTTTGGAAAATGTGGCTTTAAGTCTGGATTTGAATATGAGTTTTGGAATTTTGGAATGATAACAAAAGACTAACTTCTATTTTGTAGAATAATTGCCTGCTGGAAAAATTTCAAAGTTTCCAGAATTTATATATGAGCCATCAGCTCTTGTACTCATTTTGTCACAAATTATACAATCAATTGTAAAAAGTAAAAAAAATATATTGGGGACCCACCCCTGTATTTCAAGGTGTCAAAAGTATCCATTTATAAACTACATCCAGATAAAAGCAGTAATTGAGGTTGGTCAAGTGGTGCTACATAAAAGGAAATCCTGTATGAACTATTTTTATATATCAAAATACAGCTGATTTACTTGTATGAAACATTCAGCATATTGTTTTGGAGTACAGTATATAATGCTTTCAAGATAAAACTATTTGTTTAGAATGTTAGTTTTAAAGAAAATTGACTCAAACAGATAGAAAACAATTTTCTTATATTGTCGATAAGAAAGATCATCTATGAGAGACAAAATTCTGAATATGTTAGGTCTAATCTTAAAAATGTTTTATCTCTCTGTAGATAGTGAAGTATTGGCCAGAGAAAGGAAAGTCAGGTTTCCTAGTGTGGCGATATCTACTGCGAAGGGATGATCCCAATCCAGCACCTTGGACCAAAGCGGGAAAGAAAAAGATTGAACAGCTTGGTCTCGCTATGCAGGTTTAAATTTGATTAATAGAAATTAAAATGGGGCTATTTCATATAATCTGTACTTTAATTGTGGGAAGTCAGAGAATTAGTGACACGAGAAGAGACAGTATAATACAAACCTTTGTTTTAAAGTTCATTTTGAAAGGCATCGATTCATAGATATATTTCTAGTGTGATTCCCTGTTGTGTGTTGCAAATGCAGAGGTGGAAAAGGTTCACAATTTATGTATTTCTTGATGTCAGTTTTAAAAGTTTCTTTAGTTTGATATAAAATAATTAAAACTAAATGGTTTCAAATTGTTTATTCTGATTTTAAATTATATCAAATATTTAAAACTGTTTATAATCAAATCTTAGTTCTTACCAGAATTGGAATTTATTTTGAAGTTTTGCATTGTTTGGGTGATTTGACTGCTCTGCACAGTTGTATATGACATTTCCATTTATCTAATAATCCATTTACTAGTAACAGGCACAATTTAGCAGTTACATTGTAATAAGATTAGCTGTACATATTTTAATACTTTCTGACATCAATCTTAGATTGTACAGTCATAAATATCTAGAAGTCAATTAACAACCATAATATCAACAACTAATGTTGGCAAGTAGGAAAATGCAGTATAGCTATTTCCTGAATTTCATGCTGCATTATACTCAAAATGTCAGACACTTGTTTCTGTTTGCAGTATCCTGATGGCTACTTAGAGGCTCAAGCAAAAAAGGAAGAGGAAGCTGAGAACAGTACAAAGAATGGTGTAAAGAATGGTGCAAAGAAAGGGAAAAGGAAGAGGGATGATAATGGTAAGTTGTAACTAGGTTTTGTGCACTGATAGTAATCATTGCTAATATTTGTTTCATCATTTTTATAACCCTGCTTAAGGAAGTGGGGGTTATATACCAATCCTTTCATGCATTTGAATAAGGCTTCTCAAGACAGGATTTCAATAACGGAATCTTTTTTATAACGATATAAATATAAGAAGATGTGGTATGATTGCAAATGAGACAACTCTCCACCAGAGACCAAATGACATAGAAGTAAGCAACTGTAGGTCACCATATGGTATTCAACAATGAGCAAAACCAATACTGCATAGCAAGCTATAAAAGACCCTGAAATGACAAATGTAAAACAATTTAAACTAAAAAACTATCAGCCTGATTAATATACAAAACAATATACGAAAAGAAAATATGATATACAGCAACAAACAACAACCACTGAATTTCAGGCTCATACAGAATTGGACGGGGTTACACCCAACCCTCCCCATTCTTGGGCAGTGGTACAACAGCATAACACCAGTCCAAACTACAAAAGAAATAAACAAAAACAAATATGATAAACAGCAACAAATGACAACCACTCAGTTACAGGCTCCTTACTTGGGACAGGCACATATGGAATGTGTAAGGTTTAAACATGTTTGCATGCGCCCAACTCTCCCCTAACCCGGGAAAGTGGTTTAACTTCACAACACAAGAACACACTGAAAAACTTTTAGAAAAGGGTTTATATCATCAGATTGATAAAAATCACAAAAACAACTAACAAAAACACAAAAGACTGAGTATAGATCTGAGAGTGCTCTCAGTTACTGAAATCTAGTGCAAAGCCAATAAAAACTAATAAAAAAATCATGTATATAAGACTAAAATGCCTTTTTACTGGGATGGAATTTTTTCGGGTTGCCAAGAGCAATGTTAATTACAGAGCATAGGGGAAATGAATCATTTAAAAATCTACAGTACTTTGGGAAGAAATACTAATAGGTATCACAGTAATAATGGAAATGATTGTAGCATTACATTGGCATGTTTATTCCTATTGATTTTAATCGTCATTTATACAAGTGCTTTCAAAAGATGTGTTTATATGCTGAAATGGTACAGCCTTTAAAAAAACTTTGAATCTTATTGAATTTATTATTAGATAATGCTATAAATTTTAGATGAACAAATGGATAGGTTTGTCTGGCCTGAGTGAGACAGAGATTACAATCCAGCAGCAACGTAAACTATTTGTATAAAGCTTTATATTTCAGACGGTAGTTGAACTGTATACTTCATACCTTGTATACAGATACCTTATGTTACAAAGTTTCCCTGTCATATGTTTTGTTGTCCTTTACCTCATTTTCATGGTTCACCCTCTGCTTGAAAAAAATTAGTTTTTTGTCATGTGAATTCTCACGTATTACGAGTTATCAGATAACTATGTTTGGGATATGGCTTGCAATGTCTCCACGTCCTTGGGAGGGGGTTCATCTGACCTCCTCATTTTATGGATCAGTGATCAAGGTTAAAGTTATGTGATTAGGTCCGTTTTTCAGATACTATAAGTAGTAGGTCAACTATGTGTGGTTTATGGAATGATTTAATTCGTGTTTCTCTTTGAAAGAGATCAAGTTCGTCGTTCTTGTTCATTCATAAAATTATCGTAAAATCACTACGCACTTTATAGTAATGTAATCTTATCTCACATTATTTATTTTAAATTAAAAGTAACACAGTTTACACGTTCTGATTACACTTACCATGTTTAATACTTCCCTGAAATTAGGGGTCCTGTTATTTATTAAGGGTTTCCTTAATTGGTGATTGATACTGATAGACTCCACTCTTTAAACAAATGATGATCAACTGATCAGGGTTACTTCTCAAGACAGTGTCAAATGTCATAATGACCCTATAGGCTATTGAAAATGATTACTTGTAATTCTCAGGAATTAAAAAGTTTTGTGTTTTATATTCTGAAGTTTTAAAAATCAAAAATATTTAACTGAAAGAGTGCTTTTGTTTGTCTTGTGTTAATTCCAAATAATCTTTTTACTTACTTTTATAATGTTCCGTCATATCTCTGGTTTTGATTTGTGATCAGCGTCTTTTCATTGGATGGTTTAAAATAGATCTCTGCATTGACCATCAGTGTTTCAGCTTGATTGTTTTCACAGGGCGGTCACCCCATCCTTTCACCACTGACGCTCTGTGCCCTTTTTAGCTCACCTGGCCCAAAGAGCCAAGTGAGCTTTTCTCATCACTTGGCGTCCGTCTTCCGTCGTCGTTAGCTTTTTACAAAAGTCTTCTCCTCCGAAACCACTGGGCCAAATTTAACCAAACTTGGCCACAATCATCATTAGGGTATCTAGTTTAAAAAATGTGTCCGATGACCCCGCCAACCAACCAAGATGGCCACCATGGCTAAAAATAGTACATAGGGGTAAAATGTAGATTTTGGCTTATATCTCTGAAACCAAAGCATTTAGAGTAAATCTGACATAGTGTAAAACTGATTATCAGGTCAAGATCTATCTGCCCTGAAATTTCCAGACAAATCTGACAACCTGTTGTTGGGTTGATGCCCCTGAATTGATAATTTTAAGGAAATTTTGCAGTTTTTGGTTATTATCTTGAATATTATTATAGATAGAGATAAACTGTAAACAGCAATAATGTTCAGCAAAGTAAGATCTACAAATAAGTTGCCATGACCAAAATTGTCAGTCGACCCCTTTAGGAGTTATTGCCCTTAATAGTCAATTTTGAACAATTTTTTGTAAATTTTTGTAATCTTTTACAAAAATCTTCTTCTCTGAAACTACTGAGACAAATTTAACCACACTTGACCATAATCATTATAAGGGTATCTAGTTTAAAAAATTTGTCAGATGACCCGCCTTCCAACCATCATGGCCGACTTGGTTAAAAATAGAACATAGGGGTAAAATGCAATTTTTGGTTTATATCTCTGAAACTAAAGCATTTAGAGCAAATCTGACAGGTGGCAAAAATGTTCATCAGACTTAGATTCATCTGCCCTGAAATTTTCAGACGAAACCGACAACCCGTTGTTGGGTTGCTGCCCCTGAGTAAGTAATTTTACAAAAATTTTGCAGTTTTATTTTATTATCTTAGATATCATTATAATATCTAATATCTAATACTACTAATTATGATTTTAACCTTATTTTACATGATTTCCAAAGCATCAGTAAATACAGGTCAAATGCAGGTGAGCGACACAGGCTCTTGAGAGCCTCTAGTTATGATTCCCTGAACACTCTTTAAGACGCCATGCCCGATTTTGTAAATTTTTTACTTTTCCCAAGGGAGACAATCATGATCAGCCAATCAAAGTCGTCGTTTCTCGTTTCTTAATGGGCATTGCAAACATGCTAAATTTTGAACTTGTTTGGATCATATGAGTTGTATTCCTCTGTCTGTATATCAGAATTGTACAAAGCATGATCATGGCAGATGAATTTTTATCTGCAAGAAAGTTCTTACACAGCCTAAGAAGAAAAGAATGGCTGATTGACAAAATTTAAAGATGCAGTACTCCCATAAAACTTTTGTCTTCTTTCTATATGTGTTGTCCCCCTGGGAAATGTAAACCATTGTAAAAATGACTTTTTGCTGGATATGTCTTTTATTGATATAAAGTTAAAACATCCTTACTTCTCACTGGATAAGACTCCTTTCAGGTTTAATTCTTTTACATGTGGATGAAAAATAAAAGTCACAAAAACATTGACTAGGCAGCAGTTGCTTTAACAGCCTCTAATAAAAGGCTTTGATTAAGACACTCAACATTAAATCAATCATGGTTAGTAAAGCAGGTGAGATATATCAGCGTGTGTGCACTTGTTAAATTTATATAAGACATTCTCAAATGATAACAGGGAAGTAAAATTAGAGTTCACTGCTAAAATTTACAATTTAAAACACTGCATACGGTCTGAACTTAAATCTGACATGGTACAACTAAATATCTTTGTATATTCAAACAACTTTTATTAAATTCTAGGTTGATTTACTTACTTAACTCTTTCTAGATTCTTCACCAAGTGCATCTCCAGAGAAGAAGAAAAAAATTGTGGGATATAAAATTGACTCTGAACAACTCCAATTGATAAAAGAGGATGTTGACAACAAAAATGTATGGGAGGAGGCCAAGAAGTTCACTAAAGAAGGTGGACAGGTAAATCTTGGCTAAGAAACAAATGTATGAAAATACATGCGTACCACAAAAAAGAGAAAAAGCACATGAATAATGTATCTTTTTTGCTGCATTTTTATGTTCTACTTAAGTCTGACATTTTGCAAGACAATATGAAATTTAAGTTGCCTCAGCAAGGGAGGTTGATGAGAAATATTGGAGTACACTGCTACTTTATTTTTGTTAAGTTCTTGGATACTAAGTGACCTATAATTATATAACTTGGTGTAAAAATGTATTGAAGAGGGTTTAATAGCCTCTCAGTTGAGATCAATCTTTAGTTAATAATTGCTTATATTTTTGTCCTCTGCACATTGTTCCAAGGAGGATTGGATAACAATTTCTGTCTGTCAGTCCAAAAGACATCAGTCAGTCCAAAAGACATCAATACTCAAGAGACCATTCGACATTAGGCTTTCATACTTTTTAGGATTTTTGTCATTTTTTCTTGGCTGTGTTATATTGTCAATTTGATTGGACCATTTTTAGCTCACCTGGCCCAAAGGGCCAAGTGTTTATTGTTTATTGAGACAACACCTTGTGTACACAACTCCTGAAACCATATGACAAAGCTCCCATATTTAGTTCTATTATTTCCCATCATATGTCAGAGTTTGCGATACTTCAGTTTTTTCTGTCACTGACAGAAAGATAACTTTTGATGGTCCTTCCTTTTTTTTTAAAAGTTAATACCCAATTTTACAATATTAGATATTATGATGGAAAACATTAGAAAATGATATTTAAATTAAAAAATAATTTTTTTCAGACATAAAAATATTTTTGTTCAGGTTAGGATTTCCTTTATTAAATATCATCTGATCTGTAGGTCAGGATTTTAAGATACTTTTTGCAAAAATTTTGAAAAATCTTGTTTTAATACGGATAAAAATTATGTATTTACCATTTACCGAGTCTGGTTCCCGTATTCTACTAATGTTAACCATTTGCATTTTGTCAATGAACAAATGAACGTGATATTGGTGGATTCTGTCGCAAATATCAATTAAATAAGAAAGCGGTTACAACAAGTAATTTGTTGCTGAAAGGTTTTTGAAGAATCCTCACAAAAACACTGGTTGGAGCAGTACTAGGTGGTTGGTCATGAAATCAAGAACACACAATTGTTCTTGGCCTTATCAATGTTTAAGTCCTGTAACCGTTTTCATAAGCATGTGCCTATGCACACGCCAACATTGAACATAACCCGCAATTAATTTTTTTTAAACTAGTTCTAAAGTTATGATTTCTGATTACAATAAGTTAAGGTAAAACAGGAAACCAGTGTCCAATGATTTGGCAAACTACCGAACATTGACAGAAGGAACTACAATGACCTTTTTTTGTCTGTACAAAACAGTCCGACAATTGGACCAGCTCGAACCCAAGATAGGCTGACCTGGTAAAATTTTGGCAGTCAGGACCGACAGGTCCAAAGGTTTTCGCAAACTCTGGTATGTTGTTGACCATTTTGTATTGTCATTTTGATCTGAACATTTTAAAAGAAGTTACCGGACTATTGGCTATTTTTCAGAGTATTGTTACAATAACACCTTGTGTACGCACTTCCTCATTGTCCATTTTGATAGGACCATTTTTATTAGAGAAATAGAAATTTTACCTTATTTTGACTATTGTACCACAATGACACATTGTGACACACAATTTTATTCTTCATTTATACAGCACGGGAACAGTTAGCTACAGCATAGTAATCTTATAATGTTTAATTTAATCATAAAAACTCAGGGATAGACAAAATTTCTTGTTACATCAAATCAGTTTTATAGTAAATGTCAATTGAGAGATATAAAAATGCTCCTTGGACTCGAGTTTAAATTTTCATCAATTTATTAAAATTGAGATAGTTATAGATATCAGAACCATCGTGTTCTAAGAGTTATAAGACATTAGTATTATTGATTCTTTTTATTGTAGAAGATATTTACAAGTCATTTCTAAATTGTTTTTCAGAAATTTCTTCAGAAAGTTGAAGAATTGTTTACATGCATTTGCTGTCAAGAAATAGTTTTTAAACCTGTTACAACAGAATGTAAACACAATATCTGTAAGGTAAGAGAATGTCACTGTATAAAATTCTCTACTGAAAATTGTCTTTTCTTTCAAACAATTACTCATTTACGTAGTTAGTTATTAATCATCCTGGTACAATGTACAGTAATCATTCTTCACTTGCTGATAAACTCTGTGGTCTCTTTGGTAGTATGCTTTCTTCAAGAGAGGAAGGCTAGGTTAAACCAAAGACAAGAATTGGTATATTCTTCTTTCACATCTAGCACTGGGCATCATCTCCATATTTCATGTTGCATCAGATGTACTTTCAGAGCAATTTCTTAATTTAGTATGCACATGATAGTTTATGGGGTTGAAATGCATTTCAATTCAACTCGTTAAAACAGTTTTTTATGGCCCCGCAACAAAGTTGGCGGGGCCATATAGTTTTACACTTGTCTGTCATTCCGTCATGCCGCAACAAACCATTATACATACTTTTTTTCTAAACGCCTTCAGATATTGGGCTGATTTTTGGTATGCGAGTTAACCATGATGAGTTACAGATCAAGCTTTGTCGAAATTACAGGCTTTGGAATTGGATAAATTGTTGAAAATCACAGTTATACAGACTTTTTTCTAAACGCCTTTAGATATTGGGCTGATTTTCGGTATGTGAGTTAACCATGAATAGTTACAGATCAAGGCTAATTTTTGCCGAAATAACGGGCTTTGGACTTTGATAAATTGTTGAAAATCACAGTTATACGGACTTTTTTAGCTCACCGGAGCCCGAAGGGCCCCATGTGAGCTTATACCATCACTTGGCGTCCGTCGTCTGTTGGCGTCGTCATGGTAAACTATTTAAAAAATCTTCTCCTCTGAAACTACTGGGCCAAATACCTTCAAACTCCATCACCAAACATGGCCGCCATGGCTAAAAATAGAACATAGGGGTCAAATGCAGTTTTTGGCTTATATCTCAAAAACTAAAGCTTTTAGAGCAAATCTGACATGGGGTTAAGTTGTTCATAGGTCAAGATCTATCAGCTCTGAAATTTTCAGACGAATCGAACAACCCATTGTTGGGTTGCTGCCACCGAATTGGTAGTTTTAACAAAATTTTGCATTTTTTTGTTATTATTTTGAATATTTTTATAGATATATATAAACTGTAAGCAGCAATAATGTTCAGCAAAGTAAGATCTACAAAAAAGTTAATATGACCATAATTGTCAATTGACCCCTTAAGGAGTTATTGCCCCTTAAAGACAATTTTACACAATTTGTTCATCAAGTTTGCTAACATTTAAAAATCTTATCTGAAACTACCGGGCCAATTACCTTCAAAATTTAACTAAATGTTCCTTAGGGTATCTTGTTAATAAATTGTATCCGAAGTTTGTATCCATCAACAAACGTGGCCGCCATGGCTAAAAATAGAACATAAGGGTCAAATGCAGTTTTTGGCTTATATCTCAAAAACTAAATCTTTTAGAGCAAATGTGGCAGGGGGAAAATTGTTTAATTGGTCAAGATCTATCCGCCCTGAAATTTTCAGACGAATCGAACAACCCATTGTTGGGTTGCTGCCACCGAATTGGTAGTTTTAACAAAATTTTGCAGTTTTTTGTTATTATTTTGAATATTATTATAGATATATATAAACTGTAAGCAGCAATAATGTTCAGCAAAGTAAGATCTACAAAAAAGTTAATATGACCATAATTGTCAATTGACCCCTTAAGGAGTTATTGCCCTTTAAAGACAATTTTACACAATTTGTTCATCAAGTTTGCTAACATTTAAAAATCTTCTCCTCTGAAATACAGGTGAGCGATTCAGGCTCTTGAGAGCCTCTTGTTTCTAAATTCCTTTAGATATTTGGCTGATTTTTGGTATGTGAGTTAACCATGATGTGTTACAGATCAAATTTAACTTTCGTTCTGCTCTGCTAATTTTTGCCGTAATTACGGGTTTTGGACTTTGAAAATTGTTGAAAATCACAGTTATACGGACTTTTTTTCTATAAGCCTTCAGATTTTGCACTGATTTTTGATATGTGAGTCTAAAGTTTCGTTCTGATATGCTGATTTTCATGTTGTTTCAACACATCTTCAGTACCTCCACTTCCTGTTTGCTGATAGTTTGAAATTAAAATACTCATTGATCAAGGAAATTTTTCATCAAACTAGTATTGGTCTTGAGGGCTGGATACTATCCATGCATGTTTGTGTCCACTTGTGTCGTTGAAATTGCAGATTTTTCAACTTTTTGAGACGGGGTCATTCGTGTTGTTCCGACACATCTAGTTTATTAGTAAAAAGTATATACTATCTGCTGCTGTGTCTGTCCTTCACAATTTTGTTTACCCTTTCTAACTTTTAAACCTCTCAGAGTTTGGTAATGAAACTTGGCATGGTTATTCACCACTGCTAAAAGGTCTGGCTTACATTGTTTCAATCAGAGACATGGTAAAAAAATAGTGATCATTTTAGCCATCCCTTTGCATATGTACAAAAATTGTTTCAGCTCCCTAACTATAAAACCGTTAGGTGTTTAGGGATGAATGAGTGGTGCAACTGTATAATTTCTTGCTTCCATGGATATAAGCTACATTCTCTAACTTTAGACCGTTCTGGAGTTATGCCCCTTCATAAACGGAAGAAATGCTGAATCTTTTGTTTCTGTTCTCTTACTTTAGTTTGCCTCAACCAAATGTTATGAAACATTTACACAATACTTATAGCCACAAAACACAGATAAAGTTTGATTTTGGGTGGCATCACTTATACAATTCTCTAGTTATGTCCATTTATAATGTTATATGCAAGCGGGGGCGTCATCTGTGTCCCATGGTCACATTCTGCATTTATTTGATTTATGCAATGTTAAGGTTCCATTGAGTGAACCAACACCTAACGGTACAGGCTTGTAGAGAGTAATCAGGATGGATACCCGGAGGTATGCTGCGGTTGTCTTAAAACCTCAGGAAAATAATGCTACACAAAGACAACAACATCGTAGATTACTGCAAGGAAAATCTTTATTATGGTCTACATGTTTCGCCACTTACGGTGGCAACTTCAGGACAATTTAAACATAGAAAACAAATACTGAAGTACATAAAATGCGGTGCATATGGGGTTACAAAGGTTAACAAGACATAACGTCACTATAATTGATTTGACGACGTTAAAATGAAAGTGAAAGTAAAAGTTAATAATGAATTGTCAGTGTCCTCTCCAAAATGGACAACACCTCACAGGACATTCCGTACCATTCCTAAAGGCTTCACTCGGAAAAAGGTACTACTTCCAATTGCGTCGGGAATGTTGTAAGATGTATGGTAGTCGCACATGTAGGGCATGGTGGAAGTTGTGGTGAATTTGTTACATTTTGCGGTTGTGGTACACTATCCATGTTGCAAGTTTATTTCAACAATAATCGTGCGGTCTGCGGTTCAGTACGTTTTGCGGTGGTCTTCTTTTGATCTTGAGTGGTAGTAGTTCATTTGTTTTTTTTTTTAGAATAATTCGGCAATCTCGGAAGGGGTTGATATTGTCAATGCGGTGTGGTTGTCAAATACAACGCTGGTTTGGCAAAGGTGGATCGTCTTATGCAATGTTAGTTTGAAAATTGTCTTACCACATCAAGTTTATTTCTTGAACAATTACATAATTGAATAACGTTGCTTTAATAGTGATTACATTTTGTATTGATTTCAATGCATAAAAATTTGCCAATTTAAATGTGAGCTTTTTTAATTTCAGTCCTGTTTAGTAAGATCATTTAAAGCAGAGGTGTTCAACTGTCCAATGTGCCGAGCAGACCTAGGAAAAAATAGTAACCCAGCTATGAACAAGACATTATCACAAATATTGCTCAAATTTTATCCAGGGTATGACAATGGCAGGTCATGAACTGAAAATTATATTTGTCAGATTTAAAAAATCTAATTTCAGTCTCAGGAAATCTACTGTAAGCTGCCACAAGAAATATTTTGGGGATATAGTGCTAAGAAAATCTAGTGTGTAAGGGTTGTTCAAAATTAAAATTTACCATTGTAGAATATTTTCAGACCCCCTTAAAAAATATCTTTATCAATTCATACATATCACATAAAACCCTGTATGCTACAAATAACACTTAAATGTGGCCACCCAAAGTAGACAATTTTTTTGTTTATAAGAATTAGATGTATGAATTCAATCATGATCTGAAAATGATAATATGTCAAAGTTATTTGATGGATGGAAATCAGTTTCATACATCTACTGAATTCAGGCTTGTATAGTCCGCGGTTTTATTCTTCAAAATTAAACTGCCACACAGGGGTGTGGATTAAAGAGTATGTTAAACAAGAAATAAGGAAAAAAACTTAATTTGCGAGATTTGTTTACGTTCCACCATGTTTGTTATTGAAATTGTATCATTTTCAAACTATTATTTTACCTAATCGATATGAATATGCAATTTTAATTCAAAATCCATTATAAAAGTGATTAATTTCAAAATTAAATGCTTCATTACAAATTTCTCGTTTCTTTTCACAGCATTGCATAACTTAAACTGGAAATCGCTTGTATTTGACGGAATGAAAAAAGTGTATAGGTTAGCCGGAAACCAGTTTATGCATAATGATGTATAAACTACAAAACTTAATCGGTTATTAGTTCCGTTTTGGTGATTCATACGCATGTATTTTGTTTTAGTTTAAGATCCATCAAACATTGATATGATGGATATGTTTAACAGCATTCTAGTGGTATCTATTTAGTACAAATTTTCCGCATACTCAACCGTATTTATTTTCATTTACAGGTGCTATTCCGGTTTAAACATACACAAGTTTCTCAATTGTTTTTTTTTTTTTGTGATTTTGACTTATTTTAGCACTCATGAAGTATTCTAGAATAATTTTCAAGCATTTTCAACTTTTATTTGATGATGGAAAACAGGTTTTTCCTTGAAATTCTGCAATCGTTCACACATGATTTGAAATTACTGGAGTTTCATTGGACATTTACAAACCGTTACAAAAAATTTTTTTTACCTGAATTCTCGTTCGCGAGAAGGAGGGTGCGAACTATACAAGGCTGATTACAGTATGTATTGAAACAAAAATAAAGTACAATGTACTTAATTAACCAGTGAAACCTGATTGGTGTGTCTAAGACACTGAATCAGTAAGTATGGTTGCTAATTTATGTCTGACTGCAATTTATTAAGAAAGAACAGGTTGATCAACTTACATAACATGTGATTTATAAATTATAAATGTTCGGTCAGTATGACTTGAATATCATTCAAATCTATGTTTCCAAATACCTTTTTTCAAAATCGTTTTTTTTAAATGCACACCCACACATCATTGACTGAAAAGGTTTGTAAACAATGAAATAATCTATTTTCCTAAACATCTATTAAAAATGGTGAAATAACATTAAATGTTTACAAGAATGTATTTTTCAGAGTGTTTCCTGCATTTCTTTATATAATGTAGTGACTTGTTCCAAAACTCAGTATCACTCTATCCCTGTCAACTTCATAAGGTAACTAAGTATGTATGTAAAACTTACCTCTCTTAATGATTATGTTCAAAATTTGAAATATGTAATATCTGGTAGTGATTTAAATGATTGTTTTAATTTTTTTTGTCATTTTTATCACAACCTGATTTAAAATTAATATTAAATTTTTAGATATATATGATATATAATTTTAATGAAGATGTAAATATTGATCAAATTTATTACCATGTATTGAATAAAAATGATATTGCAATGTTTGTTGTTAATTTACAACACCAAATGTCTCTAACTTGTGGGCTCAAGTGAGCTACTATATTCACTTGGCATCAGTGTCGTCCATTGAATTTTACAAAAATATAAACTCATGGGCACATTGGAACCAAACTTGGCCATAATGGGTATCTAGATTTAAAAAATTGTCCAATTATCCCACCTGCCAACCAGCATTGCCGACATGGCTAAAACTAGAACATAAGGATGAAATGCAACTTGAGTTATTCACCCTAAATTATGATTTTTGTCTCTCCATCGACTAGTTTTATAATGTGGGATCTAGGGATTACAATCCAGCAGTGTTGGCATAAACTGTTTGTATAAAGCTTTATATTTCAGAAGGAGAAGACCTGGATGCTTCATACCTTGTGTACAGATACTTTATGTTATGAAGTTTCCTTCTCTATTTGTCTATTGTCCTTGACCTCATTTTCACATTTCACAGACTGCTTGAAAAAAAATTAGGTTTTTTGTCAAGTGAAATACTCACTTATTATGAGTAATAGGATAAATATATTTGGAATATGGGTTCCTTGCAACATCTAGATGTCAGTCGAATAGGGTTCACCAGACCTCCACCATTTCATGGATCAATGATCAAGGTTAAATTTAGGTGGTCAAGTCTGTATCTCAGATACTATAACCATTAGGTCAACTATATTTGGTGTATGGAATGCTTGTAATGTGTACATGTGCGACTTACAGGTTTCATCTGACCTTGATCTCATTTTCAAGGTTCATTGGCCAATGTTTAGTTTTTGTAGGTTGGTCTATTTTTCAGATAATGTAAGCAAAAGTACATTCATATTTGGTGTATGGAATGATTTTAAGGTATACATGTTAGTCTGCCAGTTATCATCTGTCCTTGACCTCATTATCATGGTTCTTTTGTCAATGTTTTGTTTTTAGTAGCTTGATCCTCTTCTAAGATACTTTGTACGACTTTGCCCCCAACAGAGCTATAGAAAAACAGTACATTAACTGGTATTATACACACTTTTAAATTGATACACAGACGCTTTTTATGAATAGACTCACTCGTGCATGATCAGTGAGTTCATGGGCACTTTAAATTTCAATTAGATTTGAACTTTTTTGTTTCACCGACATATTTACTGTCTTTTTTATTAAAATATTTACGTTAGCATTCCAGTAAATTACTATTCATATCGGTACACTAAGGGATTGTTCATTTAACTTCAAAAGAGGGGTTCTGGTTTTTTCCTAATTCTATGAGAAAAAATATATTGTGGTCAAGCAGATGACAAAATGATGTTCTGATTCCTGATTTTCCAAATACTGTATATAAAAGTGCTAATTTTGAAAAAAAAATATTTGGGTGGTGGCGTTGAAAAACTACATAATTTGCTTACTCAGAAAAGAACATACCCCCCTTTTGAAGCTAAATGGTCGGTCCGTAAATGTATTTTTTTTTCTTCAATATATGGACATGAATAGTTTTCTGGACAATGCTGAAAGTAAAGAAATGCTGGTACCAATGTCTATATTTCAATAAAAAAGACAGGAAATATGTATAAAAAAAATCCGATCTAATCAAAAGATAAAATACCTATCAACTCACCAATGCACGATTGATCCTATCAATAAAAAGTGTCTGTGTAATACATGTTCAAATAGGTAGCAATTAAATCTTGAAGAAAATCATTCAACTTATGTCACCAATTTTGGACGGTAAGCTGCGATTGGATCATATAGTGACACGTGTTTAATCCTGATCAAAACTATGAGAGACATATAAAAACCTATAAGCATGAAAATTTTAAAAAAATCAAAAATATATGCCTTTATACATATATATATAATAACAAGACACAATCTCTTTTTTCATAACATTTCATTCACTAATGAAATAGGAAATTCATTCTTTTGATACATTTATATCGTTATTGAATTCATATATTTTGCAACAAATGTACGATTTTCATGATTTTTTAAAGGGGGAATGGGGGGATGGAATGGCACATCCTGCATTTTTTAACAAAGAAAGGATATAGCCTCTTTATTTTAAATTTATTTTAACCGTTTTTCTACAATAAAAATCAAATGTTAGCTTGCTTACCTCTAAAATCTTTTTCATACATTATTTACTTGCGAAGTTGCATTTTAAAAAGTCTCAAATGTGTACAACATTCATCTTTTACTTGAAATGGTTCTTTTTAATAAAATTATTAGATTCTTGAATTTTTTGAGAAAAAACTCTCTGCTGAAGGGAAGTGAAAAGAAAAATTGTGTTTAAACTGTAACTTACATTTACTGGTATATGGCCATTTAAGTATCTAATATGTTTAGTTTTGCTACCTCTTCTAAATGCAAAATGTACTACTTCTTTCTTCAAACGTCGTGCAAGTCAGATACAAACCAAAGGTAACAAAAAAACAGGCCGGAAACAACCATGCCATAAAGTTTTTCTGCACTTGTAGTCAGGTCAATGTCCTTGGACCTTGACCTGACTACTCGTGCAGAAAAACTATCTGGCAACGGTTGTTACCGGCCTGTTTCTTTGTTACCTTTGTATTGTATCTAATACATAAGCAATAGCAGGGTTCTCACTTAAGATTTTCCAAGGCGAGTCCAACAGTGATAAGATGAAATTTTATTACCAAATAATTCTATTGTTCCAGTCTCCATGACAAAATAAAGTAAGGAAATGACATCAAATTGAGATTATTTTTAAACACTTGTTATAAAATGATGATAAACATGTACATGTAAGTACTCAGTTGATGAAACCTCATTTTCATGGTTCATTGATCTATGTAAAGTTTACCTGGTTAAGTCTATTACTTAGATACTATAAGCAATACCTCAATTACATTTGGTGCATGGATTGTAAGGTGTACATGTCTGTCTGCCATGTTTCATCTGACCTTGACCTCATTTTCCTGGTTCATTGGTCAATATTAAGTTTTCATGATTTGGTCTGTTTTTAGCTCACCTTGCCCGAAGGCGTCCGTCGTCGTTAGCTTTTTACAAAAATCTTCTCCTCTGAAACCACTTAAACCAAACTTGGCCACAATCATCATTAGGGTTTCTAGTTTAAAAAATGTGTCCGATGACCCCGCCAACCAACCAAGACGGCAGCCATGGCAAAAAATGGAACATAAGGATAAAATGTAGATTTTGGCTTATATCTCTGAAACCAAAGCATTTAGAGTAAATCTGACATAGTGTAAAACTGATTATCAGGTCAAGATCTATCTGCCCTGAAATTTTCAGACAAATCTGACAACCTGTTGTTGGGTTGCTGCCCCTGAATTGGTAATTTTAAGGAAATTTTGCAGTTTTTTGTTATTATATTGAATATTATTATAGATAGAGATAAACTGTAAACAGCAATAATGTTCAGCAAAGTAAGATCTACAAATAAGTTGTCATGACCAAAATTGTCAGTAGACCCCTTTAGGAGTTATTGCCCTTAATAGTCAATTTTTGACAATTTTTGTAAATTTTTTGTAAATTTTTGTAATTTTTTACAAAAATCTTCTTCTCTGAAACTACTGAGACAAATTTAACCATACTTGGCCATAATCATTATTAGGGTATCTAGTTTAAAAAATTTGTCCAATGACCCCGCCTTCCAACCATCATGGCTGACTTGGTTAAAAATAGAACATAGGGGTCAAATGCAGTTTTTGGTTTATATCTCTGAAACTAAAGCATTTAGAGCAAATCTGACAGGTGGCAAAAATGTTCATCAGATTAAGATTTATCTGCCCTGAAATTTTCAGACGAATCCAACAATATCTAATACTATTAATTATGATTTTAACCTTATTTTACATGATTTCCAAAGCATCAGTAAATACAGGTGAGCGACACAGGCTCTTGAGAGCCTCTAGTTTGTACACTAAAAGTAATAGGTCAACTATATTTGGTGTATGGAATGATTGTAAGGTGCACATGTCTGTCTGTCTGGTTCGGTTTATCTAACCTTGACCTCATTGTTATGGATCACTGATAATTTTTAGTTTATGTGATGCTTGTAGTTAACTTTTTCTTCAGGACTATAAACATGAAATCAAATCAATATTGGTCAGTAAAGCAGGCTAGACATTTCAGATAGTGCACTCTTGCTTGGCAAGGGTTTTCAAAATGTTTAAACCTTTGATAAAAAATTTCATAAAAATCTGGCAAGTAGTGAGAGGGATAACAAGAACAAGACTGGACCGATGGACAAATGCATAGACACAAATGAATAGATGCTCTGTATTCTTAGGTCCCAAAACTGTGAGCTGTGTTTCACTTGGGACAATAAAATGGTTTTCTTGACAATATGCATACACAATTTGTAACTTCAATATCTGAGTATATACCGTTAATAAATTGCATGACGATCAAAATTTCACCATTGGAGCAGATGCTACCTTTTTACTCTTTTAAAGCACCTGTCAGTTTTTGGTGGGGTTTTGTTTCTTTTAGAATTTCTGTGTATTTTTTTGTGGACTGGGGTTTCTCTGTTCATCATTTTTTTGGGCTTTTGGCCTGGACCGTTCCTTGTGCAGGTGGGTCCAGAAGTGTGATTCAGATGTAAGAGGTTTTTACAGAGTTGTTTTCATTTTGTTTACCCTTGTATTTTTATTTGACTTCATTTGTACTTCTTTGAGAAGTTTATACTAGTACAGCATTATGATTATGTACTATCAATTACAAAAACTTTTTGTTGGTATCTTTATCAGATTTACTACCAACTACTATAACTTTCTTGTTAGTTTCTTTGTCAGATTTCTTTGTATGTTTGTTTTATTTTTGTAGTCAATTGTGTTGTATGTCTGTGATGTATGTTTACACAAAGTGGTCAGGACCATATAGTTTTACCCTTATCCGTCATTCCGTCTTTCTGTCATTCTGCAATGAACAGTTATACAAACTATTTTCTTATTGCTTTCACATAATGAGCTTATTTTTAGTTTTTTAGTCTACTATGACAAGTTACAGATCGAGTTTACATTTGGTTCTGCT